AGCTATAAGCTACCGAATTCAAAAAGAAACTAAATATATTAAAAACTCTAGGAGTAGTTGCGGCCTCTGAGAAGTGTCAACTTTCTTGTAGAAATATTTTTTTGAAATTTTAACCAAAGATTTTTCTAGTAAAGGCAGACATATCGCATATTTTAAACATCAGGTGTGCGCATGCGCAGACTGCGCAATACTAAGTTTCTATTTATAAGAATATTTATGCCATAACTTATTATCCTTTCTACACATAAATAGTCTGTTACATGACCTTTCGGGAAGTATAGATCAATTCATAGAAAATGAACTAAAGTTACTCCATTTTTTAATTTTTGGCTAGATATTTTTTGTGCGCGGTTGAAGTGAGAAAATCCTAATAAATTTACTATCCTTTCCTTTGTAAATCCTATTTACACTTCTACACCACCAATAAGCGCATCTTAAAATTAAATTTAATACTGTTTCCATCAATATTATGTACACTACAATTAAATGGAGATAATTTACATGCTCTAAAAGCAAGAGAGAGAGTACATTTGAAATATTTTGTAAATGAGGAACCCTTGGTATTACATAAAATAGTGATGTTAACCATAGTATAGTCTGTAAAATGAGTAAGTTCGCATATCGGCTTAGCGCTTTTGGCATTTAGAGAGCAAGTGGGTTTTACAAACTGCGGGCGATGAACAAAGAATGATGCTCTACCTTATAGGCGCTTAAATGGAGGTGCTGCGAGATATCAACAGGTAAGGCATGTTTGTCACTGGCTTGACGCTTTTAAGTAGATGTTGTCCATTCCTTCACAAACATGCCTTACCTTTTGTTATCCCTGTCAAAAAAATCATCTTAAGAAAAGATTAGGTCAGCGGTATCCCTCACATATAGACCCAAGCTGAATTCATCATTGGTCTCTGTAACAAAAATGGGAATACGCGTTTTGCTTTGTAATAAAACTTTACAGTTGATGGCACTGTAAGCTAATATGGTTTGGATATTATAATCGTAAAGTTGCAACCACAAGCTAAATTTTTTTGACAAATGGGATGTTAGCCTCATTTTCAACATAATCGATTTCTTCTAACAATAATGGGCATTATTAAGTAGGTACCAACTTGTGCATTTTTACAGTGAGTTTTGATATGGTCAATGGTTGGGAAGGGAGTCATTTCATCCACATAAATACAAAGAGTGACGGACATGATTAACTGTACACTTTACAATTACTAGTTTAGATACTCATTTTGATCTTGGTACACAAAACATGGATATCAATCTAAGAGCACAAAATCTAAACGGAACTCAAAATTTGACTTTGAAGTCAATAAGTGTGAACACGTGAATGAAGCCACGCGTGACGCGAAACGAGATGCGGAACTCACTAACAACGCTAAAACAGAGTACTATAATTGGTGTTGTTGATGTATTTATTTACAAAGTAATACCTTCCAAGTAGTAACGCCTCTAAACACGAGCGGCGCTGGAAAACATGGACAATTAATTACGTTACAATTTCTGTTGGGGGGGGGGGGGTTATTTTTAAATTTTTCCTCTCATATTGAGTTGCATTGCAACATTTCATAACTTCCATGCTTAAGGGCATTGTTTACCAATGTTTAATCTTGCTGTTAAACGAGATCAAGAATTTGGTGTACTCCTTCTATTAGTAAATGGAAAAACTTCTGTCTTTTCCTGGTTAATGAAGAGATCACTTTCCAGTTATGACAATCGCAAGATCGTCCGCGTATTGCTGTGTATATGCTCCATCCTTGTTCAGGGTGTGGAGGAGCTCCTTTAGCACCAGGCACCACAGCAGTCGAAACATCACACTCTGCGGACATTTTTTAGTGACCTAGGAGCTCATCTCTGTCCTCTCGGTTGAGGATATAATGACCCTGCTTTCGAGCATGGAATTGATCCATCTTACAATTGACCCATAAATGCACCCTCTATATCTAGGAACGCTCCCAGGGCTACCCTTTAGCAGACATTCCCCTCTCCAGCCTTGTAAGCAAGCTGGAATGGATGTCTAAGGACCAGTACCCCGTTCCTTATGTATGCATCCACCAGCTGCTCCACCGTTTTTCGAAGAAACAATAATAGGCCGATGGGCCTGTAATCCTTTGCTATGTCATATTTAGTACGAGTCAGATTAGGTAGGTGCACGACTCTTACCTTTCTCCAGCTTTTGAGGATATACCTTAGGGAGGCTTTAAAGAGGTGCAACAAATGTAAGAGTTTCAGGCCCTTCTGCAGAAGAGCCGGGAATATCCCGTCCGGTCCCACATTGTTAAATGGGCTGATCGTGTTGACCGGTCAGCTTACAGATCCTTCGATAACCACTCGTTGATCGACTTTGCACCGACCAAAGTAGCTTCTTTTAGTAAGTCCAAAGTTACATAGTCCCCAGAGCCTGGGTCTTTCAAAAGGGTCTTACGAAGTTTTTGAACTTCAAAAAGATCCTCTATGTTACCACTGAAGGTCCTCCATGATCGTTGTTTAGACCCTTAAATATGGTCCGCGCTTAGCGATCTTGATATCTTCCCAGTCCGTAGACAGCTTAGTTCACATGGTTCCAGCCTCTTCAACCTGCCCTGTTCTCTGACAGAGCAAAGGTGGTCCCAGTCCCAGTCAGTGGATCAGGGATTCCAAAAGCGACGGTTCATTAGACACCTTCCTAACTCGTGATCATGTGAGCTATTGAAAAGGAGCTCAACAACCTTCTGCCTTCGTGCTGTGACGAAGGTGGGGGGAGGGGGGGGGGCTTCCGGATTTAAAACATTCAACTCAGTTGGTTACACCAGCGGTTCCCAATTACTTTTGGAAAAGGCACCCTAAATGATGATGATTGTTTTGGCGGAACCCCAATAGTTGTTGGTGGTATGGTTCGTCAGGTGTAATACCGACCAGGGAGTACGGAGAACCCCCCCGGGTAAACGGCGGTGCCCCCCGGAAAATTTTTGACAAATTGGAGCTCGAAGACACCGTTTTAGCGCTACAAATTGTTACAAAACAGTTATTGTTTGTGTTGGGATTTGGCACCAAAGCAATCCATAATAACATCATAAGGTTGCACAATTTCTTGTGCAAGAAATGTAGCACAAATAATTAAATGAAGGAATGGAGATTTTGTCAAACAAAAACGCCAAACAGCTGATCTGAAAACACATGTTCAAGGAGCGGCGCACGCGCATTATAAAATTGCATTGAATCTTGCATAAAAAATAGCACCTGTTCTATTTTTGATGCAATAATTTGTGCAATATATCTTGTGCAAGAAATTGTACAGTGTAAGACGGGTTTAAGATCCAGTTGCGCGTCAAACCATGCGCAGTGCAAAATTTTTCGTTATATTGAACAAGTATCACACTAAAGGGCAGCCTTTGAAGGGAAATAAACTAGTCTAGCTAGTATATGTAATTCCAAATAATAAAGTGTGCTTTTAAACGTGAAAAATTGTAGTTGTTGTTGCTGTTACCCATGGAACCCCCGTGAATCTTTCGCGGAACACCATTTGGGAACCGCTGGGTTACACATGCTGCAGAAGGTGGTCACCTCTCGAGTTCATGTTCGTGCTACCCCACTGGTGTGCGTTTGCATCACAGCCAACCACAAGAGGGAGCTCTCACCATGGGCATGAAAAGTAGCACAGGGTCACGATAATTTTAAGTGTGTCTATCTTTGATAATAACGGAGAAATCTCGGTTTTCCATCAAAATTTGAACACCTTGTATACATAAATTACTAAATTAATAACTACTGCGGGTTGCACAATAGGTAAGCATCTCAAGAATTATGTGTCGTGGAATTGGGTGGTAGAGGAAACCAAATTAAAAATTTTTTTCAAATAAAACAGTAAGGGTCCAAAACGTTTCGCATAGAGTTATGCCCCCCATAAGCCCCTACGTTCCTTCTTTAATTTTTATTCAGCAACCACGATGCATACAATATTGAAACTAACGGTTAAGGTTCCAAAATTCTCACCGCATCAAATGCACCTCTAAACAGGGTTGCAAAAAAATTGTATCTTGACAAAATGCGGTATTTTTCAACATATTGTATCCAGAGTTAGTTTTCAATAGTTAGAAAAGAAAAACTGCAATTTCTGGCTGGAAAACAGAATTGCTCAGAATTTCATGAAATTTGCTAGATGAATTTAAGGACAAAACTATCGAACAATTTTTGCATATTCCTTCGGATGTAGTTACCGTCCAAACTCTGGAAAAAATTTCCAAAAGGGAACTAAAAGGACTTAATTTCAACAGATGAACCTATAATTTTGTCTCAGATCAACTTTATGCCAGTTATTAAAGACGAGTCAATACAAATAGTTTATTGTACAAACAGAATAATATCTTGGCATTCAGCTTTAAAAATACCATTATATAAATCCTTCCTTTATCTTCGTGCCGTAGATTAAAATAAAGCAGTCTCAAACCACATAATTAAGATGATAATAAATTTCAACGTAAGTTGTGCTAGCTACAAGAGTAGAAATTTACGTTTCTCAATTTCTCTGTCGTGAGCTATCTGGAGTATGTTTACATCTACGTTTTAATCTAATAAACTGTAGGGAATAATTATTTCTACAATTCTATAATCTCCGTCAACCTAAGCAAAAATAATAACCCGGTAAACATCTTAATTTTAATCATTAAAAATTAGACAAATAGAAACAAAGGAAGATTTTTTCAAATCATTTTGATCAACTGTAGATGTCACTGACGTTTGGTAATGAATCATATTGATGAATGAGTATTTTTTCTCTTGATTCTTATTTGAATGTAGACAGTGAAACTAGCAGCTATATGAACGATTGTATTTGCGCATGCGCAGGTCTAGTAAAAGTAATACAATTGGGTGTTAGAAAAATAGGGTACATTCAAATAACTAATGGATTAATTATCGATTACTCCAATATGCTTTAGTCAATGTCATGTTAGCTCCACACTTACATAATTTATTTTCAGTTACAGTTATGTAATATTAATGGACACGTTCTGTTTCAGAACAATATCAAAGATTTAGTATTCGAGTTGTTCTCATTTTTTCTTCAACAAGATGATCAAGACATTCAAGCGAATACGTTAAAGGCAATCGGTTCTATTTGCATTCGACATTACGAATTTATGTTGGAAACCGATTTAAAATCTTTCTACCATCGTATGTTAACATCGGACGATGCTCCCTTAACGATGAAATCTGAAGTTTTGATTAACATCGAAATGTATTTGTTGGAGGAAGAAAGGCGCATGATTCAGCAGGACTTGGAGTGTAAGTAATAGGTGAGAGTTCTGGAAGTGTTGCCAACTGCGCTTGATTTACAGGGGCGAAACGATCGAAAGAAGAAAATTTGAAAGAAATGGGAGATATATCTTCGGGCATGGCTAGCGCAGTTATTCAGCATTATTTAAAAGAAATTTTACAGTCGTATCTACATCCGAATATTCAAGTACGACAGCCTGCGTTGAGAGTGATACAGTTAATTTTGCAACAAGGACTAGTGCATCCCGTTCAGGTAAGCACATGGACTGTTGTGGTTGAAATTGATAATCACTTGGCGAATAATTTTAGATTGTCCCTTATCTTATTTGCATGAGTACGGATTGTGAAAAAATTGTTTCGCACAGCGCCGATAAGCAATTGCTCGACTTGGAGAAAAAATATCCGGGTTTTATTCACACAAAATCCTCTTTAGGAATCCGTTTATCCTATCAATTGCAAAGGATTCTGCAAGAGACATCTGTTATAGTTAGGGGCTTTCGGATAAAGGTGCAAGGTGAATATCCTACTGCATTAAATGGATATTTATATTCAATACTTAGAAATTCTCGACAACAGAGACGTGCCTTAGTCTTAAATATTTTAAAGCAATTTGATGAACAAGTGGTAAGTGCATTTTTTGTCTTTTAAATTGTTTATCACGGTCATTTCAGCATACTAGCTTATCGTATATGTTATATCTAGCCGATAATCTCGCGTATTTTCCATACATGGTACAAGATGAACCACTATTTATAATACATCACATCGATATAATGATCTCATTTTCTGGAACAAATCTGTTACAATCGTTTAGGGAGGTTTGTGTTATCACTTTTAGTAAATATGTCACGCAGCAGTCTTTTTAGGGGTTGATAATGACAGATGCTCAACAACAAGCTTTGCATTCATCTCAAGATGGTATTGCTGTTAACCAAGTTTCTGCACTTGACGAAGATGACGACGATGAGGAGTTGCTAGTTACTCGTGTACCTGAAGATACATCACATTTGCAATCATGTTTAACCGCTGCTCAAGGATGTTTGTTACTTTTAATGTTAAAACAACATCTTAAAGATTTGTACGGCGTCAGCGATAGCAAAATACAGCAATATTCACCTTCGGAGCCGGCGAAAGTTTACGAAAAAGCGGCGAGTCGACGAAGTAATGCTCATTTTAATCCCAAGGGTATCGTTAACAAACTGAAAGAAGGTTCTCCATCCGAATATCTAAATGATGAAGGGCGAAAGGATCTAATCAATCAGTATTTAGATGTGAGATTTATGAAATTTAAAAAAAACGAAAGCTTACATTTTTCTTTTCAGTTTAAACAATTAATGTTGAAACTAGATCCGGATGATCCAGATGATGAAGAAAACGCTAAAGTTCTAGCTGCGTTAGGCAATACAACGGCAAACTCAAATGCAATTGCGGTTGTTGGTTCGCAGGCGGGAATGAATTCGGTTACTACGGTCTCAGGCGTTGGTGGTGATGGGGGTGGTCCGACGTTAACTGAGGATGATCGACTCGCCCTCACTTCGTATAAAGTACGTATTGTTGCTACAGTATATTAGTACCGCACGATTTCTATTAAATTACGGTAATTGCAAACTGACAGTGTAATTAGATCTTAAGCACTTTGCCCTCTGTGATCAACAAGATGTAAATGCCGGTCCGTGTGGCGCAGTTCAGTTAAAGCTGGACTGTGGTGCTAAGGGTCCCTGGTTCGAATCCAGGTTCGGGGATGGATATTTGTAAATGTATAGTGGGTTGGGTTGGTAGAGTAGCCTTGGCTGAAACTCCGCCCAATCAAAAATAAAGGCAACATAAAATAAATGTTTAATGAGGTTGCGACAAACTACAAATAGAACTAATTTATTTCCAACCTATTAACACAATAATATAGTAAACGTTTATGTATCAAATTTTATTTAAATGCTTTCATAAATAAGAAAATTGGCACTGCGCATGTACAAAACCAAATTTTAAAACTGGCGTTACATTTGCTTTTATTCCAAGTGGCTGTGTACCAAATTTCATTTAAATTCCTCCATAAATATGAAAGTTGGCACTGCGCATGCGCAAAACCAAATTTCGAAACTGGCGTTATATTTGCTTTTATTCCAAATGGCTATGTATCAAATTTCATTTAAATGCTTTCATTAATAGGAAAGTTTGCAATTCGGTTTATAAATGGTCTAGATGCCAAAAGTGAAAACTGTGAATGTTGATCAACTTTTGGAATTGCGTTTTATATGGCTAAAGCTATATGCATATTGAATTTCATGCAATTCGGTTCATAACTCACGGAGATGTCAAAAGGGCCTTCCTTATTTTTTGTGCTACATTGCCAATTCACGAACTCCGATCTACAAATTTGATACGAATCCACCTACATCGTAATCGGTCCATTCGTTATTGAGATATCGTGCTAACGGACAGACACTGCAAAATTATAAACTCGCTAAGAGCTCGTTAATAAGGTGCCTATGCAACAAATAAAAGAGTTCTGGAAGTTAATGTTACCAACTATAAAAATATGTAAATGGCTAATGGAATAAGAAGAAAACAATACCAATCTTAAAACGACCGTCTTCTAATAGATGGCAGTACGCGCGCATTAAACTTTTCTGCAATTGTTGGTTATTGCTTTGTTCAGCAGTAAACTATACACAAAATCGACAGTTTCGAACACTAAGGTGGCCTTGCAGCATGATATGGAAGCCTTTTTTCTGTCTTTTTATTATTTCATTAAACTCCAGTTTGGGCATCTTTTTCTATCGTTGCATTTCTTCTGTTTTATTTGACAGTACAATGTTCTTTTCTAAGAGTGTATTATGGTAAGCTGCGTTGAAGAAGATTTAATAATAATAATAATAATAATAATGGTCATTTGAAGGATAATACTGTACATACTAATAAACAGAATTCATTACTATTAAATAAAAAATAAAAACTAACGTCATAGTTTGGATCAGTTTTTCTTCCAACCATTTCATGAAATTATTTCCATGCATGTCATCGCGGTAGTCTCCAGTTTTGCGTCTGGAAGTTCCGTCTGACCAAGAAGAAGGTACATAAAGTATTGTTTATTTGATGTAGGTTTCATCTAAATATACGATTGGCCATGGTACAGAGCATATTTTAAGCTATAAAGTAGGCGGCACAGTGCCGCCTAGTACAGACTTTTTGCCGCCTAGTAGTCTGTAAAAATACCAGTGGCAAAAACTTTTCAGCTATCTTTGAAAAGAAATTTATCATTGCCAATTTCATAGTCATTGGGAGACTGCAAAGTTTCCCATAAACAACTACTGTTGTTTGGCACTTAGTCATATTTTATAAAACTGTTGAAAAATTTCCGGTTGGTGTTCTCCTCTAGAGGTGCCCTAGTGCGACGACTGGGACCCCCAAAAATTTTGCTCTGGCGTGGAGCCTCCACTATGACACACCAATACTGGGTTCAGTGCCGCCTAGTGGAAGTTATTTAAAATATGCTCTGCCATGGTAGGTTGATATTTTCTTCAAATATAATCCGGCAACGCGGTTTCCTGTCATCTGAAACCATGAATGAATGAACTAATATTTGAAAATGAAACTATATGGTCCTTATTGTGAGCAAGGAACCGTTTCGATTAACGAAACCGGATGATAATCCATTCATTACTGAATTACAATTTTTTTGCAAAATTTTTCTAAAATGCATCCATAACAGAGATTGTCTTTAAAAGGACCATACAGTATACAATGGATACACGTATTGTAAATTGTTCGAAATAAACTTACTAAACTAATTTTTCGTTTCTGTCAAGGAAACTAGCAATTGGCCTAGTGTAGGTTGTTGTTTGCGGATTATGTGATAATTGGGGATGTGTCGCCTGAAAAATTCAATAGGGTGTCGGTCCACTTCAGACTGCTTCTGATACGCTTGTTGTTTGGTGTGTTCAAATTCTCTTTCAGTTTACTTTGAATTTCTTTCTGAACTTGTAATACTAAGTTGGAAACTAGTGTAATTGTCACACCATTCGTAAACTCTTCTTTCATAAACTCATTAACTCTCAACTTTTGCTATTGTACACACTCTAGATGCTCCAAATCGGATAAATAGCATGCAAATAATAAGATCAGAAGTAAATTTCTGAATTTATAGTTCACACAAGTTCCCTATAAATAATTATTAGTCATTATTGATCATTATACATAACTTCCCCAATGTTAAAGGTTTAGTTACTAATTACAAAGATTCATAAATGATCATGTTGCAATTTAAATGAATAAATAAATACCTCTGTGTTTTCCTACATTTGACAAACTGAAATCTAATGGAACTGGGCAAGGTCAATCAATAAATTAACAGAGTAATTAGACTAGACATGACCAGTAAGTCTAAAAATCGTGTTTTTATCTGTGATATGAGTAGAGATACTCTAAAACAGTAAATATCGCACGCCACTGGATCTACACACCTTCCTTTAAATGCATGGTACAGTGGAACATTCAACTTATAAACGTCTATGTGCTTATATATACTTCGCTCATCCATTGGATGCATAATATATCAACTATCAGAAATAAAAAATTGCATTTTACGCTACTTCCTTTTATCATTTAAAACTCAGGTTACGAGCCTATCTCCTCAATATTAAATTACAAGTAGGATCAAAGACTGAGGATACTCTTCTACAATAGTCTTTGGTAGGACTATTTTTCCTTATTGACATTATTTAAACGCATGTGAGATCTGCAAGGTATTTTGAGGAATAATTTTACAATAAATAAAAAGTAACTTTTCGGTAGGTAACTAAGTTCTTTTTAGGTAACTTAGTTACCAGAAAGTAACTTAGTTACTTTATTAGTAACTAAGTTCCTCTGAATATGGAAAAGTTATAAGTTACTTTTAGTGTTATTTCAAAAGTAACTAAGTTACAGTAACTTAGTTACTGCAGGTAACTTAGTTACTTGAAAGTAACTTAAATTTTAGTTACTTCCCAGCTCTGGTGGGAAGCTACACTACTTTTCTCCGACTCCTTTTTTAGATGATATGAACTAATATACATATATTTCGAAATTATAACAAATTTATTCCATGTTTTTCATCATTACATTTAATAATGATAATAATTAAAGACTTGATTTACATCAAATAAATGGCTGTTATATCACTTAACACAGAAAGAAACTCTCAATTTATCAGTAAGTGGCCTTCCTTTATTTTATATGGGAAGGTAAAAATACAGATTACTAATAAACAGACGTTGATATAAATGATGAAAATTTTGTACCCCTAGCATGATTCTACTATTAGTAATGGGAGGGAAAACATTTACCCATGCAGAACAAATATCTTTTGCCTAATTTAATTTAATTTTTTTGCAGGATCATTCAACACCAAAAGTGCCCAAACTCGTTATTTCAAATCGGCGCCTCGACAGTGACAGACGGACACCACGAACTAATCGTACTACCGAAAAGACTAAAAAACATAGACAAAAAAAGAAAAGACGAAAGTTCACTAATTCGTCGGGTGATGACAGTGAAAATGATTATAGTGATCCGGACTTTATGGCCTAGCCATTCTGTATAATGGTGTGTACAGTAAGATTTAGCGTACTATTAATTAATAACGGCGGTAAATAAATTTTATTAAGAATTTCTATAAATTATAAACAAATTTTCTATAAATTTAAAATAAGATTTGTACCATTTGAAAATTCGTTCCTTCTAGGCTATCCGATATAAGTTATTGTAAATAGGATTGTATTGTATCGGGTACTCTCGCCAAACGAATTTTGTTTCAAAGGTGTCTGATCTGCCACTTAAAAAACATACACGCGAAATCAGATTGTTTAGGTAAACTATGATTATTGATGCGCGTTCGCTTTGTAGAATCTTTCATTGCGCTGTTGTGACTGTCATTTTTTTTGTAGATCTGATTTGTATTTTCTATTCACTATCGGCTTTTGTTTAGGTTAAGTTATTCGTATCATCAGTAAAAGTGTTAACACGAAGGACCTTACTTATATTTGTTTTTAGTGAAGGCTGCTTGTTTCTTTTATTGTCCAAAATCATCCAAATGAAACAGAGGTGCCTTTTACACAGGGAGGATTATGATATCCTTTTACATTACGTGAATGGTGCGATGTCTTTATTGATAATGCGAATTTCTTATGTTACTCGTATGTTAATTTTAGTTTCAGTTCAAACCACGGTGTAAAATAAGAGAGGTACAGGTTGATGCAATGTAGAGCGGGGCGTTTTCACTACGTTTTATAAAAATCATGATTACACACACATATGTCAAAATGCAGAGATAAATTGAAGAGGACTAAATTTCTTCAACCGTTCCAGAATAGTACGTATTTATATATGCGTAGGTTTTCCGCAAAAACTTTGAATACGTGGTGCACACGTGTTTTTGATTGATTCATTTATGCTTTCATGTTTCTTTTGAGCCGGTCACTGTAAGAATGGCACTAGACATAAAAATATTATGGGCCTCGCAGGGTTTAATTTATCTTCTATAAATTTCTTTATATGCTATTTCAATAAATGCTCACGGTCATAGAGAAAACTCTAAGCGGACTCTTACATTGCATCGACCGCAATTTAACAAGCACCTCTCTTCATTTTAAACTTCACATTAAAGATGACCATATCGTTAATAATTAATCATTATAGATTAAATAATCTTTAAGTAGTTATCGTGTACAATGATTTTTCAAATTAAGGCATTTAATTCCACCTGTGATCACAATTTTGGGTTTTGATCAGTCTTTATATCATCCACTGTGATAAATACTTGAAGCGAATTTTATGGTTTTTTTGAAATTATTTTAGCTACTCTTAGTTTTATGTTAGTTTGTTGTAAATTTTGTTATTTTTAAATTTGGGGCTCCCATCGCAGTAAGTCCGGCTCGGTAATATTATTCCCATATTTATTGTCGCTTGATTTTTATTTTTGCATGTCCTCCAGTGATAGTTGTTTGTCATGTGTTGTGATTATTGATTTTGTTCTTTGGAAATATAACAATTTTTACAAAATGATAAAAATAAGGGAAGAGTTTTTTTCAATACTTGGAATGCTTTTATAGGTAACTAGGGCACCAGAAATGGTAAAATTATTTCCGTCCATCTGCTGGAGATGTAATTTTTCAGAAATGAATTTATTAATCTGCAGTAAATATACTTTTCAATATGTACCTTGCTAACTGCTAAAAGACCGAAAATTATCACTAATTACATTCTTTGCATGTGTTGTTAAACCATTTATTTACTATTATTGTTTGTCGCTATTTTAAAGTGAAGCACTTAGGATGCCTAAGCAGTCTGCAAGTCAAAGATGTACATTTTTGAGGTGGTTAAAAGGACACCAAGAAGGAAAAGAAAGGCGGGTGTTCGTTGAAAGTTGTATTGTAAATAAAATAAGAGTTCATAGTTAAGTTCATTGTACAGTGTATTTATAAATTTTTGTTTGTAAAAAAGTAATGAACACTCGCTTTGGTCTTTTAATCTGCACAGAAAAAATATTTGTGAATAATATAAAATACATAGAAATAGCAGCTTTTGTACTTTAGATGGTAATTAGAGTAATTTTTAGTTGGTTTTTATAAACAAAATAGCACTGTAAAACTATTTATTATTATTCATACTTTAAATAGCCCTTCATACTTGTACAATTGTTATTTTTATAGTACTGAAATATAAAGTTTTTTTGTACCTTATGTTTATGATGAACAATTTTTTAATTAAACTCTTATATGTTACCAAAGATGATTTTCTGTCAACGATATTACTTTCTATTCATCTTTTTGGTAACTAATGTGATATGACAATGGACATGATGACCATATTACAAATGTAAATTGTACTGTACTAGATTTATTACTTTTCAAAATACAACTTGTTGCTGTTACTATAACTGCCTGTCTCTTTTACTTGACAAAGCTCTTTCAATATTGTCAGTTATGCATCAACTTCTAGTTAATTTGGGCGCCCTCCACACTGTTTGCACATGTTTGAAAGATGTATGTCGAATTAATTTACTCAAATCATTTGGTATTCTCCACATCTAAAACAGGCTGTTTATAGTAAAATGTTTATATTATTGAATCTTAGTTGTGGAATCATAGTGATCGTGTAATGTACCACATAAATATTGATATTGGGCCATAATATATTCATTTGTATTTTTTAGTCGACCCGTTGGCCATTAAACAAATAATTTTGTTTAAGGTTTTTTCTATTATAAAATTACCGATTTGTAATTAAATAAATTTATATTTGTAAAAAATGCTTGTACTTGTTGCACAGTTAAAACTACACAGTACAGTACTTCACAGATTGTTGATTGAAAAAGCAATAAGCAATAGAAGTTTCTTAGTCAAATAAGGCGAGAATGTGATAAACAGGTCTCCAATATTGCTATAGATAAAAGTTTTTCTACAAATTTATCTACAAAATGTTGGAACTATAGCAACTGAAAACCAATTGTTTAAAGATTAAATGTTTTGCACCGATTATTGCGCTACTCGGTTTTAATATTTTACTCTCGATCAGGAGGATTTATCAAAAAAGTATACCGACAGTTTTATAGACAAGTTACTTCTAAACATTACTCCAAAAAATTAAATAATATTTTTTGTAAATAAAGGCTGTATCTTGGCAAAGACTCTCAACATGGAACAGGAACTTGCAAAAGGAAATTTCAAGGTCAAAGCATTGCATTGTATTTGACATGGTGCCTTTCTACTTCAATTGCCATTTTTTGTTGTAGCATGAAAGTGCTGAAATACAATGATAGGCGACGCACCTCGTGTGGATTGTATATTTTGTTACTTTTAATTATCAGCTGCAATTAAAAAAAACTGTATGGTAATTGATTTTCGAGAAAGGAGTGTACTTTAAAATGTTTTTGTGGTGCACCTCAGAGCTACCCCCCCCCTCCCGGCACCTTCATTACTACACTAATACTTTAATGGCCCGTAGCCCGCTTGACATGGAGCAATTGCATGCAAGTTGCAAGAAAAATTGCGAAAGGCATGCGCAGTTCAAAGCCAGCTGATCAATTGCTGCAAGAGACTTGCATGCAATTTTTAGAGGACCGGTGCTATTTTGCTTGCATGAATCGTGCAATTCTAGGGATAAATCTAGTTGTTTTTGTGGCACCAACCTAGTAAAATACAGCGGCGGCAACTGTGATGCTGAGAGACGCAATCATTACTTGTTTTTACTAATCTTATTTATTCTTGTAATTTTCATGTTTCTTCAAGCAATCAAAATTTAATTTTCATTTGAGGTTAACAACTTTGTTGACAAATCCATATGTTTCTTCTGTTGGCAGACATGTGGCAATTGAAATAGAATTGCACCATGTCAAATACCATGCAATGCTTATTGCATGCAAGGATTTGACCTTGCAATTTCTTTCTGCAAGTTCTTGCGCGTAGTATTGCTCCATGTCAAGCGGCCTTAAGTACCCAGTCTGCCCCTGTGTATAACCTTCCTTTTTTACCAAAAATCGACTACACCAAAATTTCTCGGGAAAACACTTTTTCTTATTCATTTGGGTGCGTAGAATCACGTGTGAGAAGTTAGCGACGGGGGGGTCCAGCGACGGTGACGTCATCGCGCAACTGCAGCCCGGATGCGTATAACGAAAGCTGGGTAGGAGTATTACCTACACATTCCTCCGTTTTACGTTAAGAATCGGAAATAAATCGATACCACAACATTTGTGACAATCTGATAAAGGAAAATAATGACTAAATACAATATTTTTTTCAAATATTATGCATTTTTAATTAAGCTCCACACAAAATTATTAAACGAAAGTAGTGAATCCGTCGTCGCTCTGACAATACTAAATGCGTTTCGATTGGATCGCTATAATTCAAAATCTATTGGGGGCGCAATATTCACGTAAAGTGATTTTGATTCCCAAGAGTAATGAGAAATTCATATTAAAATTTGGTATGGAATGGTAAGTAAATAAGCAAGTAATTGACCTAGCGACGGTCGATGGCGCGCCATCAAAACTGAGTGCGTTTCGATTGGATCGCTATAATTCAAAATCTATTGGGGGCGCAATATTCACGCAAATTGATTTTGATTCCCAAGAATAATGTGAAAATAATATCAAAATTTTTTATTATTATAATTCAAAAACCAACAACTTCGAAAATAAAAATCACGCAATTCTAATATAAAAACTCAAAAACACAAACGATTTAAGAAATAAGTATATGAATCTAATTTAAAAAATGAACAACAAAATAATCTGTTACACTTTGTGTTTTTGGATATGTCTTTTTAAATCGTATTTGTAATTTGTCCCATAGTCACAAACACCGCACTTAAAAACTTTTTTCGGTCTGGTGCGTCAGGTAGTGCCTGTTTAGCGTCCCTTTATAGTTCGTTTTATACTCGCAATTTTGGCATTTAAATCTTTTTAAGATTTTGTGTGATAGGTGGTGAATTTTCAAATTTGATTTCGTGTTTGTCGCGTAGTTACACTCGGTGCAATTAAAATTCTTTTGCGTTCTATCATTGAATAAAAACACTATAAGAAGCCTAACCCCGTGGAAATAAAGCGCGACAGAGTTTGAACTGAGAATATAATGGGAACACTGTCAATAGAGTCGATTCTTGAACTGAGAAGAATGAGAATTTGCTTTCCTCCTATTTACCGCAAAGAGAGTTCGGTGGTCACAACCAATGCGGGTGCAAGGGGATTTGTGAGATTTGTAGCGCTTTCTTCCATAAGCGTTAGGCTTCTTATAGTGTTTTTATTCAATGGTTCTATGTTTTACAACATGTTTTTTTAAATAATTTTTATTATTGGTTTGATAGTCACATTTAATATATTTCTTGCGATTTAAACCCCGACACCGTTTTCCCGGCGACCATTCGGTCATCCGGCTGATCTCTGCGATTTATACACGGCGATGACCTAATCCGGTGACTATTGCTTTCTCACATCGGCGTAGAGTAAATTTACTCTATGACATCGGTTATGTTATCATTATCACGGCACCGAAATTGTGTAATGAAGCTTATTTACACAATTGACATTGGTCTTTAGAAAATTGCGTTTACCCATTTAGGTATGTACCTATAATATACGCAGGTGGATACCATAAAAGTTTCCCTGCCTATTAATGGCTTTCAAGTTGATTATATTATTCCTATTCGGATTATATCATTTTTAGAAAGAAAAATCTCAGTCTAAAATGTAATGTGTACCTACCTAATAGCTTATACACCTGTAATCATGCGGTGCCTACATTAAAAGAGTTGAGACACATTAGAAAACGTTTTCCATTGTTAATGCATGTGGAGAATGTGCGCTGCACCCCTTCGTTTGTAAAGTATACAACTCACCGTTTGTGCCTTTTTGGTTTCGGAGATAATGGCAAAAATCGAATGGGATATGATACTATCAATAATTCTCCACTACGAATTTATCATTATTTATTTATTCATTTCATTCCATTGTTACTACCTATATACTATATAGATACCTACCTATTAGGTATAAGAACCAAACGAGGTTGAGGACCCCGCGGGGATTTATCCGGAATCCCGCCTGGTCCAATCCTGCCCTGCTTTATGCCTGTTATACCGATATAAAGAAATACACTTGTTTTGTTTAGGAATTGCCGCCAGATGTGGACAACAAAAGGATTTCCTTTCACGCCAAAATTTATGATATTGCTTAGATCTGTTTTCTGTTCCTTGTTTGCCTATGCCAATTGAGCTCTTCAATCGCTCGTGTTTATTTTCGTACTTCCAAAAGAGGTCCAGGCCCAGAGGTATGAAATGTATTATAGTATAGGTTGTCGGTTGTTCTAACCATCTCTATTTTTTTAATAAAATATAATGACAAACGTCAAATTACTAATGAATTTAGTAGGTATCTACCCCTAGTAATTTGAACTCTTACGATCGGAGGGATACGCACGTTGTAAAAGTGGACCTTGTGAAACCTTCCATCAATTGTGCATTTCATTTTGCCAGTCCCTATATTATTTGGTCACGTACTAAGGCGTTTGATTTTATTTGTCAGGTGCCGCTAATAGTAGGTATATTAAGTAACAAGGGATTAAAAAGAGTTTTTGTTCCTGAAAGAATGGTTTAAATATTAATATTCTTGAGGGAATAAACACTAGTTTAATCCAGTGTTACTTATACTATTTTTTCTAATACCGACCTATCTGAATCCATTTGAAAATTAATATGCTATAAAAAACTAAGGTAGGGTTTTTGGGATGTCATAGTTACGCTCGCTTGTTTGTAACTGTCAACAAAAATTAAGAATTTTTTATTTTGGTAAAATCATGCCTGTAAACCCTTCTAAAAATATTGAAGACTAAAGTGACGAAGCATGAAGGCGCTTCTTTCATCCCCTAAGATGTCACTTGCTGATAAAGGTAAGTTTGTGTAAAACATTGCTGCTCATGCTTCCAAAGTTTGTGGTTGTAGATTGTGACAATAATGGATATTGGAGGAAGTTGCAGCTTGCAGATCAGAGGAATTGTTAAAAATGAACGTAGACTGTAGGTACATTGTACATAGAAGATGGAAAATCAATGCTAGAAGTTAGTATTCCAGTCACAAAAACTAAAAGTCACGAGGTTTTACCATTGTTGAGGCGGAGAAGAACTTTGTTATTTGGCATTATATAGGAAGAGCTGGATGTATACTAAGGCCCTTTATAAATTGTGCTTTCCATATTACCTGTTCTGAAAATAAAGAATATGAATAGGTAATTTCTGAATGCCTAGGGATTAAAATTATACCCATTCATGCACAAAAATTAGGGATTTAATTCAATAAAAACGTGTCGGCATTGGAAAAATCAATTTACGTGAATTTCGCGTCCCCAATAGATTTTGAATCATAGCGATCCAATCGAAACGCACTCAGTTTTAATCGCGCGCCATCGACCGTCGCTAGGTCAATTACTTGCTTATTTATCTTACCATTCCATACCAAATTTTAATATGAATTTCTCATTACTCTTGGGAATCAAAATCACTTTACGTGAATATTGCGCCCCCAATAGATTTTGAATTATAGCGATCCAATCGAAACGCATTTAGTATTGTCAGAGCGACGACGGATTCATTACTTTCGTTTAATAATTTTGTGTGGGTCTGCTTAATTAAAAATGCATAATATTTGAAAAAAATATTGTATTTAGTCATTATTTTCCTTTATCAGATTGTCACAAATGTTGTGGTATCGATTTATTTCCGATTGTTAATGTAAAACGGAGAGATGTGTAGGTAATACTCCTACCCAGCTTTCGTTATACGCATCCGGGCTGCAGTTGCGTGATGACGTCACCGTCGCTGGACCCCCCCCCCCCCCCGTCGCTAACTTCTCATACGTCGTAGAATCCAAATCAATTCGTACTTTTTCGATCAGACTTCTCAATCAAAAGTTATAGACTAGAACCCAATTTCGAAAAAAAATTCAAAGGGCTGTAACTTTTGAACTAGTAGCCCAATCTTGGAACTGTTTGAAATTATGGATTCTACAGGCCTCATTCTATAAAAAAAAATTTTTTCCGGGTCGATCTGAGACAATTTTTTTTTCGGCGCTCAAAAAAAGGCAGTGTATAACCTTCCTTTTTTACCAAAAATCGACTACACCAAAATTTCTCGGGAAAACACTTTTTCTTATTAATGTTGGTGCGTAGAATCCAAAACAATTCGTACTTTTTCGATCAGACTTCTCAATCAAAAGTTATAGACTAGAAACCAATTTCGAAAGAAAATTCAAAGGGGCTGTAACTTTTGAACTAGTAGCCCAATCTTGGAACTGTTTGAAATTATGGATTCTACAGGCCACATTCTATAAGAAAATTTTTTTTCCGGATCGATCTGAGACAATTTTTTTTTCGGGGCTCAAAAAAAGGCAGTGTATAACCTTCCTTTTTTACCAAAAATCGACTACACCAAAATTTCTCGGGAGAACACTTTTTCTTATTAATTTTGGTGCGTAGAATCCAAAACAATTCGTACTTTTTCGATTAGACTTCTCAATCAAAAGTTATAGACTAGAAACCAATTTGGAAAAAAAATTCAAAGGGCTGTAACTTTTGAACTAGTAGCCCAATCTTGGAACTGTTTGAAATTATGGATTCTACAGGCCACATTCTATAAGACAAATTTTTTTCCGGGGCGATCTGAGACAATGTTTTTTCGGGGCTCAAAAAAAGGGCGCACTAGGCCCGGGGGGGCGGGTGGCGATTGCCACCTGGCCTGTAGATCATAATGGCCCATTGGAAATTTATAAGAATGTGCTGTATTTAGTTTCTTGCACTATTAATAAATTATTAACATGTTTCTCTAATTGGGGTTGATGTTAGGTTGTTAAAAAATTCTGTTTTAATTGAAGTGTTTTACAATGAATTTATTGTATATTTTGTTACTTTTAATTATAAGCTGCAATTTGAAAAAACTGTATGGTAATTTATTTTCGAGAAAGGAGTACTTTAAAATGTTTTTGTGGTGCACCTCAGAGCTAACCCCCCCCTCCCCCCATCATTACTACACTAATACTTTAATGGCCCGTAACTTATGCAATTCCACCTGGCCCGCAGTTACCCAGTCCGCCCCTGTCGGTTTTATTGACAGAACTGTCAAAAATTTTACATTTTTTACATGTATGTCATAATATATATGTTGCATAAATAATGTTAATTTTATGGATTTGTAAGGTTTAAGTCTTTTGTACGAGAGTTTAAAAATAAATCTAAGTGAGGTTAGGTCTTGTAAGAGATGTTAGGAGATGCTTCGCAGTTGGGATAGGTGGCCAACTTTTCTTGTGGGCGGGCCCATACGAAGGGGCGTGGCTAACAAATCTTGGGGACGGAGCTTACATCATCTCACTTAAACTAAGCTCACCTAACGTAACTACTACTCTAAGCTAACCTAACTAGCTCACTAACCTAACTTAACTGACCCACTCACCTAACCTAATTAAATACTAACCGAACTGAACTCCCTCGCTAGCCTAACCTATATAATACTCACTCACAGCAAATATAACCATCGATTAAGAATCTACTGCAACAAAGTGCAGGAAACCGTACTAAAATTAGTAAATTTAGTCTTTAGATTTCCTTCACAGAGGTCTCCACCCCAACTGTACAAGGGAGACATCTGTGAGCAGTTAGTGCAACTAAAATAACGGTAATATTTGAAGAACTTGCACTTATGCATTCATGAGAGCACTAAATTTGTCTGTCTTGTTTTGACTAAACCATAATTAGGACCTTATCGCAGACCCCCTTTGTCGGTACCCGCTTCCGATGTCCACCCGCAATTGGAGTTTGAAGTTAAAAGCTACTCATCTTTTGTAAATCTTTCTAGCCATGCTGAATTTACAGAATACCATGGAGGAGTTTTGGAACTATACTTTAGTCCATTTGTGTACACTCGATAGTAGCAACATTATATAAATAATATGTATTTCCGTTTATCTAACGTTAAATTTTTATATTTAGCGATTTATCGTTAGTGTAGCACATCCTTTGTTCTCAATTTTAAAAAGGAAGGCAAATTTGACGTTGACTTGTTTAACAAATTTCTTAGCTACAAATGAATCCTTTTTTTCAAATCAAGATTACACCAAACCAACTTGAAGAATCATCTCTAAAAAATGAAGAACTCGATTAATTTAAAATATATTGTAAAATATGAAATAAACCGGGAAATACATACAAAAAAAAAACGTTAAAAAAGCGTAAACTACTACAAAAATAACAATACAATATTAATCTAAAAAGTAATATTTCCTACAAATCTAGTAGTAATAAATAGAAGTAATGGAAAGACGATTTGTAAAAAATATTACATTTTTACATTAATAACGGGAAAGATTTAAACGTATTAACATTTGTACACAGCTACCAAATATTATAAACGTAACTTTAAAGAAAAGATGTTACATTAATAACATTTGGTAGCCGTGTACAAATGTCGATACGTTTACATCTTTCCTGTCACTTCATCACATAAAGCTGCCAATGCGGCACACTCTTTATTTTTTTGATCCAGCAAATCAATTAGTGACGCATTTTTTATATCTAAACGTTTCACTACCGCATTCAACTTATTCACTTCGCCATCGTAGTTGTCGCGCATCATGAGTACCTCCTGATTTGATCTACAAAATAAATAGTTTATTGCGATTAGTTTCCACGAAGCTCGGTTACTTCTCTATTTGCGCTTTCGCGTGCGCCTTTAGGGACTCGTACTTCTGTTCACTTTTAAGAAGATTCTCTTCTGAAAGGGCTAACGCCTGGCGCAACGTATCCTCGTTAGATTTATATCCGAGAATAATTTGTTTACAACGTTCGTATTTTCTAAAATATTAGGATATTAAAAAAGCTTAACAAAGAGCACTTACTGATGGACGTCGGAAAATGCCAATTCCAAGTTTGCAAGGTGCTTCGTAACAGTTTCGTGTTCTTCATTAACCTTTTGTAAATTGTCCGACTTCTTTGTCAACGCCTTTTCGTAGTCTTCGAGTATTTTCCTGCAATGCAGAACATTTGAGACGAACTTTCGTTTCACTACTTTCCTATAAATGTAAACCAAGCTGTTAGAAGTACTTTGTGTTAGAGGGGTTGAAAATGTTGCTCTTTAACGCCTTAAATACAAACTTATAATAAATTTTCCAATTTTCGTGCAATTTTCCAGTATTTCTATAAGTATTCAACAATTCTCTTTAATAGGGGATGCGTTTCCCTGTATGATATTTTAGTTTATGAAATAAATCTGGGGGAATACATACAAAAAAGGCACAGAGTTAGTTGATTTAATTTGAATTTGTAATTGAGTATTGTTTTCCTTTTAGAAATTTTCTAAATCCGTGTTTCTTGTTTAAATGTTATCCCTTTTGTAATTTACTCAATTTAGATAGGGACATAGGGTGTTACACCTGGTCAAGTTTGCGATAAAAAGTTTTATTGTTGGTGGAAATGGCGTTTCCTTAAATACTGGAGACAATAAGAAAACGAGGTTGCTGTTGGTTTCGTGACGGTTGAAGAGCGTGTACATTTTGTTTAGACTAAATTTTGAGAAAGTACATAAATAACGATTTTGGCCATTTTTGCCCACAAACATGAAGGTCACCAAAAATACACACAGATCACTTCTTCGGCATCGACCAATAGAGTTTGATCTTTTTCCCAAGAAAAATGATGCATAAACAAAAATTTTAACAACTTTTGACTAAAGATATTTTGGTTACCAAAAATGCATATGAATCATTTCTTGGGTATCATGGAATAGGGCAGCGGTTCTTTTTTGGTGAGGAAACCCTTTTAAAAAACTAGATTTCTAACCCTAAACTAAAAGCAAAACTAGTTTTTGCTCATCAAAAAATTTTGAAAAAAATCTGAATTTTAAAATTTACTAATATTTCTGGCGTTATATTTTACCTAGAGCACAACCAAGGACACGTCTCCACAGCAACTTTTAAAGCACTTTACAATGGCGTTGTTAATTTTTTAATCCGAAGTTTCGTTTTTGGGGCAATCTTCAAAATTTTTGAAAAACTCTAAATTTCTTTAGGAATATCTAAACGCTATCCTTTAAGACCCCTCCTATCTCTTTACTGTCAAGTTAGGAATGTAATGAGGTGCAGCTTTATTTGCATTCCGGCACATACATCCTCAATTATGTTGTAGGGATTGCAAATGTGGGTCGGGTACACTTCACCGGCAGCCAATCTGCCGTGAATGATTTGCCTCAGAGTACGATTTGACGAGGCATGATTCGCAGCGACCCATTTGCAACTGAATTTTAAAGATGTTTTTAGCGCATTTTCCAACTCATTACGGAAGGCGCTATTATGGCCACTTTCTCCGTCCGTCCGTCCAAGGCTTCTAATAAAGACAAGCATACCGCATATTGTAAAAAGCAAGTGTGCGCAAATGTCAAGTTATACAGTGTGTCCCCGAATGGACTGAACAAGAGGGGAAAAATTTTTAATTTTAACTTTACGCAAAAATGTCATTCTTTATAAAAATCTTTGTTTGCCTCAAAACCACCTATTCTGAAATAAAAATCTAGATATTCCTTTTAGCAGCTGAGAAAATTACAAAAAACGCAAAATCTACAGCAGAAATTTTTCTAAGTTGCATGTTTTTGATTAAATCAGACTATCATTGTATCTTCCATGGCAACCTGATAAGCAAATCAAATTAAAAAACAGGAGCGGACTGGCACGGGGGGGCGGGTGGCGATTGCCACCTGGCCTGTAGATCATAATGGCCCGTTGGAAATTTTGAGTAACTTTTGAAATCGTAGCCCAATCTTGGAACTGTTTGAAATTATGGATTCTACAGGCCACATTCTATAAGAAAATGTTTTTTCCGGGTCGATCTGAGACAATTTTTTTTGCGGGCCTCAAAAAAAGGCAGTGTATAACCTTCCTTTTTTACCAAAAAACTACTGCACCCAAATTTCTGGGTAAAACACTTTTTCTTATTAATTTTGGTGCGTAGGATCCAAAACAATTCGTACTTTTTCGATCAGACTTCTCAATCAAAAGTTATAGACTAGAAAGCAATTTCGAAAGAAAATTCAAAGGGCTGTAACTTTTGGACTAGTAGCCCAATCTTGGAACTGTTTGAAATTATGGATTCTACAGGCCACATTCTATCAGAAAATTTTTTTCCGGATCGATCTGAGACAATTTTTTTTTCGGGTCTCAAAAAAAGGCAGTGTATAACCTTCTTTTTTTACCAAAAATCGACTACACCAAAATTTCTCGGGAAAACACTTTTTCTTATTAATTTTGGTGCGTAGAATCCAAAACAATTCGTACTTTTTCGATCAGGCTTCTCAATCAAAGGTTATAGACTAGAAACCAATTTCGAAAAAAAATTCAAAAGGCTGTAACTTTTGAACTAGTAGCCCAATCTTGGAACTGTTTGAAATTATGGATTCTACAGGCCACATTCTATAAGAAAATTTTTTTTCCTGGGCGATCTGAGACAATGTTTTTTGCGGGGCTCAGAAAAAGGCAGTGTATAACCAGGGGCGCACTGGCCCGGGGGGGCGGGTGGCGATTGCCACCTGGCCTGTAGATCATAATGGCCCGTTGGAAATTTATAAGTATGTGCTGTATTTAGTTTCTTGCACTATTAATAAATTATTAACACGTTTCTCTAATTGGGGTTGACGTTAGGTTGTTAAAAAATCGTAATCACTCCCTTATCTTAAGGACTATTGAAAAAACAAGAATTTCCATTTCAGCTCATTAAAACTTTTGTATTTATAATTCTTTTTTATTTTTTCAAATAATCAAATAGCGATCGATTAAAAATTTCAAAAAACGTTTTTTGATAACCACCCCATCGATTTTTGAAAGTAAAACATTTATAACATCCCTACACTACATTTGTCCTAATGATTTTTTTCAATCTGTCCTGCCAAGGGGGGCCATTTTGGAAAACGAAATTGAAAAATGTTTAGGACAAATGTTGTAGTAGATGGTGTAGGGATTTTAAAAACAAAAGAACGCCAATAACTTCGAATTGGGGCACCAAATCAAAAATTGGAACTAAGAAGAAACTTGTTTGTTTTAATGAGTTCTTTCGGGTGTAATGACTTAGTATCAACACTCTGTATAAATGGTTTAAGAGATAGAAATTTCATTTATATAATTATGCAATAGGATATCGCAATAAATTGAATAACAACACAGCATGTATTGATCAAATATTACTGTTGAATACTATTAGTCAACTGTTGTTCATAAATCCAATGACGCAAACTATACCTGGGAAAATAATAGTTACTGAAATCACACACCAGGAACAATACTTGCTTGAATGCAACTATTTTTCCTATCATACGTAGTGTAGTGTTTAAATCTGTGGAATTATAAGCAAAAAATGTTTACAAGTATTTGGCACAAGAAAAAAACAAAATTAATAGTCTCTAGCAAAGAATTATAAATGTGTTAATGCCAAAGAACTAAGTTGTTACCTGTAATTGTGTTCATCATTTTTTCGTGCATTTAATTCACTCATGAGTTTAGCTTCCCTCGCTTTTAATGATTTGACTGTTTCTTGTAATTCCTTCGTCGGTGTGCCCTCATTTTCTGCGGTTTTCTCTTCTAGTTTGTCTTTCAGCTGTTTTAATTCTTGCTTTGTCGCTTGATCTTTACGTAACAATTCCGTTTGCGTTTTAATGACTATTTCTTCTTTTTGGGTTAGCTGCAACTCTAAACTGGCCCTTAACTGCTCAGACGCATTTAATTGAAGTTTCAATTGTGCTTGCTCCTCCTCTAATTGATGTACTTTCGCATCGAGATCGGTCATTATCTAAGAATTAGAAAGTCACAAATCGCTACAACAGAAAACCATTAACCTTAGGTTCAGGTTTATCGTTATCTGAAGAAATAGGTTCTATTGTACACAACGCACTATCACTTAATGGAATGTTTACTAATATTTCAGGCTCGTCCTCGGGATTAACATTATTAATAATCTCAGATACTAAGTTTTCAGTTTTGTTCCATTCAGTCTCACCATTTAAGTGTTCGCAGTTTTCCTTAAACGAATCATTTTCCGAACTGTCGAGCGGAAGTGATTGACTAGAAGTAAAACTACAATATTTAGTTGTAAATGTTATGCTACTCACTAAAAGGGATCAAATGCTTCTAGTACAGACGGTCTTGTTGAGTTCACTACTGGCCGAGGGGAGATCTCTGTAAATGCTTTTTTAAATTAATTTGCAGATATTCAAGGGCAATCACACCAATGCGTAAAGGTGGCACATGCAAATTTGTGATTCATTACCCAAAGATCCAAACCATAGCGCGATAAAATAAAGGTTTAATCACAGTTGTCCAAACGTCAAGCATGGAGCAAATGGATGCAGGATGGTGTGTTACTAAAAGGAGATGGATGCACAAGTGGGCGGGTTCATATAACAAAAATCTCAGCTAAGGGTACGTTCACACGCTTTTCGTGCGTCAATTTTAATGACGTGATTAGAAACGAAAAAGGGTAGTTCGCAGATAATGATCCCGTTTGGAAACTATGGATAATGGTTTCTGTACCAAATGCGATACATAAATCGACCCCACTTCATCATATGTCAACCAAATTAAACAAAGAAAGAAATATTTGAAATACCACAAAAGTTACAGTCCTCACAATAAACTGGTTAACTAAAGTGAGTTTTCTTTAAAAAATTTAATTTTTGAAACGGAAAAGGACAATACTTTTAATTAAGTAGACCCTGTAAACAATCAAAAATTAAGGAAAAACAAAGTAATATTCAGTATTGCCAGTACATTGAATTCTAAAGAATATTAATTAATTGTTTCACGATTTCTTCACAATTTTAACCACAGCTCTCATGAAGTTAGCCCCTGAGGCTTTTCCCTATAGAAAATATCTCGGCAAATATATACAGGTACCATGGCACCTTGATTTGTATTGATTCTGTCATTTAAAAATCATCTTGTGAAATTGTTGTGAAATGTGCTTCTTCAATATTTGTAAACATAAACAATCTTGACATGCTTTTCACAAGGCACAATTATAGACGCTTATACTTATTGCAGAGATATCGATTAACTATAATGACTTAAGTGATACATAAAAGAACAGCACAGATGAGTCTCTGCTGAAAGCGATCTCTATCTTTACTTCTTGCAGTGAGGTGTTAATATTCCTTGCCAGATAAAGGATAAAGGAACTGCCCTTTGGGTTGCTTCAATGAACATTATACAGCATTTTAAGCAAAAGCAGCATTCTATTATAAGATCTTCATTGTATAAAACAAACAAGCAAACTTACTGCATGTATCGAGTGTTTCATGGTTTCCTGTGATATTAAAAATCATTGTGTTGCATTCGTCGACGGAACTATTGGTATCGCTGATTTCTAAATTAGACGATTAATTAAATTAACACCCAACAAAAAGTATCTTTACCTTCACTTCCATTGTGTGATGTGTCACACAAGGTGGAGTTCTTGTTATTGTCCTGGAAATGAAAGCAACAGTAGGTCACACGAAGAATTAAATGTAAAAGTACCTAATTACCTTTGAATTATCATGAGAAAGTAAGTTGATGCATTTTTTTAACATACCCGAAACAAACATTACCTTGAAGATATTGCGACTGAATGTTCTTATAATAAACTAATTTCTGGCAAGAGAGCATTAAAGAAAAACACTTGATCTAAAAATAACACACAAAATATAAGGCGAATTCTGTTTTTACAATTATTTATGGGGTGGTGGGAGCAGCTAAAGCTAATATTGATCATCGAATTGGCCGAATTTCTCACATATTGCTATGCGAGTATGGTCCAGATTATAGATACCATTCTTATTAATTTACACCGTTTTAATTAACACTACTTACCATGATTGCGGTAGTTGTTAGCATGTGCTAATACGCTAAACTGGAAATATCCTTTCAAAACGAACACACACACACTGAACACATTTGTAATTTAAAAAATATGAACTAGATACACGTAACGTCGGTTCAACAAAAAAAACGTTACAAAACCACATGTACATTCAATTTTTGAAATTCGCAAACAATGGATTGCCGATAACCAAGCTATCTGTACTATTGCGATGTTGTCAAAGTTCAAAATGTTATGTACAGTATGGACTTAAATAAAATTCCTGAACGGAGTATGTAAGGTTGCTTAAATGAGATTGAAAAATAAAACAGATTTATTAAGAAAAGAAGAAATTTGTCCATTCCATTACCAATACTTGTCTTCGTTGTTTCACCTCGATTAGAAATAGCCGCATATGGGGGGTTTAATCTTTAATGACCATGGACAGTGCAGGATTTACCCATTCTAGCACCCTGAGACACAACTCTCCAGATATAGAATCCGCAAAATGTGTTCCTTTATTGTAGAATTCAAGAAACATCAAGACATCAAAATACAAATTATGAAGCAATATTCTTTTATATTGGCAAAGGCCTCATTCACTTCACTTTACTGATTATATCAATTCTCGCATGGCTGAAAATTATCTGTCGGCTAGTATGTATATCCTCAACCAAACCTCTACTTGTATCAATTCTTTCTGATCCATTTTAAAAGAGTATTCAAAGAGATGTGGGTGCTCATAAGCAGTGGCGTATTTGCGGGGGTGGGGGGGGGATGAAGGGGATATATCCCCCCACCCACCCCCCCAGTTATCATCATAGCTATTAGGTATTTAGGTAATACTCCGCTATCCGCTCCGCCCACTTTAAAATATAGGCAATAATATATAGGTATATATAGAGAGCAATTTTGGTTTTGGTTAAAGTCTAAAGTCACTAAAATCTAAATACTCTGTAGTATTCAGTATTCACTATTCAGTGAGTGATCAGTGTTGGCAGTCAACGACTTGGCTATTCGGCATCGATCGGCAATTCGCTACATTGATGCCCAAAATAACAAATAGGTATCAGGTACTTAGTACTGCTACTGAGATGAGGTACCTGCGTCCTGCCTTTCACGAAATGACGAAAATAAGAATTTTAAATTTTAAAAACAGGAATTTTTTTGCCCATAACTTTTGATTGAGACGTCTAATCGAAAAAGTACGAATCGTTTTGGATTCTACGCACCCAAATTAATAAGAAAAAGTTTTTTCCCGAGAAATTTTGGTGCAGTCGATTTTTGGGAAAAAGGAAGGTAATACACTGCCTTTTTTTTGCCCAGAAAAAAAAATTGTCTCAGATCGACCGGAAAAAAATATATTTTCTTATAGAATGTGGCCTGTAGAATCCATAATTTCAAACAGTTCCAAGATCGGACTACTAGATCAAAAGTTACAGCCCTTTGAATTTTTTGTCGAAATTGGTTTTTTGCCCATAACTTTTGATTGAGACGTCTAATCGAAAAAGTACGAATCGTTTTGGATTCTACGCACCAAAATTAATAAGAAAAAGTTTTTTCCCGAGAAATTTTGGTGCAGTCGATTTTTGGTAAAAAAGGAAGGTTAATACACTGCCTTTTTTTTGCCCAGAAAAAAAATTGTCTCAGATCGACCGGAAAAAAATATTTTCTTATAGAATGTGGCCTGTAGAACCATAATTTCAAACAGTTCCAAGATCGGACTACTAGATCAAAAGTTACAGCCCTTTGAATTTTTTGTCGAAATTGGTTTTTTGCCCATAACTTTTGATTGAGACGTCTAATCGAAAAAGTACGAATCGTTTTGGATTCTACGCACCCAAATTAATAAGAAAAAGTTTTTTCCCGAGAAATTTTGGTGCAGTCGATTTTTGGTAAAAAAGGAAGGTAATACACTGCCTTTTTTTTGCCCAGAAAAAAAAATTGTCTCAGATCGACCGGAAAAAAATATTTTCTTATAGAATGTGGCCTGTAGAATCCATAATTTCACAGTTCCAAGATCGGACTACTAGATCAAAAGTTACAGCCCTTTGAATTTTTTGTCGAAATTGGTTTTTTGCCCATAAATATACCTATTATTCAAAGTTTTCGTTGACTAATTAAAGCAAAAGCAATAAAGGGGCCTGTCAGCAGTAAGAAATAAAATACCGTTCTAATCTAATCTTTTTCGCCTGTACAATAATAAATAGATAAATGACTACCAGCATCAGCAACCCAATTTCTATTTCTTACCCTCCCCCCCACCCCCTTCTAGTACGCACTGGGCGACTGTATGTGCCACGAACTTGTTTAATCCCCCCCAGAATCAATTTCTACGTACGCCACTGCTCATAAGTAAATTGAAGACTCTATACAGTGTTTCAGTTCTCTTTCAAGAAGAGGTCTCTGAAGGTGCAGTTAGGCATTAGCTTTTATAACCTCCTAAAGGATTTAGGAAGGTCTCAGACACTGTTGGTAACTCTAAAAGGCGTTTAAAGGCTCTAAAAGGTTTCAAAGTTTAAGCAGAGTACTAGGTTACTCTTTGGTTTAAGTATTAAATACTCAAGATTACTTTTGAGATAGGCAACACACAATACTGATACGTGGACAAACTTCAAGTGTGCAAAAAATTGGAGCCCCTTAAATGAAAAATCGTACAAGTACCAACACACACCAGAGGGTTTTGATGCACAGTTATATTGGTTCTGTAGGAACTTCATTACGCATAACGCGAGTTTCCCAAGCACAGCTCGCCACTCCGACTGACCATCAGGAAGTCACTAGACTCTTTGAGAAGTTTATTTATTTATTTAGCCTTTATTTTGAGTGGGCGGGGTTTCAGCCAAGGCTGCTCTACCAACCCAACCCACTATACATTTACAAATATCCATGCCCGAACCCGGATTCGAACCAGGGAGCCTAGCACCACAGTCCAGCTTCAACTTAACTGCGCCACACGAGCCGGCACAAGGAAGTTGCAGGTGCCTTACCACACCCATCGACTCCAAGAGATGGTTCCCCTAGAAAACGTCAGAATGTAAAGGCGGATCTTATTGATCAAAGATATATGATGGCCTCAATAGCTCAGATGAAATAGGCGCGAGGTACTTTTGGTGGTGGTCCAATTATTCAAAATAGACATCTCAAGGACTTTCAGCCACAGACCCGTGTCGAATCTCTTAAAAGCATGGTTAGAATTATTGGAGGACTTTTTTTCGCCCATTTAACCGTTCCTCTATCTGCGTTAGTTTGAAAGATCTCCAGGTTAACATCAGAGAAAAATATGATAAGAGGAGACAGGAAAACAGACTGAATAATCATGAAAGAGAATAATAAAAAAGTGACAGATGGTAATAATAAGTAACACTATACATTGCAGAAATGTGACAGGGCGAAGTAGATTTAAGTGAAGGATAGTTTAGATTAATATTGTAGGTAAAATATCGCTTTAACTCTGGTGACATTTTCTTTGGGTTCTACCACTAGTTGCTTCCTTTATTCATCTGTTACAGCTACAGGCTGTAGCATATACAAAACCATCTTTAAGTTACAACTTACACAATAAAAAACATATTCATATAATTATTTTATACAGTCGGTTACAATTGTAAACTATTTTAAAAAAATAGTATTCTCTATAACAATTAATATAATACATAGTTGAGAGTGTGGTACTTAAATTTTTAAGTATGATACATAACATAATGCTTACGGTTAATTTATAGTCTCAATTTCAATCACAGATCTGGGTTTGGCGCAATTGTGAGTGTTACAGACAAACCAGATTCCTTTATCAGATTCACAATATCTCCATGACTGAGATTCATTATGTCAATATGGTTAACTGCAACAATATAATCCCCTACACGTAAACGGCCGCAAGTTTCTGCTGGACTGTCTTCAATTAGTCTGCCTGTGTATAATACAGTATGTCAATAATCATGTTGATAAATGTAAAACTAAGATGTTCCCAGGAACGTAGCTAGAAACTTGAGGTGGTGGGTTTACTACTTGGATTATCTATATTATCATTACGTAATTTCTATATTAAGAAATCGAAATGGATAAGCCAAATAGTTGCAAAGTGAACCTGACCAACCTGTAGCTACGTCCAGGGATGTTGGACTAAAACCACGGGGGCCGCCATGATGTGCACTCACATGGCGCGAAATTCAAATTAACTAATAAACAAGCACTAACCCAACATTAACCTCACGTTTTCTAAATAAATTACTGTGACACATGTCATTTTCCAAGGCTGCAATAATCTCAAAACTTGAGCACTAGGAAAATTCCCCTAGAAAATAACTAAAACGTGCACATCATGGCCGCGCCCATGCTAGGGCCATTTCTACCCCTATGCAACTGTTTGATCAGCAGTCAATCTTAATTTATAAGTTCGTGACTAAAACTTACCAATCGTGGAACCAATTTTGTTCACAGAAGATATAATAACAAAACCAAATCCTTCATTTTCGTTCCGATTTACGACAACATCGTAAGTCGCTGTAGGATGAGGCACCGAATTATACACAATGTTTGGCGAATAATCGTTCACACTTAAATTGCTAACTGCCGGAGTATAAGATCCATTAATGATGGGGAAAGTACGGCGTCGTAGTACCAAATTTACTTGACCCCTTGCACCTGCGGCATTCATAAGTTGAACGACTTGTCGATGGGAGGCCTTTAAAACCGAATATCCATCTACGCTGACAATTTCGTCACCAGATCGAATGCGACCATCTAGATCTGCAGCTCCTCGTGCCACGATATGGCCCACAGCAACCTGAAAATCAAAAATAGAAAAATTCTCTCTTAAATTTGATTATGTAATATAATAACTTTGTATGCGCTACTATATCCAAAAAAATGTAATGCGTAAATTAGATTCGTAGCAAACTTTTTATAATATTGGTTTTGGATACCATAAAAAACTGCAAAAATGTCCAACCTGTATAAGTATACAAGGGCTACTTAAAAAAGAAAACACGCATCGAATTTGGTGAATTACAAATTACCATTTGATAATAGTGCATAATACTTATTCGCTAATTCTCAGACAGGCCAAGTAATTTGATTTAATCTATGTAAATAAGGAATGTTGACTAGGTCATAGAGGAGATCATATAATTTAAATTATACTGTACACCCAATGGAATAATCAATTCCACACAATATGGCAGCACTGAGCAATGACAGGTGGAACAACTATAAATGAATAAACAATATTTAACAAAAGAAATGATAATAGGGAATTAACCAACATCGTGTATTGGTATGTTTTGTGGGAGGATGTAAGCTATTTTTGTTTAAATTCTCCAGAACATTCCATACATTGCGCATGCGCAGCAAAACCCTGGGCAAAGGGCTCTGCCCAGGTGAGACCGCATTTCCGCACCATTCAGAGGAATTGTATGAACGACAATCTTAACAAACCCTTTCTAGGTTAAAACGCTGGACCAGCTCTTATTCGCAAGAAGAATAGGACTGGAGCACAAAAGGCAATGATCAGGAAGCGCCGGCTCAAGGGTAAAACGTCGGGCCAAACGGGCCCTGCATCAAAGCCTAAGGCTGTGTCTCTGAGCCTAAGTGAGGTGCATTATGACTGCATTGAATGCAGTTGCTGACGCGAGAGGGGGGGACCTCTTCCTAGGCTGGCAGAGTTCCACTAGAATCCACAGGGTGCCATTTAGGCCGAATGCGAGGACCAGTGAACCTTGGACTGGTTGGAGAGAACCCTCCCTCTTATTAGGCCCTGGGATGGCGCGTCTCTGAAAGTTCAAAGCCACATCCCTAGGGTAACCAAAGTAATGGCGGTGTTATACAAGCTCCCGGATGACATGGCCACAATCTTGAAATTCCTCCAGAAGCAAAATCCTGGTTTCAGGACGAGCCTATGGAGGACGCAAGAAGGGTCCTCTCACATTAGGTGTCGATGAGGCATCCTATCGAGCACTCCCGTGGTAGAACCTTAAAGCGCACGCGGGCGTCTCGCATCTCACATCCATGACGAAAGTGAGTGAGCAAGAGATAAGAGGGCTGGCTCCACTGGAGCACTGGGACCCAGTTCCGTTGCGTCCCTCGTTATCGACCTTGAAGGGCCGTCGGGATTACTTCCGGCGCCCTCAGAGACCAAGAATGGTGTTGATGAGCTTTCGACTCGTGTGGCAGTTCTAGGCTCCGACCAGGGGTCCAAACCGTCGGCATCACTAGATGATGGACGAGGTAACCTTCTCATAGAGCAATTTGCAGTACAGTAAGGGGACGACAATGGCATGGCTTTACTACCTATGATCACAGATTTATTATTCTGTGCTATGATGTAGGAAGTCGGCATTGCTGCTTAATCCTTCATTCATTTCTCAACGAGATAGGTATGCCTATGCATTCAATGCGAAATCTAATAGTTCGCAATGAGAGCAATTAAATATGATATGACATCCCACTGCACGCGATATATGAAAATAAACTTATGTTCCACAATTTACTTAGTAATTTAGTATGGTATTTCCCAGTCCCAAGTCGGTTCCATATTATGCCAAATACGATATGTGAGGGGGTGCCTTACGGTTCGCCCCTGTCAGTAGGGATGGTGGGCGTCCCGAAAAAGCAAACGCCACATTTCTTTCTAAAGTATTTTAATTCGGCGATCGGTAGACCAATTTTTTGTGTGTCTGAAATGACTAACTTTTTGAAACAAAAATTTCATCGTTGTAGAAATAAGTTCAATTGAATAATTTTTTATGCATCTTGCGTCGGTGGTAGACTTTGTGTTTACTCGTACTATCAAAATGGCAGAATATCAACTTTATAGAAATGAGTGCATAAAAAATGTCGCTGCCTCCTGGACTATAAGGTAGACCATGGTATAATAAAGGTAGACAGTCAAAGAAATCGCATCACAATCAACACCCACACAAGGTCGGAGCTTGTGAATAATACCAACACCATATGACAATACACAGTAGCCCTTTGTTCTAAAAATAACTGTGCTTTAGGATTTCGCAGGTTTATGGTACACATAGCTTAGCAAATTGTTTCTTGGCGGGCAATTTTTATTTCGTGCTTTTTTCCATTAAAAATAGTTCATTTTAGAAGTAGGGATGTAATTACAAACCAGTGTAAAGTCTACTATTGAAAAGAATATATCGAATCCATTTTTCATCCAATTAATTATAACTTGTGTACCTACATAATAGTATATCGCGCAACGAGTTTAATGGCACGACGCGAAGCGGAGAGCCTTTAACGTTGCAAGTGCTTTAAAGACCAATTATACACGTGTATCTTACAGTATTTTTTATTATACCTGCAGTATAATTTAAAAATAGGAAATACAATGAAATCATATTGACGTTATACTCGAATACATGTCTAATTAAGTGGGCTGGGTGTTCGTAATTTCACGATTGCCATGGAAATGTCACTTGACGTTTGCTAATAAAAATCATCGTATTTGTGAATAAAACGATTTCTGTTTTAAAAGATAATACACCGTCCATTAAATCGCTTGTTGTAGAATCTAAACAAACGTTGGTAGGTGTAAAATCCAAATCCAGTAAAGCTCATTATAAAGAATATGAAAAGTTGTTTCCATGAATGAATAGGAAGTTACTTACGAATAAAATCTTAAAAGCATCGATAATGCTGGCATCTATGAAGGAAATGTCAAAGGTATTTAAATCTTCTATCGTTTGGTGCATTCATTCAAAACTTCAAACTATGCTGCGATTAAAATGTGGAACAGATTTGGAAGCATACCCTAAATTACGCGCGTTTGTGAAAGCTTCAACCAAAGGATAGGTACAATCCAAAGAAATATTTTGCATTTACAGAAAGCGACCTAAGAGGATCTTTTATTTCACCCAGATGACAGTTTCAAAAGTCATACCTACTTGAAGTATCGTTACTTAGCAACTTTAAAGCACGTGTGTTTTAAAGGCCTTTTTTCGCACGCATTTGAGTGTTTAAAACGGGGATTGTGATTCAGGTATAATAAAAATCAATATTTTATGCTAGATTTTATGTAGTAATCTACTCCAAAATTTTTAGATACTTTAGCATAAGTAGGTATCTACCATATTTTGAAAAACGCTTGCACTTCCTCAATTATAGTTTATAGCATTTTTAAAGGTGGTCTAACGATTTCTTCAAATTTTTTGGCATATTTTGCGTTATGTTCTATACATTTTTTTCACCTAAATCATAAAAATTCAAATTCAGAATCCCGATTTTAAAGTTCTGCGTGACGTCATGCACCAACTAGCATAATCTTGTTTTCTTTATTTACATCCTGACTACAAAAGTACGTGCTTGTTGTAAATATAGCGAAAGTCTCCGAAAGTTTCCGAAGGACGCGGCAAATTTTCGAGATAAAAACAAGATACTTTTTAACAGTGCTTTCAGACAACATTAGCGCCATCTGCCGTTATCCGTCTGATTTTGAAATGGTAACAATATAAACTAAAGGCAATAAGCTCCCCCACCACTCTGGCAGCGCGCTCTTAAAGAGAACATAGTTTCACAAACTGTAAAACAGGATTTGCATAGTTATAACACAAGGAACAAAAAACACATTTACATAACTTTCCATAGGCTCAATAAAACAAAGGATGGCGTATCATATTATGGGATGAAGTTTTATAATGCATTACCCACGAAAACTAAAAACTTAGATTCACTATCATTCAAAGCTAGTGTAAAGGAATATTTAAAACGTCGAGCATTCTACTCACTAAACGAATTTTTGAACAATAGTTTCAATGACTTAGATTGCTGGCTCTGTTTGTGAAGATGTTGCTATTTGTTGTCTAAATGTATATTTATTTTGTCCTTTGCCATTTTACCTAATTGTCATTTGTCTAAGAAAATAGAAATATTTTACATTTATATTGTATTGGTAGATATTTATGGTCCATTATGTCTGTGATAAAATGACGTGTGAAAATACTTGAAGGTATAAATCACCAATAAAGCATACATACATACAAATAGTAAAAAAAAAACGCACCTGTGATCTATCTTCTATGCCGCCAACTATTCGAAATCCGAAACCGATATCCTGTCTATTAAGCGTAATAGCGGTTTCTATATACTCGGGCGTGTGCTGCATAACGGGCCACCATTCTTGAAGATTTGCCTTTTGCATGGTAATGGAATCGTACACGTTACCATTTTCGGGACCATTTGCACGATAGGCGTGGCACTCAAAGCATGTGCAATCGTACCTATGCAAAACAGGAACGTGATAAGAGTATTTAGGATCATTTCCCATTAGGTAATCTACGGGTTGATTGTTATGGTTTGGTGTTTGCGTTAGATCAAATTCATCTTCCACGTCGACATTATCAATGAGGGAAAGTTGCAAACCGGTACGTAAATCTTGATTATAATGATCGTTACTATAATTGCACTTAAATAAATCGTTATTATTCGCCAACTCCTTCACAGGTGTTTTTGACGGACTTCTAGTATCTACGAGGGGAGTTTTCGGCCGGCTAGGTAACACTTCACGCTGTTGCGTACTGTAAATATCGGCTGTTGGTGTTTTACTACGGTAAGCATTGCTCATGTCTCGATTAGCAAATCTATTGTCTAGTTTCCTCGGTTTGTTTTTCGTGTTTGTCATTTTATTGGTCGAGGAACCACGTTGAACACATATAGTAGCATCTGCATTATAAGGACAGTTCTTTAACACCTGCACAACATCATCGTGAGACATGCTGCGCAGATTAATATCGTTGATTTCTAATAGAATATCGCCCTCCATTAGGTTTTTACAACGTTGACGATCGAGAATTTTTTTTACCCGTTGCCCACAAGCGCTATCTGCAATTGTGAAACCGAACCCGAGATTGCCTTTAACTATTCGAACCTTAACTTCTAACTTGCTAACGGGCAAGTTGTTGATTCCCTTTATTAAATCATCGATATTATCTTCAGTCTCCTGCACATTTTCTTCGTTGTCATCTCTTTCCAAGAAGTTGTAGTTAGTATCTAAATTTGCCATCCTTTTGTCCGAAGCTAGACTTTGTAAATTATCGTCTACTGCTATCGTGGTTACTACTTCAGTGTTCGGATCGTTGGGATCAAACGGTAGAGGATATCCGCGACACACTTCTAAAGTAACTGTGGAGCCAATAGAAATGGATTGGAATAGCCGAACGATCTGATTATGTGTATAACCCAAAACGCAAGTATCGTTGACGTAGACAATTACATCACCAGTCTGCAACTGACCATCCAGCCATGCCGGCCCTTTTGGAACGACAGACTTAATTTGCAAAAATTCGTCAACCCCATCGTCGCCACCAATGATGGTAAATCCTAGCCCGCGAGACGATTTTATAAGCGAAGTGCAAAAGCGCTGACCGCACAGTTCGGTGGGATCTTTCGTAAATGACGTACAGTTCGAACGACCTGAAGCTTCCGCCGCAGCACGTTTCGCTTGTAGGACAGGATTTTCATATTGTGTTCTCCGATTTACGTGATCTATAAAGTATGTGCCATAATGTGGATCACTGATTTTTTCCCAACCATACGGCAATTCGTCGTCCATGCAGTCTTCTAGAGATTTTTTTTGAAATTTTGAGAGCCTGGGGTCAAGCCAATGTGATGTACCCGTCGAATGGCTGAAAATGTTAATACTTTATTAATCCAAGTGTTGTTGCAATATAAATGTTTTGCTCAAATAAGTCTTATTTTCTAAAAAAGCAGGTTTATTGTATGATAAAACCCCATTTTTGTCACAATGGGTTTAGTTATCTTTAAAATTCGGAAAAAAATGATCACTTATATCATGATTCAATCTTTTCAAGTAAATAAAACAACGAGTAAAACAACTTTTGAGTTTGTCAAAAAATCGGATTGCGCATGCGCAAAACAAATTTTTTTGATTCGACATTAGTTTTACTTTTATTCGAGGTGCTTACATACAAAATTTCATGCAATTCGGTTCATAACTAACGGAAATGTCAAAAAAATCGCATTGCGCATGCGCAAAACACATTTTTTATTCGACATTAGTTTATTTGAGGTGCCTACATAAAGAATTTCATTTAAATATCTTAACAAATCAAAAATTTGAAATTGCGCATGCGCAAAAACAATATTTTAACAAATAAAAAATTGGGGTGGGCAAATATAAAAGTTGGGTTGCGCATGCGCAATTTTTTTTAAAAATTCATCGCATAGTTACCTCTGAGGTTTAAGGAATATATACTAACACAGAAAACTGGACATTCATATGTTCTTTGTAACAAGAGTTATAAAAGAAACCCTTTTTGGAGGTTTGGGCAGTAACTTTTTGGCCCGTTGGTCTACGTAACTGAAAAACAATAGCGACCTTTCTTATATCCTGAAGAACATGTGTATCAATTTTCAAAGCGATCTGACGTTTCTACACAGATAGACAGATGGACTGACAGACAGGAATACAAAATTATAAAAAGAATTGTCAATTTCAGAATTATCCTATATTTTCTTGGTTTAAGAGATACAGACAAATGCGAGGGTTACTACGGAAAATTGTGTACACTAAATTAAAACATTTATTGTATTAACTGCATTAAATCACATTATCTTGCATTAATCGCACAGATGAACTGAATGATTTGAACTACATAACTGGCTGTTCTCAATGTCTTTCTTAGTTTAGAGTCCGGTGCAACCACGAACTTCATAATATAAGTTAGAACTGCTAATGCTGATTGACAATGACAACTACATGGGGGCCAGCCATCGAAATGTGCATTTATCTTGGCGCGAAATTAAAATTCAACTAATAAACTGATCACAACGAAATATCGAAGGATCTCAGTAATTACAATTCACTTTTAACGACAATTTAGTTTTAATCTTACATAAATAAATACATTTTATAGTCAACAAAAATGCCTCAAATTTCATGTCTTGGTCATTGAGATAATGCTCTTAATCTTGTTCCCATAATAATCTGCTCTTGGTGTTTTTCCCAACGATCTTGGCGTATAAAGAGTGATTTTGAGATGTTTTGATCAAAATCCATGTGGTCGCCATAAATAGATCAAATTCATGTCATTGAGATCATGCTCTTGGTCTTTTTCCTAACGATCTTGGTGCATAAATAACAATTTTGACATGTTTTGATCAAAATCCACGTGGTCGCCAAAAATGCATCACATTCATGTCTTGGGCATTGAGATAATGCCCCTAGTCTTTTTCCCAACGATCTTGGTGCATAAACAAGGATTTTGACATATTTTGATCAAAATCCATGTAGCCTCAGAAAAATAATTTAACATCTTTGAATCACACACATGCGGTTATCAAATGTGGACGTGATGTACTCTTTCAAGATAATGCGTTTGAAAGCTTTTACAACTCCAAATTTATGTGTAAAGAATAATTTTGGGTACATTTTGCTCTAAAACTTTTGACCTATACCACAGAGAAGAGTTATATTGAATTATTACACATCTAAGAGTCATAGGGAATAATCTAGCGAAAGTCCGAACTCGATACATGACCTAGGGAATGAAATATGTTGATTTCTATTATATTGAGCCCGCAGTTTTTTCTGTTCCCGATTCACTCGAAGCCCTATAACTTTTGTTCCTCTTGAACCAGCTTCCTGAAAATCAATAGCATCCGTCCTTAATGTCCAAAGTACCCGTACACCAAATTTCAACACAATCGGCCACTTTTAAAAAGAGTTAGAGCGCACACGGACGGACGGACGACAATACAAAACTATAAAGGATCTGNAGTAAATAAAACAACGAGTAAAACAACTTTTGAGTTTGTCAAAAAATCGGATTGCGCATGCGCAAAACAAATTTTTTTGATTCGACATTAGTTTTACTTTTATTCGAGGTGCTTACATACAAAATTTCATGCAATTCGGTTCATAACTAACGGAAATGTCAAAAAAATCGCATTGCGCATGCGCAAAACACATTTTTTATTCGACATTAGTTTATTTGAGGTGCCTACATAAAGAATTTCATTTAAATATCTTAACAAATCAAAAATTTGAAATTGCGCATGCGCAAAAACAATATTTTAACAAATAAAAAATTGGGGTGGGCAAATATAAAAGTTGGGTTGCGCATGCGCAATTTTTTTTAAAAATTCATCGCATAGTTACCTCTGAGGTTTAAGGAATATATACTAACACAGAAAACTGGACATTCATATGTTCTTTGTAACAAGAGTTATAAAAGAAACCCTTTTTGGAGGTTTGGGCAGTAACTTTTTGGCCCGTTGGTCTACGTAACTGAAAAACAATAGCGACCTTTCTTATATCCTGAAGAACATGTGTATCAATTTTCAAAGCGATCTGACGTTTCTACACAGATAGACAGATGGACTGACAGACAGGAATACAAAATTATAAAAAGAATTGTCAATTTCAGAATTATCCTATATTTTCTTGGTTTAAGAGATACAGACATCCATCCTTTTCAAGTCATTTAACAATCCTCGCTTCACTTCCCATTGAGAGAAAAGTGTGTTTCCCTTATGAAGAAGCCATAACATGAATAGTACAATGTTTAAAACAAATAATTGACACCAGTACTAAGTAATCACCTCGGTAATCACCACTCAACAATCATTGTATTGTACTGATGACACTTGCAAAAAGGGGAACAGTATGATCAAAATAGACACTTCAAGGTCACCCACCCTCGCCCAACTGCCATCAAAGCAAAACTACTATACAGGGTGGTGACTTGCGTAACGCATCATAGGGATTTCAATGTAAAATTCATAACATGCAATTATTGGCTCCCCAAATTATTTTAGAGCAAAAATGTATTAAGGTTTTTTGTCGAAAAAATTTTTTTACGCCAATTAACCGTATTAGTTTTCAATTTTTTTCATATAAAGATGGAAAATTGGAAAAATAAAACCCGCATCTTTTTCAATAATCTGTGATGCCATGGAATTTTATAATACAAAAACTACACCAATATCTGTCATGCCATGGAATGTCTGCTATAAAACAAATCAAATTCTATAAAAAAGTATTATATTTAGAACAGCGAATTCAACATACAGAAAGACCAACTTACTAAAAACGGTTTCCTAATATAACAATTTACAATAAATGTTCGAATAAGTCACCATTAACTGCAATACAGTAACCAAGTCGATCATAAAATCCATTCCGAACTGCTGCTAATTGATAACTGGATATCTTTTTGTCTTAGAAAATTCCATGGCATCACAGATTATTGAAAAAGATGCGGGTTTTATTTTTCCAATGATTGGCGTATAAAAATTTGTTCTACAAAAAACTTTAATACATTTTTGCTCAAAAATAATTTGGGGAGCCAATAATCGCATTTTATGAATTTTACAGTGAAATCCCTATGATGCGTTACGCAAGTCACCACCCTGTATACAGTCTGACAAATAGTATCTGTTTTGGCGTTGCCTGTTTAAACTAAGATCTATTGTATTTTCAAAATCAGACTGGACACTTCAGGCGGCAGAAAAATGAGAAGAAATATCTCTAGGAAAATACTACTTGACTTGTTCCTTTGTGAACTAAACCACATAATTGTACGTAAATAGTAGAGTAAATACTCGAGTAAATAGGTACCTATCAAAATTACCTAGGAAATTAAAAAACCTTTGGAAGTATTGGAAATCGTCTATCTGCAGTCTTTTGAACTGCATGACTCTTGTATGTCCCTGAAAAGCATCAAACATTCTTGCATCACTAGAATGCCCTAGCCTATTCTCCCAATTTTTACATAGTACACCATGCCTTTTGCGATGTAGTGAATAAATACTTAATCACAATTCTCTACTTGCTTACGAAAAACGACTAGATAGGTCACTTCCTAATGTAACTGCGATATGAGAAATAGTGGGTCTGTGGAAGTCAGTAGGTACAAGTTAATTGATTAGATGTATTGGTTAAGGATAGATGATATAATAATTTCTCTCTTACTCTATAAAATAAACCTCCCCGTTGTCTGTGTAGGCCTTCTCCCATTTCGAGGGTAGTGGTCCCAAAGAATCGACATCCTCGTTGTTGATATTGTGACTAAAATTTTCTTCTTCATTTTCAAAATATGTACTGCTCCCTGGTCGTTCGCTCGGTTCAGTTCCTACCATTAGAAGATGGGATAAATTACTTTTGTCGCTTTTATGACTCATTCTTCTGCTTAAGAGATGTTAATTTCTATCACTTTCCCATCAAGTAGCTAACACTTGATGATGCAGTCATGTAGAATGGGTGCACTTGCATATTTAATGTAATTATAATTAATCACTTTTTGCGCGATTTAGAATTTTTATTAAAGTTCCTATACTCGCTACTACGAACAACACTGACCTTGTTATCTCCCAAAAGAAATAAACAGATTGGGATGGGATTAATTACAACTGTCAGAAAGTTATGTGGCTCAACGTACGGTCGACGATTAACAGTTAAACAGTGGAAGTAACTCCCGCACCAACCGCGGTCAAACAGACGTTTGTCTAAATTGTTCACGTCATACGATGCACTGTGCATCTTTAGGTACCTTTACACTATCATACTTCTCATGTGATTTGTCATATGATAAGTAACAAGCATTTAGATTTCTATTTTTGGTATTATGGCTGTCATAAGACAAATCATAAGGAAATAATATGGAAATAATACCTTATAATACGTAAATCGTGGAATAGGGATGTTTCTATTTCTGCATGACAAATGACATGACTTATTTTAAATATCCAAGTGATCCCGTCCTTTTATGGTTACTTTTCGCATTTTGCTGTTGTACTTATCTGAAAAAGCTGAATACTTGAGTAAACCAGTAAACTTTTGATTATATCATTGATTATAGGTGTGTATAATCAATGATTATAGGTATATTAGTTACTAATGAAAGAATAAATTAGATAAACAATAAATCGAGCAATAAATATTTACGAGTATATTGGTATTTGGTTGTCTGGTTGTAAGTGATGTTTTCAGACACACAATTGTCAAATAGTGTCTTGATTGGTAATTAACCCCTCAAATGTTTGGGGTAATCTTTCAAATAAAGGTACACTCATCCTTAATGTCGACCAAGGGGACGACTCTGTTTGCTTTGTTAATGAAACGCATAACCGAGAAATTATTTTTAAAATAATTGTTAAACTTTTTTCGTTAAAAATGTACTATGATTTTTGAGGCACTTTAGAAGTTCACCTATTTGTGCTTTACAGGTGATTTTTTTGAGTTCTAAGTTAGCCTGAAGGTACTTTTTTGTTGAATACTTATTGTGATAATTAGCGATTTATTTTAATACAGAAGTTAACCGCACAAAACTGCTTATTTGCCAATTTATTTAAAATTTTGCGGGATCCCGCAAATGCCGGGTTCCCGCGGGATTAACATCTAACGATCCCGCAAATACCGGGATTGAGATTTTGCTGCGGGATTGCATTCCCTAGCTGTAACTTTTGAACTATAGTAGCCCAATCTTGGAACTGTTTGAAATTATGGATTCTACAGGCCACGTTCTATAAGAAAAATTTTTTTCCGGGTCGATCTGAGACAATTTTTTTTTCGGGGCAAAAAAAAGGCAGGCCTTCCTTTTTGCCAAAAATCGACTGCATCAAAATTTCTCGGCAAAACACTTTTTCTTATTAATTTGGGTGCGTAGAATCCAAATCAATTCGTACTTTTTCGATCAGACTTCTCAATCAAAAGTTATAGATTAGAAACCAATTTCGAAAAAAAATTCAAAGGGCTGTAACTTGAACTAGTAGCCCAATCTTGGAACTGTTTGAAATTATGGATTCTACAGGCCACGTTCTATAAGAAAAAATTTTTTCCGGGTCGATCTGAGACAATTTTTTTTCGGGGCAAAAAAAAGGCAGTGTGTTTTGAACTAGTAGCCCAATCTTGGAAATTGGAACATTTTAATTTAGAGAAGTTATATAGGTTTCGTAACTTCTTGTATTAAAGTCATATGAAAAACCTGTTAAGTGTAAAGTAAAACATTAAAACTCATACGAAAAATATGTTGGTAGTAAATATCATATAACATATCATATAAAAAATCATGTGAGATATATTATAGTGTAAAGGTACCTTAAAGATTATTTTTCAAAAAATATAAGCAAAAAATATTTTAAACCTACAAATATCCTAATGCCTCCGCCGAATTGGATACGCATTTTTGTACAAAAAAATGTTGTTCGTTCCTAAGGAATCGAACCCGAGCCGCCCGAGCAAGCATACAGTTGGTATGAAAGGCGTTCGGATTCACGTTCAACGACCCGTCCCATGGTCAATTTTAATGGAATTTTTCAAAAATGTATTAATAAATGGATACAACTAAGTTTGTATATACCACAAATTCTGTCAGTGGGATTTTGGATGTTTTTCCAACCATTTCAAGCTGCGATGGTGCGTTATCACTTCGAAAAGTTACCCTTCCAGACAACCCTTGAGTTTCTTCACAGCCGAAATTCCTGAAAGTCATTATCTTGTGCGATCGTGGGATGTTTCTTTTTGCAGGGTTTAGTGCTGTGCTTACATAAGCGATAACCTTCTCTTTTCCCTCTTGTTATTAGGTTAATACTGCCCCTAATCCGGTAGAACAAGCATTGATTTGAAAACTAAACTTCTGGTTGAAATCAGGACAGGTCAGAATTGATTCTTCTTTTCATTTTTGCAAAGTGGTTTGTTGAACTGGGCCCTAATTAACACCCTTTTTTAGAAGGCTGGTCAGTGGGTAAATCAGCTGTGAAAATTGAGAGATGAATCTTCGGTACAACGATGCCATTCCTAAGAGTCTTCGGATTGCTTTTACCGTTCGGCGTAGTTCAATCTCTACTATAGCCTCGGCTTGTTCTGGATCTGGTTTTATACTGTCTCGGCCAGCTCAATGATTTATAGCAAACATTCATTTATCTCATTAGGTAGGTATAAGTTGTAATTGAAATCCATAGACTTCGCAGATGGGATAGAACTAAACCAAATGTCCTTCAAATGTCTTACCAATGACAATGATGTCAAAATACGCAAACGCCTTTTTTTTATCCCTAGACTTCTATCCAAAAGTGTTTGGAAAGTGGCTGGTGCGAAGTGTAGGCCAAATGATAAGATTTTGAATTGCAATCGTCTTCTGCCGGGGACCGTAAAGGCAGCTAGTCTCTCAAGAGAGGGTGAATATACAATGGTGATAGGTACCTATACAGACAACCTCTGAAAGATGCCCGATGTACTGAGAGATTCTCCTTAGTTACTCCTATGGGAGGCGAGTGGGACACTGCTTGTCGGATAATGTGCGACCGGGGTAGCCTGTTGGCAATAAAATTGTTCTCGCCGTTTGAATCGCCAGGCCTGGACGACGTCACACCAGTTTTTCTATGGGGGGGGAATCAATGCAACTGTATGTCTGTAACTAATCTAATAACTAAAGATACCAGGGTAAAACACAACAATACATGGGACTTTGTGTCAGACTGTGGTCACACGAGATCGCCCATCGCAGGACCGATTTTGTATAGGATTATCAAGAAAAAATCCGCGTAGGCATACTTTCTCACCACTGTAAATCAAGCAAGCACCTGCAGCGCATAATTTGGCTGAAGCATCTTCCTATAGAGGATGTAATACAGCCGAGGAGACAACTCACCATATTTTTTGTGTCCAAATGAGAGAGTTCATATTGGGGAATAGCTGTACCTACTGGCCGAACATGGCCAAGATTCTAATCGTGATCTAGCCCCTTCCCCTGCAGGTGTCCACAAGTTTGTTGTTGCGGAGAAGTAGAGTCTTTGAAGAGCGAGTGCCAGAAGCCCGATGAGAATAAATCCGTCGCTATCTCCTCGGAAGGCACGTCAGGAGTCGATGAGAGGAGCAATCGTAGATCCGTACCCGCACAAAGCCCGACGAAAAACCGTAACCGTCGCTTCACTTTATGCCGCAGCTAAGAATATATTCCTTCTAAAGTGGATTGGTCGACAGAAACCGACATCAATACTTGTACCCAAAGAGTAACCATACTCTTTGCTTGTACATACGGGTAGGGTAGTGCGAGGAGTACCATCATTATGCCCAGACTTATTAGCCGGAAGCCAATCCTTGTTGCTATTAAAGAGAATATCGACCTAGTAATCGATATAAGGAAGAACTCTATTTGCGACACGTAATAATAAAAACCGTAGGACGAGAAAGTTGTGCTACATCAATGAGAATATGCTCGTTATAGGAACACCGGCGCTTTTTCTAGAAGTTCTTGTCCAGACAATTGTGGTGCCGATAATGTGTCACCTGCACTGCTAGCAATGGGCTAGACGTAAATTTAAACCAAGTCCAATGTCCCTTCAAAACCCAAATATCAATTTGTCTAAGACGTGGATGTAATTTGCTAATTGACCTTCGACCTTTTATCTTCTCCTCCTAGACCCCCTTTTTCTCTGGTTCCATTAACATAGTGGCGCACAGTAGATCTGGGGAGATTATAGGAAAAGTGGTAGCTCCTCGCTTGGCACGATTTGCGACTGCCTGGTTTACCACAACCCTTCAATATACCCCTCGAGCTGACCCATTATACGTTTTTCTTCTGTTTTTTTGGACTGGCCTAAAAGATCACCTTCGATTCGAATTTGTAAATGAATTTACTAGGATAACAGGGTGCAAGATTTAACTAGGCCACAACCTTATCTCATACACAATGCATTGGCCAAAAGAACCGCGCTCGATATCCACTTTTGTTCAAAAGCCTATTGTCGTAATTTGCTTCCCGAAGGCTGGACTTGACAAACGTGAAAACAGATGTTAACAATAATTTCACGTTTAATTTTAATTCACATGTATGTACCTAACTTAGGAATCTTCTCGGAAAACCCTCTTTAGTTGCTAAATTAATTATTTGATTTTTTTTTTAAATTTTATTTTGCCTTTATTTTTGAGAGAGCGGGGTTTCAGCCAAGACTGCTCTACCAACCCAACCCACTATACATTTAGAAATATCCATGCCCGAATCCGGATTCGAACCAGGAACCCTTAGCACCACAGTTCGGCTTTAAATGCATATTGAAAAAGTAAGATAGATTGTGAACGCCAAGGCAATCACCAGAAATCATTCCGCTCAAGCATTTCTTTTGACATTTTTTATACGCAATCAAATGGAAAAATGTTTCTATGAAGACACAATAAATATAGATATCATTTGTACCTATATGAGTGAAACTACTCCAATGTATAATTATTATATTAGTATCACATATTATTTACTGATAATAATAAATAGGGCATAGGAGGTAAAATTTATTTAATCTCCTAGTTGGGAATCATTGCCAATAACCAAGTGAAGAAACTGGAACGCTAGAGCTAACAATGATATTCCCAGAAGGTCCCCCATAGATGTCAGATAAGGTATGGCCGAATTATCTGGATCGATTTTGCGTTTCCACATCCAATGTATCATTATATACGCAACGTACAGCAGCGTAGCCACTTGGACTACTGCCGCACACAAATATGCTAACACAAAAATTGTACTAAGAGACGTATTTCCTCCCTTTATGTGAACAATAGTGTACAGGAAAATAAGGTGACCTGGAACGACCATTGTCATCAAAACACGGGCCGTTCGTGAATGCGCTTCTTTCCCACAAAATCCACTAACAGGAGATATAAAAATAATTGATTCTTCCTCTGTTTTTAAACTGGATGAACAGAGCCCCAATTCTTGCTCTTTGTGTAACGAAGTTGATATTCGACTAGCATGAACAGCGACTAAGTTGCCACCGACCCCGTTCATTAGTGGTTGAAATCTTGCTATTCCCTCAAACTTTGAGACCATAATATCTAAAATGAGACCTCCCATTGAACTAATTAACATAGCGCCTAGTATTGGAGTCCAGCCGTGGTACAAAACTTCTCGTGTGCGTACATTATGTTTTGCCACCCACACCCAGCAGGGTATTACCGTAATATAACCGACGATTATGAACGGTGCAACCCAATCTCGCTTTCCTTAAACAATATAACTATAATTATACGATGATGGAAGAAGACAACTTACCTATGCAATCATACAAAGCCGTAGACACCCACGATAATAAAGCTAGCGAAGTAATATCTCCTAAGCTTGCGGCTATTGGCGTCGCCACGTTATCTGGATTAATATGGCACAATCGAGATAATACAACAGCGCCTGATGTTACCAAACCCAAAACAAAACTTGCAAGTGATACAGTTAACAAACTGCTAGCACAAATCAAAAGCACATGCGCTAATTCAACTTCGTTGCTTCGAATCCCACCCATGATCACAGCGACCAGAGATCCCAAAAGCCCAACTACAATAGCTTGGCACTGAAATGTTTCAAGTATGCAAATATGCCAATATAGGGTCGGCTCCAAACCTGAGTAAGCATCAAGTTTGCAGTAATCATATTCCATTTCTGCTTAAAAGAATCCATGCGTCCTAAATTAGCATGCGTTGACAATCGCGATGCTAAAGTCATTTCCAGGTTTCCTTTTAATCCGAGAAGTGGCGGCGTTAAGATGACCAATTCAGTTATTTCCTCGAATACAGGCAGATGCTAACATAGAACATATGATTCAACCAATCTACTAAGATGAGACTTACTTGTATTCGATCCAATACTAATCCTGCAAAAACCATTCCAAATCCAGCTATTAAAAATGGTATAAACACTTGTATTGCAACGGAAAAGTAAGTTTCTTGCATTTGAATTTCATTCTCTTCACAAGTACTTGTTTCAATAAGCGTTTGTGATAATTTTCTTATGCCATCATTGGTTGTGGATGACGAAGGGTCCGTTACATTTGAAGAAAAACCACTGCTTTTTTCGCTAGAGAAAAAGATTGGCTATGTACCTGATCGTGCACACCTACCTACATTTTTTTGTATAGGGATCTTGCTTGCGTGGTTCCTTAACTTACCTTATTCGATTTTGGTTTAGTTTGTTCATATCCTATAGAAACCTAATGTCATCTAAGAACTTTGTGCGTATTTTGAAAAACCATTAAGTTCATAGCAGTCACAAATAAATGCTCTGAATTCTGCTACAAACGAGAATCGCTTCTGAACAAAATGTTTGCAATTTCTATAACACTAAGCAGCTAATCAGAACTACTGCTGTATTTCCGATATTTGTATACATAACGTGGATAGGGATTAGTAAATGCCTATATGCAAAGCTGTAATAAACTACTTATCTTAACAAAAGTGAAAGATAAATATTCTTAAGTCATCATTTGCGCTTGGAATTGTTTTACGAGGTCGGATTCGTAGAAATGGTGTTCAATCGCTATTTTGTGTTTTGTCAGATCAGATCATTCCATTTTCGGCCACTCGCCCTACCCTATACGCATAAGTACAACATTGAAAATGAATTGAAAGTTCAGACTATATTTAATATTCAAATAAATATGAAATGGTATTCTTAAATAAAAGTGTTTATTTACACACCTGCTGTAGTTTATAACTCCGCTGTCATTTAAAATTCCCAAACTCAAAACCTAGAGACTCACTCATCAAAAAATATGCCTTTTCGCCTAAGAACCAAACTATTCGAATCAATAACGAACACAGTAAAAGGTTACCTACCAGTGACCAACGCCAAACGGTACACCACAAGATAATATACTGGGGCCATTGCTATCCTTGATGTACATTATTGACTTACCACGAAATATCTCTCACGAATTCATAGTGTCTACTGGGTGCCGATGATTCCATGTTAGTTTAAGATCGAGGTATAGCTAATCGGGCTAAAAAGCTCGACCCAGTGTTGAAACTGAAATGCCTTGCTGCACTAACACACATGAATGTTTTCAAAACTATGGTAAGGTAATTGTCTGGGTCCTGACAACTCAGAATGTGTCCAGTTTGTTGCCCTACGTCTGAACCCTAAATTAAATTTAAATAGCTACAGTGATTAAATCACCTCCAAACTCAGCTTAATATATTCATTTTACGAAGGTCGTATAGACATGTGATTTGTTACTACTGGAAACGCGTACTTCGCTATTGTCACAGTCTGCTGCATTTTTATTTAATAATAATATGTTAATTAACTACCCATAGCGGATGTTACAATTAAAATAAAATTTAATGAATCTTAATAAATAAACCATATCCCCACTATACCCATACAAAGCGGGCAGAAAGGGTCAGTTTAGATTATGCACTTCCACTTGTCCCGTAAATAATTCTAATGTAAACCAAAACAATTATAAATTAAATTGCATAACCAATACCTTTGATTACAATATTCAAAGACTGTATGGTTTTAGGAGCATTCCACCGAGAACAATCGCGAGAATTTCTTCATAAAAGTCCTACCGCAAGGTGCTGCAATGCATGGTGGAACCACAAAAATGGTCAGAGTGTCATATAATTGTGTTGTGTTTTCTATAATTTTTATTTTGTGATTACTTTACAGTATAAATAATGACCGTTATTGCTTGGACAATTTAAAACTGAGCTTTCCGATTGCGCAATAAGCTTTCTTAAAATTCCTACCGAAAGATATCGTATACTAGTGCAGTATTTGATATTTTAAATGCGAAAATGACGAATCCAAAATTACTTTTTGGAAAATAACTATACACGGGAATGTAGTTGGGTTGTAGTGAGCAGGTATATCGCAATCGATTCAAAGTAATGATTCTTTAATTACTTTTGTTTGAAAGGTCATATTCAAAATTTGTTCAGCAATATTGTTTGTAAATTTATAACGGGAAATGATGACTATTTTTGTTGTCCGGAGAGAATGAATTTTTTTTCGGATTTCTAAGAACTAATTTTCGATTCACATTCACATTGGAAAACTTTCAGATACAAAATTTCGTCGAGATAAACATTTTTATTTGCGAAAAGGGCACATTGAAAAATTTAAAAATGGCATTAGTTCAATCTTTCTATGTATGAGGACAACAGTAATGAAGAAACTACAATTTAACTACTACATTTAAATTTTTTCAAATTAAAAATACACATTTATGATAATTTCAGCTAAATAAAAGAAGAGTTGCAATTATATAATTATACACAGGGTCCTGCAACAGTGCGTCGGTCTTTCCTACCTCATACCATTGATGATATTAGTGTGTATAATCAATCCTTATACTTGGTAAAACATATAAAGGAAACCTTTTGTGGAAATGTCAACTACATATAGATGGTTGCGCGCCTATAGAAATTATTTTTGAATGTGCTGAGTGTTCCATTTTTACGGTGTAAATAAATAACTGATTTGTTTAAAATGGAACACTGTATATCTTTAGTTGTTTCGATATCATTTATTAACTTTTACATTGACACCCATTCACTTTTTGACTTTTTGTCATGTCATCTCATTAATTTTTTTCCGAATAATTCCGCCATATAAGCAAGCCTCACTTTCATGAATCGTAGCGTCCGTTTTTCAAGTTAAGAAATAAAATTTGAGCAATAATGTTAATCCTAGTAAAAGGCGACACTTCGATGGTGAGAAAGTTAGATTTAGTGATACAGGGTGTTCACAATGAAATGATAAAATTTCCTGTTTATAAAAGCTTTTTCAATATTTTTCACAAGAGTACTTACCTACCTCTTAATTAATTACGGGGGGCTAATTTTTTCGGACCTATGGGCGCACACAGTATACCGCAAAATACCCCTATTGAATTATTGAAGCTCATCAAGACCAATTACACTTTACATTAGGTACCTACCAACCTACGCCGAATTACGTTCATCATAATTACCAGAATATTGCTGTAAGAATTAGGTTAGTAGTAGGTAAGTACTCAGTAGGCCAGTGGTGTTCCCATAGATATGGTATTATCCATATACGCCGTACACCTACTCTCAAGCAATTTTTAGACATACAGCGTACTATACTCTCAATCAAGGTGCCACATTCCTTAAATATTTCATAAAACTAATTGCATATACTGACCTGCCTATATCTAATACGTTAGTACCCAAGGAATTACTAAATAGTAGGTACTGTTGTATATTATATTATAATGTATCCATATCCATCAGTGTATAGGTACGTATATTTGCTAGTTTTCAAATGCCGCTGGCCGATATATCAAAATATAGACGTGCTTAAACTTTAAAGCAAAGAGTAGTTACTCTTTGCTTAAAGGTAGAAGGCTTGTTTGACGTTTTGAGATAATCTTTATTTATTTATTGTTTCTCTTTTGTTCTGGGCCCAATTACAGAAGAGGTGCCCCTGCATAAGATCTTAAGTTGTTCTATACTACTCCGGTATTTACTTTACGAATTAGAAAAACTGCAGGAAAACCCAATCCGGAGTAGGCGGCAGAATGCTCGAAACTAATCTAAGGAAATTCCCATCCCTGCCACAGATGAAAAATTCTTATTTCAGCCCAGGTTCGAGCACCCTACCTCGGGCTCTGTAGCCCAACGCTCTACCACTGAGCTACACAGTCGGTGCTATACTCAAAAATATACTCAAACAGAAGTACAAACTACTGATGTACTAGCGTGTCTTGGCTAGTATATTGTACCTACTGTCTATACCTTCCCGCACGCATCGGATATGACCAGTTGTGATCATGATTACCTATTCATCTATGAACTTTGTTGATACATTGAGTTTTTTTATCTTGTTCATTGCAGGTTAGCTCCACGGTAACCTTGTTACCTGTCGTCGAAGTGTATTTATGTTTTCGTTTTTAATTTCTTCATGGTAAACTAATCGTACTAGACATTTCTAATTACACATCATTCGGCCACTTTTTAATGGAGATTTCGAATATGGCATTCCGTTTTTGATAACTTTCAAGATGACGGAAAAACACATGGCCACTTTGGTTTTTCTTATGGGCGCCGTTTTGGATTTTGACATTTTGAGATTACGCTTTTTTTTTCTTTCCAACGATATATCACACATGGTGGTTCCAGTATCATATTTTTCCTAAAAAGACAATTTTCATTTTCTGGGAAGAGTGCTTTGCAAAAACAAAATGTTCTTTTGTTGTGAACAAAAGGTTGACTTATTTCTAGTAGTGTCATTTACGTTTGTCCTAATTTTATTGCGAAAGTATTATTTTTTTTTAAATTTGAATTGTAATTTTCTTGCAAACGAATTGGGTTCAATTCTGTTTGGCGATGAAAATCGAATTTTCTAAACACAGACGGATGGATCAAACTGTCAACCTTTTGTTCCCATTAAAAGAACGTTTTGTTTTTCCAATAGCACTCTTCCTAAAACAATAAAAATTGTATTTTTAGGGAAACTATGATACTGAACACCACGTGTGACCAGAAACCACAGAAATTCGCAACTTTACCCCAATTTAACCAACTTTCTAGATCTCCATAGTGGCACTAGAAAAATGGACACCGTGTATAGAAAACTATACCAGACTAGATCCGCGATATGATATGATACATCATAATCTATACATTTGTTAATTGGGTGTTAATTACTAATTACTTTTTATCTATACTTGCGCCAATTCCATCCGTCCATCAAAAGTTTGAGCTGGACCTTTGAAGCTGCTTTTTTTGTAATTATGTTGCGTAGGGTAAGCGAAGTCCCCTTGATAATTTAGATTTCAAAGAAACTTTAACGGCATATATTATGACATTATGCAGAGGTATATGCATTAAAAAAAGTAGCTTGCTTACGCTTTTAGTGGCAGTAGGTAGGTACCTATTCATGTTCTGTGTATCGAAGCTTATGCGCAAAAAAATCATCTGGAGACAATCACACGTGGCTTTCCTACTTGTAGTAATAAACATCAATTACGCCAATTACGAGCTTATAAATGTGTATGTACAAACGACAAATAAATTATTAGATAAGGTACTTACCGACCAATAATATACAGGCTGTTTCACGCAGACACTTACCTAAAAGTATATTCAGCTCTCACTGGTAATTTAAGAAAACTGGCACATCAACATAGTTTTTTATGATCTATCGAAAGAAAATATTGTTTCACTTCCGGTTTTACCGGATGTGAATTTACATCGTTTGATATCACATTCTGGTTCTGGTTTTGGAATTCTTTAGGGTTACAATTCCGATTAGATGGGCGAATTGAGTATACCTAACTATTTTGAAAAAAAAATCAGTTTTGTGTTAGTTCTCGAAAACATCTCACAAAATGCACAGCACTGTTTCCTAATTTCCTTTGCAATTTTGTATCTTCCATGTGCCGCTATGAATACAGTACAGATAATAAAATATAACCGGCAGTATCAATAATCAATATTATTGATTAATTTTTATTATCGATAATCTATAGCGAATTTCTATTATCGCGCAGCCCTATTCTGGGTATCTATGTATTTGATCTTCATATTCTTTTGACAGATTATATCGTGGTGCAAAGTGCGCGATGTGCTGTTTCGAAGGTCAATTACATAAACTACAAATTGTATGGGTCCCAAGATCAAACCCTGTGGAACATCATGTACCTACTATTGTGTTGCTACTCTATTGTCACATGATAACTGAAATTAGGCATGACTATCACTGCTTATCTACCGCACCAACTCTCCAATTGCTGTTGCCTATAAGAAAAGAACTATTTCTGGCATCTTTTAGTAACATTTTCAATGGGGAAATAAAAGCATATGTGACAAAAAGAAATATATTTTCAAAAGATAATGTAACAGTGTATATTTTGGATATTAAATTACAACCTTCGATCAAACATGACCGAAGATTACAACACACTAGCGATAGTGTCAACTGAATTGGTGTTACCTAGCTACGCCACACTGATTCAAATTAGGCAAGGCGTAACAAACAACGATCTATTGTCAATTTAAAATTGCTTGTTAAATACATCATTCAAAATATAGATGGAATAAAAATGTAATACAAGCAATGTAATAACTAATAATGTCATATACACGCACTTATTGATCTCCTAGTTGAGATTCGTGGTCTGCTACTAAATAAAGGAACTGAAAAGCTATCGCCAGAAGGGAAATACCTAAAAGATCTCCCATTGATGTAAGATAAGGAATGGCCGAATTGTCGGGATCGATTTTACGCTTCCACATCCAGTGAATCATTATGTACGCAACATATAACAATGTGGCCACTTGCATAACTGCTGCACACAAGTAAACTAACACAAAAAGTGTACTGAGAGTGGTATCGCCACCTTTCATGTAAACTATAGTGTATATAAAAATAATATGTCCTGGTAAAACCATAGCCATTAAAACTCGCGTGGTACGGGCGTGCGTACCTTTTCCACAAAACCCAGTTACCGGTGATATGAAAATAACGGTATCTTCGTCTGCTTTTGTGTCTGAAGTAAGTATCCCAAGCTGCGCTTGTTTATGTAAGGCAGTAGATATGCGACTGGCTTGAACCGCAACTAAGTTTCCGCCAACCCCGTTTATAACAGGTTGAAACACGGCTATACCTTCAAACCGGGAAACCATGAAATCCAAAATGAGACCGCCCATCGAACTGATCAGCATGGCACCCATTACCGGAGTCCATCCATGGTACAAAACCTCTCTTGTATTAACGTTATGTTTTGCTATCCACACCCACATGGGAATTGCTAAAGTATAACCGGCTATTATAAACGGCGCTAACCAATCTTGAGTACCTTGATAGACAACAGAAATTAAAGCAACTACTTTAGCGTAGGTATATCTGCGTACCTATTGACTCATACAATGCCGTCGATACCCACGACAGGAGAGCAAGAGATGTTATGTCACCTAAACTTGCCGCTATAGGAGTTGCAACGTTGTCTGGATTAATATGGCAAAATCGAGATAAAATAATAGCACCTGCCGTTATTAAACCCAAGACAAAACTTGCTAATGAAACGGTGACTAAGCTACTAGCACAGAGAAGGTAGGCATGGTCTAATTCAACGTCGTTACTTTTTATTCCACCCATTACAACTGCAACTAGGGATCCTAAAAATCCAACTACTATGGCTTGACACTGAAACGGAGAAAACTAATAAATCAATCTAGCAATTATACCACACCAAACCTGAATAAGAGTTAAATTTCCTACTATCATACTCCATTGTTGTTTTGGAGTATCCATGTGCCCCAAATTTGCTTGAGTAGACAGTCTAGATGCCAGGGTCATTTCTAAGTTTCCTTTGAGCCCCAAGAGTGCAGGAATTAAAATGACTAATTCGGTTATCTCCTCAAACACCGGCCAGTGCTGCAAAAAGATATTAAACCATACGATTGATACATGCATCTTACCTGTATTCTATCCAACACAAGCCCCGCGAACACCATTCCAAATCCAGCTATGAGAAATGGTATGAACACCTGAATTGCGATGGAAAAGTACGTTTCTTGTATCTGCACGTCGCTCTCGTTGCCGTATATTTTAGTTTCCACGATAATGTCCGGAAGCCGGCCACCCTCATTATCATTACCAGTTGAAGTCGAATTTATTAACGTTAATTCCACGTCTATTGGGCTGGCATCTAAGGCACTTGAAGGACTTGGGGTTTCGGATGACTTTGCACATTGTTGGATATAATTGAGGCTATCCATGACTCGAAGTCCATAGCTCTTTTTACTGAAGGAAAATATGCGTTAGTAACAGTTGACATCATTTTATCAAACGTGTTCGTGGTACTTTTTTGGTAATTTCTGATAACGATTATACACATATCCTACTATAGATAAATAGGTCCAGACATATGCTGTTATGTCAGTGTTGGAAGCTTTACTAGGTAAGTAGTCTAAAAATTACGCAATTTTTTAAAACGATTGTCAATGTGTTTTTTCTAAAGCTGTGAATATGAGCTGTTTTTTAGTAGAAATGAAAGGAAAATTGGTTCTAAATTATCTACAATGAATCTAGTATTGGGGAATATATACGACATAGACTAAATCAGTGCAACTAATTAACCAATTATCTAATAATCAGAACAATAACTTTAACAACTTTGTAACACTGATCTCATACAGAAAACGCACATATAAACCCTCTTGGACATTGCTTTATTGTTCGAATAGGTATTGTAATTGATTGATGCAAAGCCAAGGCGATGGGGTTGTACATGTACAAGAGTATCTATTTCAGGAAGCAAACGTGAAAATGAAATCTGTTACTGACCTTTTTGTATCTGCTGTGTAATTATATTTAATGCTAACAAAATAGTACCACATAATTCTGGATGGATAAAAAATTCATCAGTATACCTCTGCATTAAAGTGTTAATTTTAGATATGGGTATACACTATGCTATAGATGCGAGTGATATAGTAGGTACTTAACGTAACGTTTCTGTAGTAAGAAAAATTACTTAAACTGTCCGAACAAAACCGTACAAGTATATCGCTTTCCCTATTAAGAATGCCTTAAATTAGTTGAGTGGGCATAGGGTAATTTAATTGCGTTTGCTATCAAATACGTGGAGCAACAACTTGATTATATAATGTTGTTAACCATATGTTAGCCAAACCAAATCTGCAAATTAATTGTTCAACTGAAATGCAAAAAAACATTTTCAACTACACAATTATATAAGCATTGCAAATTGCCAGTATAAATGACTGAACGCATAATTAACAATAAAGAAATTACCTAAATATTATATGTTATTATCTCATAGTAACATATTATTATAGAATTGGGTAGGCTTCCACAGCCTGATATATGATGTCGGCTACATCATGTGCATAACTGGCATATTGATCGTCGTCGAGGTTATAAATTTAGAAAGCGTCGCGGCGTTACCCATAAACACCAATGCGCGGAATGCACGAGCGCGCATCCAAAATTGAAAGACTTCGTAATTTTGGCGGCAACAAATTCGACAACTACATGAAGATATATGTTTCCTTTGACAATAATTATAAATAATTGCAAATTTCCTTTGCTATTAAAAATGAACGAAACGGAAATAAATACTGGTAAATGTAAAAAACAATTTTATTATTAAATTAACAAAAACTCACCGCATCGATGTCATCTACAAACTTTTCTTGTTTTAAAGATCCCGATTAACATTATTTCTGTATTAATATCCATTTTTGAGCCACATTAAATTAAAGCAACCACAAAACACGGTAGAAAACTTAGTGATGGTAGGGTGAAAATGTTTGCCAAAACCTTTCACATACTCAAAATTCTTAAAACATTCCGCGATGCTGTCTTACTCCAAACTACTTTCTGCGCAATTGTCCAGCAATAGCCACACGTTATTATAGTTATTATGCTATTACGCCCTCGTATCGTCGTGTAGACGTGTGAAATGGTCCATGAATTCGGGACGAACAAATGTAGTTTTCTAATAACCAATTCTTAAACGAGAGTATCCGGACGGTTCACCTGACATTCCAAATTTCATTATCAAAGTTGGCCTTCTGCAATTTTGTGTAAAAACGGCCGGAAAGGAACTTAATAAGTAACATTGACGCTTCTATTCGGGTCGATGACGTTTATTTACAGCACGTGCTCCTTGCTAATTACCTGTTCAAACTGCAAGTAAAGGCCGATCACAAAATTTGACCTAGTTTAACATGCTTCAAACGGCGTAATGGTGCCATATTTCCGGATCACTTATAATCTATTTTAACACACGTTTGCCATGATAGAGCGCCCCTCGTCTTTCTAGAAAACGGACTGGTGAAAGCAAAATTCATTTTTGATCACAAATGGATCTGTGACATCGCATGTTAAATAGGTATGTCGTAATGGTACCCACATGTTCTTTTGAAATACATGGTTTCGCTTTCTCGATTTTTTTGTGATATTCCTCAATTAAATTAGACGTTTAGTAAGCATAAAACAAACACTCCTCCAAGAGGATGGAGGTGCTGTTTTTCCAGCTCCTATGTACAAGATGAACCGTGCGCGCAACTGGAACATTTTTGTTGTTGTGAATCTTCGCCATTTTTTAATCCAGTGGAGGTGGAGTGTGAGGAAGATAACGCTTTTTTAGTTCTTTCAAGAATTTGTCCTCCAGGGTCGTAGCCAGATTCGTTAGTTCTTAGCGCGACCCTCGAAAGTGGAGCGCTTATGACTTCATATTTCCGTCCGTCTCTCTGTCGTTCCGTGCTATACCTCAGTCCCTAGACCTGATATCGACTTCGAATTTCCGTTATATGAAAGCTTATGGGCTTCACGTGTGCAACTATCATAAATTAACTTTGGCATTCATCACGTCTTATAAAACGGTCAAAATTGTTTCTTATGCACCAATTTTGTTGGAAAAGGATCTCGATTGCTCGATGACATGTATATTTTTGGTAAACAAAATATTTTTACCCAAAGGATGTCAAAATCGTAATTTATGCATCAATTTTCTTGGGGAACTCAATTGCTTAATGCCCAAGAAGTGGTCCATGTGTATTTTGTGACCAACAGATTTTTGGGCAAAAAATGTCAAAATCTTTATTTATGTACCGATTTTCTTGGGAAGAAGAACTCTCAGCGACTTTTGGTTTTCCGTTATATTATTATATATTATATTATTATTATGGGTTTCAGATGTGGAACTATCATCAATTCATCACTATACTCACTTTATTGCCCAATATGGATCTAAATCCTTATTTATGCACCAATTTTCTTGGGAAAAAGACCAAACTCGATTGCACGATGTGTTTCGTGTCGACTTTAAAAGCAGCCTCCATCTGCCTACGCGAGTAGTTTGCGCTGGAAATACCTCCGGAGTAGTGGTTTTGTTCTTGCAATTCACATAATTTGGTAGCATAACGTTTAATTGATTTAATAAATAAAAATAATAAGCACATTTTCAAAAGCTTTTTAGCTTTTCATCTTACGTCTAAGAACACGTGTGCCAACGTTAGTTAATTTCGGTGTAGTGGACTGGCAGATAATTTATGAGCATGCTACATTGTACCATATTAAGCAATTTTCAAGAGCGGGTAAAGTGGTTTGCCCCCCCTCTGGCTACGGCCCTGTGTCATCTCTTATTAATTTGCAATTTGTAAACATATATCAAACAAACTAACGTTTGATAATAAAATGTGGACATTTTGGTTCCCGTACGAGTTCTCCAAATTATATATGTAAGCGGAACTTCGTGAAACATGAAAACATCACGTTTTATTACGGCTCGCTAAGGCAGCTTTATTATACCAAGGGGTGCGCGAAGGAGCGCGGCCCACATATGAGGACTTCGTACGCGACATCCAAGAAAGACGGTCGATAAATAGAGCAATGTATCGAGCCATTGTTACTGTTCAACAGGGCCGGCACTTCTTTATTTTGACGTGTGGTGCTCTACGCCCAGAAGAAACGATTTTGAAATTCAATGTTTTTATTAATTGGATTAGGAGGAGTAAACGGGGGATGAAAAGAGAAAATAGAATAAACAATATATTGCACATCTCATTACATTGCCATCGAAAAAGTAGAAGCACGTTGCGCAGATCGCGAAATCCACTCCTTCATCAGGGGTTTTAAATCCAACGCCGCAGTATAATCCCGATGTACATGGAGAACGGCTACATGATTGAGTATCTTGCCTTAAATTCGAACGCAAATAGGTCTTCAGCCTGCGAAGTGCAGAAAAAGATCTTTCTGCCGTACAAGTCGAAGCAGGGATGGTAAGAAAAGAATGTGTCGTTTGTTGCGCGTGTAGTGCTAAGCACCACCACTTTGTTTTTCCGAAGAAAAATTGGTCTAAAGTCTAAATTGCATTGATAACATGTACCTACATAACTTTCCATTGATTGTAGGATGATTCGCCCCCGAAAATTCGCCTCGGTAAGTTCGCCCCCGGAATATTCGCCTCCAAGAAAACTCGCCCCCAAGTAAATTCGCCCCCGGACTATATTCGCCTCCGTAAGATTCGTCCAGAAAATTCGCCCCGGAAAATTCGCCCCCAAGAAAATTCGCCCCCGGACTATTCGCCTCCGTAAGATCCGCCTCAGAAAGATTCGTCCCAGAAAATTCGCCCCCGGCAAGTTCGCTCCAGACAAATTCGCTCCTGGAAGATTCGCCCCCGGCCATTTCGCTCCCGTAGGATTCGCCCCATAAGATTTATTAATCCTCGGAGGTAACAGGGCCAGCAGTTCATACAATGAATTTTGTTTGATTTTAATTTTTTTTGTAATAACTGTCTACATAAAGGGGGTAGAATAATAGCACTCAAATACCTGGTAACTAAAATATGAATAGCTAATTAAAATAAGGATGAATAAAGTAAGGGTGCATTGCAAAGAATTTGACATCCAAAGGAAATAAATCCTATATTCACAATGATTTAATGACTTCTATTATTTCAGACATGACATATGGAAAATCCACCTTAACTCTTGTATTACAAATGAAGGTAATATATAATCTAATTTAAAGGACATTTTTGATTGACTGAGTTGTTAGCTTCTTAATTTCTTCCTAACAGAACGTTTGATGGCTCGTTTGGTCATTGATGGTGTATTTGTTTTGAAACTTTTTATATTCCTACTTGTTATATTTTGGCGCGAATACGAACTTTGATTTTTGGTTAACGATTCTACGGTGTTTTTTTAACTTTCGGATCAATACTTGGCTTGAACACGGATTTTGAGTTTGGTATAAACCCGTGTGAAGAAATAGTTTTGAGTATTGAAGAAGATCGGTTTCACGTGGTGCTGGTAAGTTTTGTATTATTTTTTAATTAGGTAGTTAGATTTACTTAAAAAAACGAATTTTGTGCACGATTTTCTAAGATTTTAAATATTACAATCCTAATAGACGAAGACTTTATTTTATTGTATATCAAACACAATGTTTCACCTTTCGTAATACAAAAATCTGAAAATCAAATTGACAACAGCAAAAAAGGAACTCTTTTGGCAGTAATAAAAACGTGTCTGTATTGTCATTTTTATACATAATAGTAGGACACAAAGTATATACTAAATTCATTGTCTTTTTAAGGTCTAAATTTTTGGTAAATGGTCAACGTTCAAGATTTTTTGATCTCAAGTGGATACTTTGGACATTTTAAAACTTTTATGGCATTTGCACATTGTTTACCAAAATTCTCAAATTTAAGGCTGATCCGACGGGCTGAATTTGGAACGAGTACAAGAGTAGGTACCGTAGCAGACTAATTGCTACTTAACTAATAAATATATAAGCAAACTTTTTTTTATATTTTAAAGAAATGGGATGTTTCGAGTTAAATTTTTTTAGATTATTTTAATTATGATTTGATACTTCAGCAAACTTAATCAATGTTGGTGTTTTTCAACACAAATTTACATCAAATCTGGACCAATTTTCAAATGTAAGTCTAAAGAAAAATCATTCTTAGTTTGTACATTGATGCCAAAAATATTTCAATACATCCATAAATGGCTGAGTAATTAGACTCCTTTGTAAACGCAATTTGTTGTAAAATGTATTGTAAACATACGGTTGGCGTTGAACCGTTGAGATACGAATAGACGATTGAATATGAACAATTTCGAGTTGTCAGTCTCGCCATATTGAATTCCAAATATAGTAATTTTTGCAATTATTTATTTAATTAATTTAAACCAACCTATTACTTCCGAGGATTAATAAATGTTATGAGGCGAATGCTACGAGGGCGAATTTACTTGGGGCGAATATTCTGGGGGCGAATTTACTTGGGGCGAATATTCCGGGGGCGAACTTTCGGGGGCGAATTTACCGGGGCGAGTCTTCCGGGGCGAATTTACCGCACAGGCGCACACCCTTCCATTGCAATGTTTAATGGTAAATAACACGTTCTCAATGAAAATACTATAAACATATTATATGTACCAATAGATAACAATTTACAGTAGGTACTACCATTGTATTTGTATTTAGTTTATAAATACAATGGTACTACGTAGCTTATACGTATTCGTCAAATTCATGCTATTTAATTTGTCTAAATTCTCTAAAGCCTTGCTATGATCCATTGAAAAGGATGCATGAGGGAATTGTACTGTACCACTATAATAGACAAAGTTGACACTTTCTTTCTTTAATTTTATATATTTCCGGAACAATCGAAATGGCGAAATTTCGAAACAGGTCTCCTGAACAGAAATCCGATTTGGTCTATATTTTATATCTATATTCTTCAGATTCATTAGGTGTCTGAATGGGCTATTGCGATCAAAATCAGGTATAGGTAGTATTGTGTTATTCACTTGAATTTTAATTAGAATAACTATAGTCAATAGTGATGGAACTATAATGACATGTACATATACCTACTCGGCTATTAACACTTTATATAGTTTAAATCACTCCATAGGTGCCTTAAAAAACTCGGTTTGTTCAGAAGATGAGTCTTCGTCGTACTCTTGATGTATCAGATGCAATTTCACTGTAGAAGGGTGGTGTTTCACCCTCATCTTCCATTCTTCTTGCACTTAATTGTCTTGTTCTTGCATGCAAAAGTATTTTATATTCTCCCAATGATGGTAACGTAAAACCTGCCAATGTTCGGACAGAAGCAGAGTTTGGTTTGAAATTTGGAGAAATAACATTTCTAAATTACACATAGGTACTTACTAAACATGTAGGCACAGAATGAAAGATGTTGAAAATACCTGCATGTACCGTAGTTGAAGCTGCAGACATACTTAACAGAAACCGCACTGCAATAAATATGAGATTTATTGAAAAAGTATAAAATTGTTTTACAACAGAGTAAAATTGATATTCATAACTCGGTATGATGAGTGGGAAACTTTTTCAAAATTGCGTGGTATAAGTTGTAAAATGCATAGACACTAACAGTAACGATAACCAATAACGCGACACCAAACACCCAACTTAAAAAATTACCATCAATCACACCTGATGCGGAATTTCTCGATTCGCCCATAGTATTTCCTTCGAATTCCGTTCTGGTCATACGCCGTTCTGCCATCATTCTTTTCATTTCGTTCAGCCTTTTGCGCAACTCGTCAACAGTTTCCTCATGAGGTGGATCTAGTCAAAATAATTAGTAGAATTTAGTATGAATATGAATATAGATTATACCTTCCACCATTTTCGTCTCTTCTATTAGTAGAACGTTTTGCTCATTATTGATTTAGAAAGCACAGATGACCAACAGCATCCGCGTTAGGAAGTGAGAGAGTGCAACGCATAGGTACACTTCGGAGCAATATTGGATTTGGAGAGTGCGCGCATTGTGTACCTACGATTCAGAAAATGTCTTCTGGAATACTTACAAATTTATCCACTTTAAACATGTTCATTAACTGAAATAACAACATACATGTGAATCTGTTTGTGCCAAGGGGAGTACGTGGTGACTTACTAGAAAATGTGATAATAATTGGACGTGAACTTAAAGAACAGAAGTGCGTAATATCGAGTGGAAGATTCGCGAACATGTAGCATCCAGATATCGTACAGAACATCAAACACTTCATGTACGCAGCAACAGGTCTATTAAATTTGCGTTCTCATTTAACGTTGCGATGTAAGTGATAATAGTTTTGATGTGTAAGTAGATGATTTGAATTCGCGAGTGTTCAAAGGGTGTTATATCGATCTGTTATGCGGAAAGCGGCTCAGATGCTGGGGCCTGGCACGTGTCTGTGTCCCTCTGTTCTTGTAGAATCCTTCAGTTGTCCTTTATTTTCTACCACTATTGATTTCTAATGGGATGAGGAAGCCGCCCCTATGTTGAAGATTCCCGCACGTTTTAAACAATGTGACCTCAGTGTTTCCCTTGCGTTTGATTATTGTGACTGCATTGTCAACATGGGTACCCGTTCTGCTGCATGTAAGCAATTCTTTCTCTATCTATCACATCACCCTGATGTTACTCTTAGATAAATATTGTGCTTCTATTACTGATACTACTTCAAATCTACTGTATAAATTCATATTATTCTTAGTTACAGTCAAAATTCGCAGCCTCTACGACTACCACCTTCGTCTTATGCACGGAATTATGCCACCCCCATCGGGGGTGGATATAGCCAACACTATCAAATACTTCTCGCAAACTCTTCTTAGTAAGTGGATTTGTACACGTTAGGCAAAAACAACACTAATGCACATTTTAGCTGTTCTTAGAGACGTTCCTAACTCTCCTCTTGAACTCCTGAAGAATCCGAAGATGGATTCCGTACGTATGGGACTCTACCCAAGTTTAGATTACAAAGGTCTATACAACTCTTTGATTCCTTTAATTGAAGTCGCTCCACTTATGCAGTATGGTCTCCATGGTAATGAAGGTGAGGAAATTAGTTTCCCAATTAAGTTCGTATTTTTATAGCTTTTGGAGAAGCTGTTCTACAATGTCTTGGGTGCCTTCTGCCATTTTTGGAGCATGATTTCATCGACAACCTACCTTACCTCACGGCTTCCACTATAGCAGTTTTACCCAGCAGTCTTCACCAAGACATAGTTAATTCATTATGTTTCTACATCTTACCTTTTACCATAAGTATGTATAGAAACAGTTATCAACACGCTTAAATCTCGGTCCACTTCTAGCTCGAAATAGTGATAGAGAACACGAAGTTTCCCAATCTGTTTCTGCTGTAATTATGATGATATTTCAGTACTCTTCTAATCCAGCTCATCATTGCCAACTACTTGAATGTTTAATGACTCTAAAGCAATCTATTCTTAAGGATATTTTAAGCGTTATTGCATATGGAACAAGTACTGCAAGATCATCCGCCGCAAAATTATTATTTTATTACTGGCCCGCTTTTAATGCAAACCTTTTCGATCGCAAGGGACTTATTTGTAAATTGGGAGGTAATAATTCTGTGATTTTCGTAGTAAATAAATATTGCGATATTTTTTGAAGGTGACTCTGCACCTTTTGTTTGTCAACGGGAGATGTGTCCAAACGCGGGAAACGCTGAGGCCGCAAAAGTATGCTACAATCACTGCATTTCAATAACATTTGCAAGTGACAAACCGCCACCATTGTACTTATGTATAGAATGTGCAAACGAAATTCACAGGGAACATCCGAATCAATCGTTCTTCGATATTTTACATCCTATGCAGCAGGTTTCTATGGTGTGCGAAAATAAGGTTGAACGAGGAAATAATCTCAAAGGTGCCTTATAATCATTATAAATTTTTAGAATTGTCGATCGACGGACAGATCGGCAGTTTCAATGTGTTTTTCATCAGAATGCGCTAGTTACAATGGAAACCGCCCCATACGTTATTGTCTGCAATGCCACAACAACAGGCACAATAACAAAAGAGGGGGCGACCACATAGTTCATAAAAGTATACCTCCTACATGGAGCATGGATAAACAGATGCAAACTTATATGATTGAGGCAATAATAAGGTACCCTCAAACATTAGTTCGAGGCTGCATGATAAATTTATTTATCCTTTTACAGTCTACTAAAAGAATCAAAAATACCAACACACGAAACGAAGGAAAATTCCGAAGTAAAAACTATTGTACCAGCAGTTGATAACATTTCGATAGAGGAACGCCAACTTTTGGGCCGATATGGAGTATGGCTCCTAGTGGGAAGATGCACGCCAACCGAAAGTACACCGATTGATGTTATGGGGAGAATATTGGCAATGTTATTTCATTGGTTCCATATAACGGCATATACATACGATGGTATGTTCCGGAATCATTAAACCCGTAACGAGCTTTAAGCGTTTCAGGTCAAGAAGAAAGTACATTAGAAAAATTAAAAACCGAAAACGTGTGCGGCTGGTTAAAGGATTTAAGCAAATCTCATTATAAGCTGTTTATATCGTGCCTTTTACCACATCCGCCAGAGTATGCTAGGGTTGGAGGACATTGGTATGTACTACATCTACGTGACTAATGTTTCTTATGAAAGGTTTAGGGACACCTTAGCATCACGCACATCGCACTTAAAAGATGGTCTAAATCGTCTATTCTGCCTGATACCATACGAAGTAATTACTCAAGAAATATGGGACTACATTATGCCCCATTGGATGGAAGCCATCGTAAATGATGTCCCAGAGAAAGAGCTGGCCGAATTAAAAATTATTTTAAGCAAGATTTTAGATGTAGATATGAGCCCGTTGGGTTTCAATGCCTACGAAATGTACCATTTTCTCGCCGTTCGATTTGAAAAAACCACTGCTAAAGTTCAAGAACAAGCCTTGCATTGGCTTCAAGTAACTAAATAAATCAAAACCCTTCTAAGAACGTTAATTGTTTATTAATTCTAGACACTGACCATGTTGGAGTTAATTATTCCTTTACATTTGTTGTTTTCAATTTTTGGAAATGGAGTTAATGTTATGAAAAACGGCGTGCAATTGACCGAAGATGATAAACCCGTAAAATTTCATAAGTCGGAAACAACTGATGATCCAAGATGTAGTTCAATATGTGAGAATTCAACATCGTCTCGGCAAAGAGAGATACCTAACATTTTTAGCGCCTGTAGTGGAGGATTGTGATTCGGGAAATACATCCCTCTCGGATGACGAAGGCCGATTATCCCAACATACTGAGTTTGAAAGTGATGCGGAGCATAATTTGTTTTGTTGTATAATTATGCTGGACATTTTATTGAAACAAATGGAATTGCAAGGAATAGAAAAGCATACCGGTTTAAACTACAACCTTTGCAAGGACGTTTGTAAATTGTTGAAATGTATGGTTACAACAACGTGGATTGGAAGTCACGTTTGTACTACTAAATCCGAGTGTGGTTACTGTGAATCTAGTATTATGTGGCACCAGCTCTGCTTGCAGTTAGTCATATACTTATCGCCACAATATCCAGCGTATCCACCGGATGTAAGTGTTGCGGTAATAAAATTATGAGTAAAATTAAATTATTTGCAGCCCCCATTGGAAGATAATGGTGAAGATCGCAATAGTAGAAAAAGCCCTCCAGAAAATGATAAAAAGGAGACAAAGTCTGAAATGACAATGAGCATTCCACTACCGGAAGTACATTCGGTTGGAGGAGTTCTAGTACATATGCCACACGTGTGTTCTGTACGAAACGTAGATATTACTGATCCAGAAATTAGGCCGCACTATTTGGCTTGTGTACTTATAATTAGCATGCACATTATTTAACTGTTAATTGATTGGTAATATAAAAATATGAATGTTTTTACAGATCATGACCGCCACAGTTGAAACTGTATCGGAGCAACTAGATTTAACTGCGATTATTCCAACGGAAAAAGTTGTATCTGCAGTTGCCAGAGCAATTACACTTTCCGACACGGATGCCTGTAAGTATCGTATTTAATTGTCAAACCTGGCCACTATATCATTTATTACAGTACCAAATACTCCAGATGTAGCTAAAAACCAAACTCAAAATGATATGGAACAGACCGTTGAGGTTGGACCTGATGACAATCTAGAGAATTTCTGGCAAACATCATTGGGAAAGTTTAAGTTTGTGGTTACTGATTTACCAGAGCAATTACAATTTATCTACGAATTATTAATGGTATCCATCCACTTTATCTTGTATTACCAATTAGAGTTAAAGAATATAGCTTATGCATGCAGCTGTCAGAGTTAGGTACTTACTCATCCAATCGATTATGCCTGCGTTTTTTATTGCACAACCAAATCCATACACCCGATTTGTCTGAGCACGAGCGGCCAATGCCGTAGTATTACCATATTCCTCATTAGCGTTGTTTTATAATATTGCTCACTTTTATAGGAAATTCCAAAAGTACAAAAACCAGATATCCTATACTACATGCTGCAATGTCTGAAAATTTTGTGCTTACATGGCGATACTTGCACGAAGGCTTCGAAGGAACAGAGAGGCTTCTTTATTTGGTGCCAAGAAAATTTGCTTATAAAGAAGTATGATTTGCCGCAGTCGAATATCTTGATACGTTAATTTTAGCTTATGGAATTTGTGCAATTCCGAGCACTCCCACATTTGTCAAGAGGCCGTTCCGCTTCTTTTGCACTGTATAACATTACCCGCCGGTTCTGATGTTTTTTGGAGGGTTGTTCAAGAGGAATTCCACAATACTGACTGGAAAATTCGTTTTACAGCGGTCGACCGTGTGACAATCATAGCATGTTTTATGGATTCGACACCTCTTCGGAACGTACCAGCGTTGCAAGCAGCTTTAACAAATGCATTTTGCTATTTGATATCCAGCATGGATGACTCCAACGTATATGTAGCACAAAGAGCCGCGCTTTATTTAGGGACCATACATGATGGTGCAATTAAGGTACGTTAAATGGTTTCGATTTACCTAATTATATTACACTCCGTTTAGAGTCTTTTGATGTGTTTGGAAACACAGTTCGACAGTGTGATCGTTGATCGTCCTATGGTTCTCCAATCATTATATCAGTTACACAACTCTTTATGTGAAAGAAGGATACTTAACTGGGAGTTTTTCCTTAACAGATTTGATACTCTTTTCCTGGAAGCACAAATAAACCTGGAAAAAACTGGTGATATTTCTTACCTGAGAGGTATTGACTTTCTGTTTCAGGTGTCTCTATCTATCGCACACTAGGTACGATTGGGTAGGTATTAGCAATGACAAAAGTGATTTTACAGATTTGCGCAATTCTGACATGAATAGTGAATTTTTTATAAGAAAGCTGCACAGAGCTCAGGAAGCACTATCACAATCTGAGGGTAGCGGCGCAAGTTCTAATAAGACACTTAGCGCAAGCTTCGGTACAAAGTGGCCTTACAAAAGAACAATGTCCGCACCAGCTTCCATTGTTCCAAGACACGAAATAAAAGGTTCATTTTTGCTTATGGTTAAATAGATTACGAACGATGTATTTCAGAATCAAAAGAAAAAATTTACAGTCGGCAATACTCCGCCCCAATTCTTAAACGGAAAAGTTCGCGATTTGGACTCGGTCAGTTTCTAGGCACTAGTAACAGCATCCCAGGTAGAAACTAGATATAGTGTCTTGCTGTAGTGGACGCATGAATGTAAGTTTCTCATGTTTCTTATTAAAAACACTTCACTAGACGAAGTTCTTCGCTTTTAAAGAGACCCACAGTGCGCATTCCGTTCTATCTACTGTTTTACGTATGTAGTTAATACTGCATGGATCAGGAATAGCTGTTACGCTGTAATGTTACCAATTGTTTTCCAGATGGACATGTTCATTCGTTTAATGTGGTCGACGATCAAAATTTAATTGGATTCTTACACCGAGTTATAGATTTTGAAGAGGCAGATAAAGAGACTATGCATTTGCTTATCTTTTTACTGATGCAATTTTTATCACGATCTGATCAAGCGTACCCATCAGACGAAAAAGGAATTGCAAAATCTCAAGCTATAGTATTAAGGCATTTATTCTTACTACTGGGCTGTCGACAAAACGAACGAGGCATCTACGTACCTCCGCAAAGACTAAGAACTTCGCCTGCATTTAGTGCTTACTTGTCAAATCTACCTCAACTTTTAGACCAAAATCATGTCATGGGCCGACTATTGCTTTCCAATTCATTAATAGTTCTACAATACGCCCCATCTCCTCATTATTTGGCCAATAATATTGATTACCAGCAACCGACTTACAGTTTATGGGCGTTAGAACCGCACTGTCGAAGAAATTGGCTAATGTCATTGGTAGTTTTGTTGTATAAGGTACGAAATGTTTCCTAAATATTATACGCAATAACAGAGACAATTCCTTACAGTATCAATATAGCCAGCAGCCACATTGTGTACAACTGAATGCGTTAATTCGAATAGTATTAAATACTTTAGACTCTCAGTACCACCACTGTCGACGAATTCCTGCCACCGTCATAATGGGAGCTCCACCGTCACGATCAAGAGGTAATGCGCTTTAGCGTGAATGTCTTTCTATATGTTGTCTTTCAGATGTAAGTCAACCGTCGTTAGGTATTGACAATGAGCATGAGCGATTAATGACGCCCCCACTTTCTCCAATGTATTCCCTTGATGGGCAATCGGGACACATATCCTTGAACTCAAAAGGGGGAAAAATGCAAGTTATTTACGCGAAACCATCCTCAACCACAAGTATGGAAACCCATTGGGAGGAAATTATACAACAACCTGAAAAAAAGACTCGAAGGTCTGGCGATTATGACGTCGATGATTCGGAATCAGAACTCCTTGCGATTCCAGAAAGTGATGTTTCAGACAGCACATTACAGGGCAGCGGTCAGGTTAGAACATCTCCCAATATCAAAACTCTGGGTTATACTGTTGTAGGATTCATTTGAAGAAACTCCCGATGAGACTATATACACTTTGCAAAAACTTACAAAACTGAACGTTACAACTAAGGTTCAAGATAATTACGAATTTAACGGACATACCATCAAAGGCTCTTCTGACAAACGACCAACTTGGTTTATCGGAAGCGAAGACGATTCACTGAAGCATCCCGACGGTAAACACTGGGATTTAGACGAAAAGTCATTAATGTTGCATCAAAAATGGTTTTCGTCCGATAACTCAAAAAATTGTTCTAAAATTACATCATTAGGGACTAGTAGCTTACAAAGTACATTAGCTGTCGTTACTGGCGTTCCAAACCTTCAAATGAGTATGGCGAAAACTGTTACAACTGATTCTCATAAGCAAGTCACATCAACGTCGATTGAAACGCAGCATATTAGTAAACCAACAACAACAACAAAATACCAGAAAACCATGGACAGTGCAATATCAGACTGTGACGACTGTTACAAAAATGCAATTTTACCAGCACCGTCGTTAGAAAGATTATTACCTATTGGAGCAAATAGATCGCCAGGTATTCGCATCAATTTAAAGTTTATCAACAAACCTCATAAAGCATGTTTTTTTAAGTTATAAAAAGTTCACCACAAGTTATTTATGAGGATATAAATTCTAGATCACCAGATTCTCCACTTTCAAAAATGGATTTAATTATATTGGGTAATATTAATTACCCCTACCTTCGTTTGCAGATCGCGCATACTTGCTTAACTTGTACACCTTTCAGAATCGCCGAGGGATTCTGTTTTCTCACCAAGCATAGAATCGCAATTGGAAATTCCACGGCAAGAACGCTTATTGCCCATCGGGCAGCATAATAGAGAAATTTCGCAGTTAATTGATAAAGTACAGCAGGCGCTAGGAATTAGTGCGACATCAACAAAAATAGATAACAGAAAAAGTTACGAATTTAATATACAGAAAGATTCGGAACAAGAAAAGCCTACTCAAACTCACAGTCCTAGGAGATTAATTAAACAAGTTGCTTTAGAAAGTCCTCCTAACCAAAACGGTCAAGATACGTATTATAAAGACGCAAATTTAGATAACAAAAGTAAGCTTTTCTTTTAACGATGGTTATACCTGTATATGTGATTTTTAAGGGGAATTTATGAATCAAAAACAGAAGACCAGAAAAGCCGAGACCTTTACGGTGGGAATTCATTCTCTAGGGGACCCTAGAAAGCTTGGATCTTGGTTCAGTCCTCAGATGTCACCTAGGTTGGAAAGATGTGATTACAAACCGAATTCGTTTCGATCTGGGGATGAATGTATCACTGAAAGGTAGTAGGGTTCGTAGTGTTACAACCTTGGTCTTGGATCTAGGCTTGGGTCAACCTTAAAATTTACAGAAAGAAAAGTAGTTTTCTGTCCTTTGACCCAGCCTCTGGTGCCTGAGCCGTGATTGTTTTCTAAGTTTGGAAATGGTCATTAAATTGCGCCATACTCAATATTTTCGCGCTTCGTGTACCTATATCCAAGGACCCGGACCGAAATGAAATATCGGTTCCGGCTGTTTATATTTAAGCGGAAATATTTATGACGGTTCCCATCCGGTTTCGGTACTAGAAAAAAATGTGCCAAATTCTTGACAGAAAAGCTTCCTAGTTCAGCTCAGACCAAAAAGCGCTCCTCACCATTTAACGTCTTCGCACCCTTTTTTTTTTACTTTTGTTTGTGTTTACTACTAATACTTATTACCAATAATTCATTTATTATCAAGTCAGTAAACTCAAAGCTCCTTATTCAATTCAATCGGCAGGTAAGAATACGAATGGCATTTTACAACTTATCCGTTTTACGAGGGTACGACACCCTCATTATGTTGTCAATGACCTTCTTTCTTGTCAGCGGCCTGGTGCAGATGTTATAGATGGGCCAGTTTTCTTTACAAGTAATTAAGCATTATAAAAACTGGAGTATATGCACATGCACACTGATATTTTAACATACGTATTGATATTTTATCGTAAGTCCTTTGCGTTAAAACAAAACAAAAATGCAAAGACTGAACTTCTGCAATCGCTCATTCTAAATAATAAACGCGCGCTAAGCCGTTAGACAGTTTTTTAACTTTGAAATTTTTTCTCCGCTTTTTTCTAACGACACGTAGCATAATTTTGTTGTGCACAAAAAAGAAAGTCTTTCGAATAATTTAATAAAAGTATTGCCTTGTTATTTGAAAAAAAAAGTTGTCAATTTTACATCATTTGTAATGCCTAATGTAGGTACTCTCGCAAAATTTTAACGAAATCATAGTAATTTTTTTAGTTTTTCAACTTTGACATTTTTGTTCTCAGTTTTTTTGTAATAAAACCTGGCACAATTTTTGTAAGTTGTAGAAAAATAAGGTCTTTCGAATAACTTAATAAAAATTTTAGGTTGCTATTTGAAAAAAAAGTTCGATGCCGTTGCGGTGCTCTACATTTTTTTTTTTAAATCCGGCTCATTATTTTTTGTTTCAGTATGCCTAATATACATATCCAAAATTTAAACAAAATCCGTCAAGCGGTTACCTCGAAAAATTGCAACGTACGAACGTACATACAGACGGAAAAAATGTTATTCTTTAAAAATGATAAAAATGATCTAAAATGTCGACATTTGATGAAACTTTATCATGTCCAAAAAACGGTGATCGCAATAGCCACCTAGGAAGCTAAAAATAACGGTTCGGTTTCGCGCATTTTTTCGGTCCATCATCCAGTTCTTTTCGGTTCTAGTCTTTTAAAAAGCATGGCATTAAAAAAATTCAATACAACAACGTAATTTGTTAATTAATAGGTGTGAAAAAGAAATAAAAAGTCATGGATACCAAAACGTGACGTAGCTAATTTACAACGACAAGGGGAATAAAGGAGGAAGAGGGAAATATGTATTTAAACTTAATTTATTAATAAAAAAACAGAAAAAATACACGAAAACTTATGTAAAAAAGTTATGCATGGCGTTTTTTATTTTTATTTTCTAAAACCTCATTGCTCCTTTTATTCTTTACATTTACAGTAGCGGCTAAATTATCGCCACCGCCACCCGTACTGCCTTCAATTTCGACACCTTATTAAAAACTTATAATCCACCGATGGCAATCATAGAGTAATATTTTATCGATTTTCAGGACGTGTTTGCCGGCGCGTCCTTCAACTTCCAATAACCTGTTAAGAACCGTAAAAAAACCGAAAAGAAGGGTTACGGTTCTCAATAAGTTTCTATTTCTGAAGGAATAACTGTTTTGGTTCGGTTTTCGTTCCTGAAAAAAATGCCGGTTCCGGTCCGGTTTTCGGTCCGACCCGTGTCCCTGCCTATAGGTACCTACTATACTTCCTAGCATATAGGTATACTAATACGCGATTGATATTGCATATTATTTGTAATAAATTGTTGAATATAGACACATACCAAATATTCCAGATGTTCTGAATGTGGAATGGTTAAAGAAGAGTACAGCGATGAAGAGATTGGACTATGCATAGTAACATTAGGAACATTCATCCACAGAGAACCATCGCTTGCAGCGCCAATGTTGCCTGAAATATTAAACATTGTGGCAAAGTAAGTGTTATCAAGCTGTTTGATAGGGCGTTAATTTTATTAACTAGAGTAACTACAAATGCTATGTACCCATGGCAAAATGAAAGTAATATACACTTGCCAGGAGGAGCCGTCAGTGTTGCCCATCAATTTTTACGTTGTGTTTTGCATCAACTTGCGCCAAATGGAATTTTTACTCAAATGTTTCAAACACAAGGGAACGGTATGAACTTTTCCTTTTCCACATGAACCATACTGCAATCAAACTTTTTTAGAAACTGCTCGGATACAATTTTTCAAAAGCTTAACGCAGGCTTTAACAGATTTCAATGAACTAAACCCAATAGCACCGTTACAATTTTTGTTAGAGGTAAATTAAAGAAATCTAAGCCCCGCCGATTAATCACAGTATTTAAGGCACTTAATTCCAAAAAAGTTCTTCCAGTAGACACCTTGCCGATCATTTTAGAAAACATCGCATGTTATTTCGATTGCTTGCCATTAGAAGCAAGTTTAAGCTCAACCGTCACGCTGTGGAGTTCAGTACTGATGCAACTTGAAAATTTGTATAGGCGAATTTTATTTTTTCTAAGTAACTTGGAGGACATAAAACCGCTTTTGAAGATTATGGTGTCTGTTTTAAAACTACCATCGATAGCCCAGTTTAAGGTAAAAGTCTTGTATTGTAAAGGCGTAATTTAATTGAAGGTTTTAAGGGCCTCCTTGAACCATTTTCCAAGGTTCTAAGCTGCGCCATTGAGTTGCACATTATACAATATAATTATTTGGTCGACTTGTGCTACCTCTGCAACAGAATTTTCACCAAGGTAAATCGTGTAAATTTGACTGACTTAGGGATCCGTAATCATTTTATTACAGGAACGCGATAAATTGATACTTAGTCGCATGGTTGTTTATGAATTAGTACAAGCTCTAAAATTTAAAGTTTCAATTCCAGATTCTAATCTACTAATATTAATCAACTTGATTCTACAGGTAAGCACATTACCTATTACCTTGGTACCTATATATTTCGACCTCAAATCCCTTTTCGTTCCTTACAACACGTATGCAATATCATTTTTTTAAATTTCTTTTTTGGAAAACTCCTGGAGAAAAATACTTCTAAAACACGAGGGTACCTACTGAGTATCACTTCACTTCATTCAGATTTTGGTTTATATCTTTAGGATGCAGGTGGATCCATACCAATTAACGTAGTCCTTCAAAATTCCTTGCCGCTTTATCACGAAACTGGGCCTGTATTCAATACGAATATTGGAGAGTGTATGCGGATTCATTTGGGAGATGTCGTAGAGTTTTTAACGGATTTCCATACATTAGCAAAAATGAAGGTAGGTTACCTTCCTAAACCGTTGGTAAAATAATTCGTGCTGTTTTTCAGAGTTACTGCAAGGGTATCAATGTTGGTTTAAATGAAGATACATTAGGAGGTATTATAAAAGGCGCAATTGCTCAATATTTGGCGTTAGAAATTACGAAAGGTAATGGAAGAGACAACCGAGCCGTAACCAAGTACTTTCCCTGGTTGTATAATGCGTCGTCCACCCAGCAAACGTACGTTTTCACATTACTACAAATTGTTGTTACGTTATTTTAGGTCTCGCGAATTTATCGAATGTATTGGTCACATCCGTCTGCTATCTTGGTTACTGTTAGGTTCTTTAACACATAGCTCTTTGCATGGGATAGGTGCTAGTCAACACTTATGCCAACCGATACCCCAAGAAGCTTCGTGTCAGATTGCTGATCACATACAAGTCATAATGGCCGGGTTTGCAGAACAACCCAAAGCCTCGGTGCTTCATATGTCCTCATTGTTTCATGTTTTTATTTTATGCCAAGTATGTAGTTTTTAAACTTTCTTCATTCTTATCTTACATTTTAAGTTATGGACGGTATACTTAGAACAAGGATTAAATAACCTTTTGCCGATTAGCGAAACCTACAACATTATAATGAACATTCTATTCGATTTTTGGGGAAAAGTCACGCCATACATTTTGCAACTGGTGCAACAATCAAAAATGGTGAGCAATAACAAGATGTTGCGACATTTCTATCGTAATCATCGCTTTGTAGCTCAGTGAAATTGTAAGTCTGCATTTCTTAAGTATGTTAGAGGCATTACTAGAATGTCATTCAACTTTAGTTGGGAAATTACTACCATTATGGACACCAGTTCTTAGCTCAAACCATTTACAAGTAAGTTACGCTAGATGCCTTCAGTGTCCTATTAGTTTTGTCTACCACTATATCTTGAACCAAAAAGGTATCTATATTTAAAAATGCAGATAAATGTTTGAAGAAACGAAAATCACGTAGGTAAGTTGCCTACATCGTGGGATCATCAATAAAATCGGATGGTTTTGGTTCCCTTGATTGCTACCAAATTATTTATTTCATGTTTAAGAATGATAGCCCATACCTGCTATTACATAACGATCATAAATAATTGCAGTTGCCTGGACATTTACAAGTTCGCCTACAAAATTGCAGAAATTTTCCACCAAACGCATATTTTGAAGTGCTGCCAAGTAAATCAAAATTTCATTTAAACAATCCGATACTATTGAGATGGCTGCAAAGGTTACAATTCAAAATGGGACAAATAGAACTTCAATCCTCAACAGCAACACAATTCTACTCATTGTAGCACGTACTGATTTTTTGTTTATTTACGTAGTGAAAAGTAAATTTATTTTCCAAAAATGCGATGTATTTCTATTGCCTTTTCATCCTACCAGCCTATACATTTACACAGTTAATAAATAGGGGATTAACTTGGTCATTATGTGGAAGTATTTGAGCATTGTTCGGGTCTTTTCAGGCCTTTTCTGTGTCAAGTCCTTTATATGAGAAAAAATCTAATAGGTATACGAATAGATTTTTAAAAATTGACCCACACAAAAAGGTTTATTCAATGAGCTCATTTTAGCTATAGTTATACGCACACTCCGTTCCGTTTATACACCCTACGTCTAGGTACACGCTAGTGCCGGATGTAAAGACCTTGAGGGCTTCCAAAACCTTATACAGTATAAAGGGCTCGTTGTTATACATGAATTTATACATGGTATCTACATATAACTACAAGCTCAAATGATGGTTGTTTGCACGGCCCCAATTTGCAATCCAATAGAGAGGAACTATATATCGCATTCGAGGTGGGTTCATCGATTTTCGCCAGGATGGATCCAAACGCACTGGTGGCAATAACTCCAGAGAACTGAACAACCTAAGCAAATTCTCTACTCTGTTTCAACTGAAGCAGTGGATAATGCTTTATGCTACTCAGGCATGTAGCTCTGAAGAATTGATGGGTGGGTGTATGCACGCTTGGCACACTCTTGATCAAAATTCATTCGTAATAAACCTTTGGATGCCATGATGAGCCATGAACTTTAGCAGTTATCCGCCTAGGATACTTCGCGGCTGAAAATAGTAACTACTGAGCTCCACCACCATGACAAGGGGTATCCCATGAGGGGATGTGAATTTACTGTTAGATCTCTAAATTATTCTACGCTTCCGTAGAAAATCTGTAAAAGCTCCTTTATCATTCCCCTCAAAAAGTGGTAGGTACTCAAATATCGTTTCAAAAGATCTCGAGCCTTAATTTGGTACTGCCTTTGCAGGAACGATGAACTCTTAGGCATCGGGGTACCAGATGATATCCCTTTTGCCCTTACATCTGGAAAACATATCTCTAGTGGGGGTTTGTGTTCGCTTTGAATAAATTATTAACGGATAATATAAGATATACCTAAAAAGCAGCAGTAATAAATATCTCTTAGCAGCAATAATAATGTCTAAACCAGAGCTGGGCAGTATTCGATTTTGTAAATACAATTTAGTATTCAAATCCTTTAAAGTATTCAAATACTTTGTAATTAAATACTTTTATGGAAGCAGTATTTGTATTTTTAACTCAAATACTTTCACAAATATTTAGTATTCGAATACTTTGCAAAGTATTTGAATACTTAACCTTCCTTTTTTTTACCAAAAATCGACTGCACCAAAATTTCTCGGGAAAACCTCTTTCTGATTAATTTTGGTGCGTAGAATCCAAAACAATTCGTACTTTTTCGATCAGACTTCTCAATCAAAAGTTATAGACTAGAAACCAATTTACCGCTTACCCATTAGTCCGTTGGCGTTCAAGAAGGGGTTACCTGCAGCGAGGCTGACACCGTCCTCCGTCTGTCCATTGGTACATGATTCATGATAAAGGATGGCTTGACCCCAAATCGCTCCAAAGGCGACTTGACGTCCTTCAGAGCGTCCGCCACCATCCGGTATGGCTTTCTCCATATGTCGAATTTGGCTAGAAGGCTCAAAATCGACTGAATACGTGTTTTTGGCTGGAAGTCCAGGTTCGCTGCCTGACTACCAGTATGGGTACTGGCGGTGGCGAGTACTTCCGAAGTAGCATCCCTTGTTGCCGCCGCGTAGTTCGTATCGGGACGAGATTCGGCGGTTGTGATGCGTCCCTTCGGCGCCACGCTTACGGGTCCTCTCTCGGCCGCCTTTTGAAAGAAGACGCGTAAATATCGCGCATGGTACACGTTGGCACGTCTCTTCACGGTGAGACTATGCCATAGACGACGCCCAGCGGACGCCGAACTTAATTGGTGGACGGATGTGAAACGAAAACGCCACGGGAGGCTAGGAAAGAAGCTGAAGTGCATGATTGCAGTGGTGGGATGGAACGACGCAACCTTCCCGGAAGCGGTTGACGAACTTTCCCCCTCCCAAACCCGTGTTGATCAAGGAGGCGGCAATGACGAAGGAAATCACCACGGTTACCGACAAGGAGGTCAAGGCAACGGGAAACTCGCTACCGAATCACCGAGCTCCTAGACCAAAATACCGGCTAGGGTGGTGAAAGCGGTGACAGCTTATATATGGACTAACATCGCCAGCGAAATGATGAGAACGGGTGTCTACCCGGATAGGTAGAAAAAGGGCCGACTAGCGTTGATGATTCCTAAGGGTCTTGGACTATACAGGTATAAAGTTCTAAAAATGATAGGTGAAGGCAAAAATTTAAGACGTGGTATGTGATAAGCTGTCCCCCAAACAAGTCGGATTCAGGAGAGGGAAATCCGCGAGTCATGCCTTAAGATTAATCGTCGATAGGATAGGATGTACATACTTACGATGTAGTAGTGAAGATACCAACTGCGAATGGAGTAGAACTTATGACGACCCCGAGTAAAAGCGACCGCGAAAAGGACGAGGCGACCCGCAAGCTGCTGAGGACGAGTGGAAACTGGAAAACTAAACTCACCCTGATGACTGGGAAGATAACCGCGACTACCTTGGCAGTGATGGGGCAGAGGATACCTCTAGAACTGAAGATTAAGGTCCTTGGGGTATGGTTTGACATAAATCCGTCCACACTCCATGTCCCAATGTTGGGGGTATGATGGCCGATATCTATCATGACATATGTTGAAGAGATTTGGTACCTGGCCCTGAAACGGAACGCGGCCATGAAGCGAGTTAACAACAAACAACGTACTGAGACTATTCTCAATAAGAAGTACTTAGTGTATCTATCGGATAGTACAGGGAGTACACATCATGGTGGTAATTGGAGTCCCTCCACCACAGCAGTGGGAAAACGTTCGGGAGTCTTGGGCAAAGACACTAATCCCCGCTGTGAATGGTTTGGTGACATGTGCACGCTATGAGGCGAAGTATGCGGTGGTTTGGTTTGAGGCGTTCCGTGTGAATGTTGCTGGTGTCTTCGGAATTAAGATTTACGACCCGGAAGGTCAGCCAGACTCATTTAAACGGACTTTAACGAAAAGTCTGCATTACTGGAGCAATGAGCACTACACCCACAGCTGGCATGGAGGTCTTGCTGGGTTTCTTCCCTCTTCACTTAGTGATGAAGAGGGAAGCAGTGAGGAGAGATGGCTCCAAGTCGAAGGAAGGGGTGGGAATAGGCACTGAATTACGCTCAATCCTCTTAGGAACCACTTCTAAGTATTTCCAGGGTGCGCAGATGCCACTGATGGGGTGCGCGCATTTAGATCTACTCGGACAGTCAGGCAGCTCTCCTCAACCTCAAAACTGCTCATGGAATGCCACACAAAACTTGAAGAAATAGCCAGACGTCATTGTGTTACAGTGTGGGTGCCAAGCCATAAGAGGATAACCTGTAAGGTGGCTGATCGCCTCACTAAGGTCAGCACCAAAAATCCCCAAATTAGACTACAACCCTACTGTACGTGGGGCACCAGCAAGTGTAACTGGAGAAGTGGTAAGAAACCAGTTCAGAAAAGAGTGGAAATGTCTATGGGAGTCTGCCCCTGGATAAGAAACTAATCAGTCTGGTCACTGGACAGACAATCTGCTGCTCACAAAATCTGGGTGAGGCTGTAATAGCACTTCAGCAAACCAGCTGGAGAGCATTCTCAGATTTTTTAACAAACTGCCTCTCTCGAAGTAACACAGATCCAAAGGGGAAAAAATGTAACATTTTTAATCCAAAATGTTCAAGGCTTCTATTACCATTCATGACCGGAAGGGAGCATAGATATTTTGATTACCTTGACCAAATCAGTGTTGAGCTCTTTATCAAACCCTGTAAATTTTAAGACAAAAGCACATCGTAGTAAAGATCTTTTATAAAACTTTTGTGTATACACAGTCTTATACTGTGCGTGGGGCCATAAATGATTACGTGAACTTCTTTAGGCATGTTCATATATTTGGCAACGAAAGAACACTTTATAAAAGTATAAATAAGGTACAAAGTGTATTTGTATTTAGTTTTACTTGTGATCTAAACGTGACGATTCTTTAAGCAAACGCTGTAACATCTGCTGACTTCCTGCCAATGAAAATGGATTCAATTCATTTACAAAATATCCTACGTCTATTTTTATTTGTTCTCGAATTTTTGCCTCATCAGATGTGGCATCTCCACTTGTTTGACCGGCTGATTCATCTACAAAGTTAAGAGATCGATTTTTCAAGCGACGAAGAGATTCCTCAGTTTTACACACCGAATGTAATACTTCTTGGACTAAAGACAAATACCTTAAAAATGTGACATAGTGAAGGAGCATAATGTCAATCATACTCACTGAGCGGCGAGTTCACCTATAATTCCATCGAGTACATTTACAATACCTTCTTCCATAAGGGTGCGGAAGTTATCATGAAGTTTTATTATTGGTGATACTGTAACCAGCACATAATTACTAGGTTTCTGAGGCACATTCCGATTTGTCCTTCGATAGAGGCGTGGTATGGATGTCACCTGCTGAAGATGTACAGCACCTTGTTGTACTTTGAAGTGTATTAAGTGCTTTTGTAATTTCAAGCACAACTTATTTAACATTGTTACATGTATATTTAGTATCTTAGACAGATAGGGACGCACGTCAGGCGTAACTAAATTAAATATTGTACTGTCGTAATCTGTAATGTTTGTCGGTGGGCTCAGCAAGGTTACCAGTTTCTTTATATCCATCAGTGCATATACTATAAATTTTTCCAATTCCTCTGTGTTGGAGCTTGCCGCCCCTCTCCATTTCTAAACAAGAAAATAATTTCACAAAAAAGTTACAAAATGTTCTAAAAACCTAAGCTATTGTGCAACTACAGAAAGAACTTACGTTTAAAAATCCGTTAAACCATGTCATATATCGAGACACCAATAACATCATTAGTTTAAAAAACTGATCGACCAGATGGGTTAAATAGACAGATTCGTTGAAACACTGCTGTATACCAATCCAAAGGGCTTCTGTCAATTTCAACTTGAAAGACTCGTGTCCACTTGCCAACTGTTTCCATTCTGCCGCACTAAAAGTCGTGGGCTCAATCAACATTTCCGTTTCAAACTTAATAGAAATCTGTTGCAGGACAATCTCAAAATATACGGGCAAGTTAAAACGTTTCATATGGTCGTGCAGTGACTGGTTTGTTGTAATATCTCCAGACATACGCAATATCTGGTGCAAAAAGTTCCAAGTGTCTTTGTAACGCCTTTGAAATAATTCGGGATTACCGGGTGCGGTAATGTTGGGTAGGTTATTACGTATTTGCTCGTCGACTTCCACCCAATAACTGTCCAAAATGAACTTGAACCCTCGTAGGTCTGCATTTCTGGAAATAAAATATGGATTACACATTGTGCTTCGTCACCCTCATGCTGGTAGAACAAACGTTGAAAAAATTATTAATTATTAAGTATGTACATTTGAATAAAACTTGTAATGGAAAATAAAAAACTTTTCAATATTCACCAAAGGACACATTTAGGGTCAGTTTTTGGTCAAAGTTTTGAGTTTTTGTTAGAGTTTGGGACAGTTCCTCGAGAGATTTAAAGTTCTCTGATCACGTTTTGGTGAGGAACTTATAACAAGAAAATCTGTGGGCTGCGTAAAATGCCCTTTTGTAGGAAATGGACGAAATTCTATGGGGAAGTAATGTTACTCATTTCACGTTAATTCAGAGAAATTTTGTCTAAATTTGTGGCAATGCTTGAAATGTTGGGAAAATTAAGGGAAATGATTTTTACGCAATGAATCTTTGCCCCCTAAAATAAGCCGTAACCAACCCGGAGGGGTTGATCATGATGGAAATTCTTGCCCCCCTGTAGGAAGTTTCGAGGAAATAGCTGGGAAATGATGAAATTGGAGGAAATATTAGTACATTTTTGAGAAATAGGAGGAAATTTCAAAGGAATGAAGAAATTCTAGGGAAAATATTTTGAGGAAGTAAAGGAAAATCTGAGGAAATTTAGAGGAAATTCTGAGGAAGATTTTAAGGAAGTAAGAGGTTTCTACATATATGATTATAGGGAAGTAACTTTACTCATTTGGGGAAATTTAAGGCAATACTAGAAATGTTGAGGAAATGAAGGGAAATGGTGGGAATTTTTAGGCAATGAAGGAAATTTTCGTCTCCTAAAATAAGTCGTGAACAACCCCTCGACTATAATAATCAATGATGAATTTCTTTTGAAAACATTATGTAGTTCTGAAAACAACCGAGTGTGATGTTTGTTATGATCATTAATTATTGTTCTTCATCGGGGCCGGCTCAAGACAAAAGTTATATACAATGGCGTAAGGAAGCACTAAAATTTGCGCCCCTGGTCACCGCGCCAAAGCCTAAATAATGGGAACTTTTGGCAAGCTGCAAGCAGGTTTTAAAAAATATAGAGGTTGATACATATTGTAACGTAAATTTAAATATGTGATTTATTTATTTACAATTAATTAACAATACATTTATAACAATGTTGAAACGAATTGATTTATAACATCCAAATATTATTTATCACTCACATTAACACAGTTTATAACAGTGGGAACTATTTATTACTTCGGTGTTGAAATTGGAACTTTCCTGAAAGGCAATTTGCTTATATAGCCAACTCGAGTATTCTCGAGTGCTCCTGAATGGTCTTGAACAATCTAGAACAAAACACATCACATTTCCCGGAAAGATTGCATCACGTCCGCCTTTGTTCTTTATCGCCGATTACAAATCTTTCATGGCGCCTTGAGATCTATCGGGATTTCTTGAATATTTGCTGCATAATTTCTTACTATATTAGGAATTTTTTCAATTTATGTTATATTGTTTTCGTTTGATCTTAAAAATAGAAAACGCCGTCTGTATTTTACATCCGTGATTCAGCAGTCATTAAATTTGAGTAATTTTGCGCCCCTTCTTGTCTGCGTCGTAAGCGGGCGGTTACACTTCTTACGCCTAACGCCGACCCTGTTCTTCATTCAACCATCCTTCAATAAATTTTAAAATAATAGCGTTTATTTTCAAAACTCGATAACCCGGAAACGATTTAATTCAGGTACATTATGCTTCCTGCAAATTTTGCTTAAAATTGAGAGAAGAATTGAAATATCAAATAATACACAGGGTGTTCCATTTAAAAAAATGCAATTTTGGTGTGCTACGCCTTTATGACCAACCCTGTATAATTTAAATTATTACTGCCTAGTACACAATGAAGAACCCTAAAACTATTGTATAAAGTTGTATTCCATACCTTGTACATTTTCTCCGATAATTGACCGTTTCCAAACCTATCAGCGTTAAGTTTCAAAACTCGATAACCGGGAATCAATTGTATTTGAATGCATTACTCTCTTACCAATGATACTTAAAATTAAGAGAATTTAAATATCGAATAATACACAGAGTGTCCCATTAAAACAAATGCAATTTTGGTGTGCCACACTTTATGAGCAACCCTGCATAATTAACTTTATTACAGGCAACTAGACATTAAAGAACCCCAAAACTTTTAGCTTTTTTCAATACCTTCTATATTTTCCCTGATAATCGCCCGTTTCCAGACTTATCACCCAGTATAATAACAAAAGAGCATTATTGTCGAGATACTTGCAGGAAATAATGGCGTTTTTTATGTAATAAAAATGACATTAAACAAACTTAATATTCATTCTGTAAATCCACCTTGCAAAACACATCATCTATTCTAGTGTAACACAAAATGGACATTTATTATTAAACGTTTGTAACATCAATCACTTTCAAAATCCAGGACAGCTGCTCCCTCCTTTCAGATTGCAGCGTCCAGAACTATGAAATCTTGACTACGGTACTAAGGGTCCCTGGTTCGAATCCAGGTTCGGGCATGGGTATTTGTACATGTATAGTTGGTTGGGTTCGTAGAGCAGCCTTGGCCTACTCAAAAATACAGGCAAAAATAAATAAATAAAATAGGTAAGGATTATCCAATGTCAATTAAAAAAAAAACCTACCAAATGTGATGTCAAGACTTCTGGAAATATGTTTTGGGAAATGGATACACCCTCCATCAACACTTAATTACCTACCCTTACTGTTCTACTCAACCTTGAGGTAGCAAATTGCTCAACGCTTACAGAACCAGATGTAATGCAATGGGGCACTTAATCTCAACATTTGTTCTGCTAGCATTAGAAACGTCATTAGGTACCTTTGCAATACACCCAATAATACGCCGAATTCCTCATTCAAAAACTTAACCGCCTGCTTGTAAAGCTCATTCACATCTTGGCCATGACGATCCAAGTTTTTTTGCGTGAATATTGAACGTAAGCCTGGCGCGGCCACATGTTTACGTACGCATTCGTTCGCAGCATCTTGTTTAACCAAATTCACGTACATTCTCAAACAACGCACTATCAGAACCTCATCTTGTCCCTTTAAAGCAGTTAGAAATACCCCGTTGACCAACTGCACAAGTCTGACAACCAAATTTTCGCCACTATTTCCAAGCACCACGGCATCAAGCTGTAGTTCTTTCAAATGCAGGTGTTGAAAAGAGTATTCGTTAATAGCTCTTTCTAAAGTGGTCACATCAGGGTCCCTTTCCCATGATAATATTACTTGATCGATATAGGCAGATGACGATGAAATTGCGATTTTTAAATTTAACACATTCTTTTCATAAGCCAAGGATTCAACTTTGTTTAAGTGGTCTTTAAAATTCATCTTGGCACTGGTAATAGCATGATGTAAGCTCTACAATTAGAAATGATGGTAGATACCAGTTAAAAACTAGGGAGCACTTACCCGAATTTCTTCACATAATTGTGACACTGGGGAGGAAAGTTCGTCTATTGTCACCGACAAATGAGTCAGATTTTCCGCCAAGTTTATAATCCCTTCTGTTTCAGTCTTTAAAATATCTACCATCATGGAATATAGTTTTGAACCGTATTCCTTCAATTCCTTTCGGACAGAGAGTAAATCCGCTTTTTGTGTGCATTGCGACAGGAACTCGTCTGTGTTAAATGTCGGCTAAAAGGACCATATTTAATTAAAAAATGGTTAATATATCTATGTGAATACCTTAAAGAAAAAGTCTGTAAAGAATGCCTCTCTACTTTTTAAATCCATTTTGATTATTGAAACGTATCCAAAGTTGCCAATCGAAATCAAAATATAACCTATTTATCAGTGGCGCAACAAGAAATGCGAATCGGGGGGCTATGTGAAGGTGGCGACTGAAACTGCACACACATTCTATATATACATGTAGGTATTCCATTGATCATCAATTAAATTCGAATACGACTGTACACCACTTAAGGGAATGTTTTTACAAGTAGCGAAGGAGAAGGAGGGGGTAGTAAATATACACGATATACAAAATGATTAATATGTCAGGACATTTATCCATTATTCCACTCCAAGTTCTTATTTCTGTGACCGTCGCTCCTACGCCTTCTTTGGTAAGAAACGATCTGCGCCATATTTTTTGTATCACTATACCAATCTTGAACAAAAGCTGCTGGAATTGTTGTCTTTTATGACTTTTTACCCCGGACCAAAATGTAAATGGAAGTTTTGAAGAAAAATCATACAGACGAACCAGCCCCTACAAACGGTACCTACGTGTGCCGCCACTGCTTTGACTGTGATAGAGACGGCCAACTTCGTAGCAAAGGTAACTATTTGCGCTTAACTTCAAGCAAAACTATTTGTGTTTGTGTTACTTTTAAATTTCCAAACAAATCTTTATTTCTCTTTATTAATATTTTGATTTTCTCAAATAATACACGTTAAAATGATTTACGTTCGGTGGCGTCTGAAAAAGTGAGAGCTTATTAAAAATTGCGAGTTCCTAACCTAAATTCCGTTTAAGATTCAAACTAATCTGAAGACATCATAACATGCAACAATATTTATCCTGTAAATATTATTGACACAACAATAACTTTGATGACTTGTTTGTTCTCCCCCATTATGGAAGAAGCAAACGAAATTAGTGGATTAGAAGGCTCGAGTGTATATGAAGAACCAAGTCGTAGTTGTCGAAATAAAAAGAAGCTCAAGGAACCATCGTGCTGCCCGGTCTGTAGTGTAACATTACGAACCGCCGAATTTGATACACACGTTGTGTCCGAAATTGATAAGTTGGGCAAAATTTCGTCTAGTAAACACAAACCAAATGGAAAAAATACTCCCTCTGCGTCGTCCATGAACGGTTCAACGAAAAATAGTAATAAACATTGGGAAACATATCAAAAGGTGAAATCCAATAGGCAAAGTAGACAAAGAGTGAAATCTCGAAAACGACGGCTGGAAGAGATCATCTGTCCTGTCTGCAACTTAGAAACGAACGAAGATATTAATTTACATGTGGAGATGTGTTTGCGCAGATCTGAAAATAATACAGTAGACAGCGACGAAAATATAGACGTTGAGGGGGGTTTTGATGAATACGAGTGGGCCGGTCAGTCTCGTGTGCGAGCAACTTCTCTTTTTCAAGGAGGAGTATCTAGTTTGGGTGTTCCTATAGCTTCTACAGATGAGGATGAGGATTTGGTAGTAGACGGTGATGATGCTCAAGTTTATGGTGCCGCACAGTATTCGGAACGAGACGTTATTATACCAGGAGATGATAAGGAACAGGAAGCTCTGCGAAAGGCAATTCTCGGATCTGAAAGCGTTAAGCCGTGTAAGGAAGCATCACCTAAAGCCGAAACTGTTAGTGTTGGAGGGGATCCAATAATTGAGGCATTAAAAAATCAGATTCGAGAGTTACAGCATCGTGAGCAAATGTGGGACGATACCTATAAGTGCTTAATATGTATGGAACGATATAAAACGCCAGTAATTTCGGTATGTTGTTGGCATGTTCATTGCGAACAATGTTGGCTTCAAACACTGGGTGCTAAAAAGTTATGCCCTCAGTGTAATATGATTACTTCTCCTGCCGATTTACGTCGTATTTATATGTAGAAGTCTGATTCTTGTGACGCTACTACTGTGATATTAAAAATGGAATCTTCCTTTGATTAAAAGTTAATGTAACTATTAGAATATTTATGTTTTCGTCAGTATTTTGTTATATTAAGTAGCTTCACTACATGTACTGTTTTTGTCGTTACATTACCGCTATCAATTGTCCCAGTGTGAAAGTTTTGCACTAAGCCGTTGTTTATAAATTAATGCATATAGCAAATACTTGCTTTATGTATCTATCATTGTGTACAATAAATGTATATCCTTGTATAAAGATAACTTATTAAATTAATATTTTGTATGTAGAGACTTTTGTATTGAACCATATACATCCAAACAGAGCTGGGCAGTATTCGATTTTGTAAATACTTTTTAGTATTCAAATCCTTGAAAGTATTCAAATACTTTGTAATTAAATACTTTTATGGAAGCAGTATTTGTATTTTTAACTCAAATACTTTCACAAATATTTAGTATTCGAATACTTCGCATAGTATTTGAATACTTAACCTTCCTTTTTTACCAAAAATCGACTACATCAAAATTTCTCGGGAAAACGCTTTTTCTTATTAATTTTGGTGCGTAGAATCCAAAACAATTCGTACTTTTTCGATCAGACTTCTCAATCAAAAGTTATCGACTAGAAACCAATTTCGAAAGAAAATTCAAAGGGCTGTAACTTTTGAACTAGTAGCCCAATCTTGGAACTGTTTGAAATTATGGATTCTACAGGCCACATTCTATAAGAAAATTTTTTTTCCGGGTCGATCTGAGACAATTTTTTTTCGGGGCTCAAAAAAAGGCAGTGTATAACCTTCCTTTTTTACCAAAAATCGACTACACCAAAATTTCTCGGGAAAACACTTTTTCTTATTAATTTTGGTGCGTAGAATCCAAAACAATTCGTACTTTTTCGATCAGACTTCTCAATCAAAAGTTATAGACTAGAAACCAATTTCGAAAGAAAATTCAAAGGGCTGTAACTTTTGAACTAGTAGCCCAATCTTGGAACTGTTTGAAATTATGGATTCTACAGGCCACATTCTATAAGAAAATTTTTTTCCGGGTCGATCTGAGACAATTTTTTTTTCGGGGCTCAAAAAAAGGCAGTGTATAACCTTCCTTTTTTACCAAAAATCGACTGCACCAAAATTTCTCGGGAAAACACTTTTTCTTATTAATTTTGGTGCGTAGAATCCAAAACAATTCGTACTTTTTCGATCAGACTTCTCAATCAAAAGTTATAGACTAGAAACCAATTTCGAAAGAAAATTCAAAGGGCTGTAACTTTTGAACTAGTAGCCCAATCTTGGAACTGTTTGAAATTATGGATTCTACAGGCCACATTCTATAAGAAAATTTTTTTCCGGGTCGATCTGAGACAATTTTTTTTTCGGGCCTCAAAAAAAGGCAGTGTATAACCTTCCTTTTTTACCAAAAATCGACTGCACCAAAATTTCTCGGGGAAAAACACTTTTTCATATTAATTTTGGTGCGTAGAATCCAAATCAATTCGTACTTTTTCGATCAGACTTCTCAATCAAAAGTTATAGACTAGAAACCAATTTCGAAAAAAATTCAAAGGGCTGTAACTTTTGAACTAGTAGCCCAATCTTGGAACTGTTTGAAATTATGGATTCTACAGGCCACATTCTATAAGAAAATTTTTTTTCCGGGTCGATCTGAGACAATTTTTTTTCGGGCCTCAAAAAAAGGCAGTGTATAACCTTCCTTTTTTACCAAAAATCGACTGCACCAAAATTTCTCGGGAAAACACTTTTTCTTATTAATTTTGGTGCGTAGAATCCAAAACAATTCGTACTTTTTCGATCAGACTTCTCAATCAAAAGTTATAGACTAGAAACCAATTTCGAAAGAAAATTCAAAGGGCTGTAACTTTTGAACTAGTAGCCCAATCTTGGAACTGTTTGAAATTATGGATTCTACAGGCCACATTCTATAAGAAAATTTTTTTTCCGGATCGATCTGAGACAATTTTTTTTTCGGGCCTCAAAAAAAGGCAGTGTTTAACCTTCCTTTTTTACCAATAATCGACTACACCAAAATTTCTTGGGAAAACACTTTTTCTTATTAATTTTGGTGCGTAGAATCCAAAACAATTCGTACTTTTTCGATCAGACTTCTCAATCAATAGTTATAGACTAGAAACCAATTTCGAAAGAAAATTCAAAGGGCTGTAACTTTTGAACTAGTAGCCCAATCTTGGCACTGTTTGAAATTATGGATTCTACAGGCCACATTCTATAAGAAAATTTTTTTCCGGGTCGATCTGAGACAATTTTTTTTTTCGGGCCTCAAAAAAAGGCAGTGTATAACCTTCCTTTTTTACCAAAAATCGACTACACCAAAATTTCTCGGGAAAACACTTTTTCTTAATAATTTTGGGGCGTAGAATCCAAAACAATTCGTACTTTTTCGATTAGACTTCTCAATCAAAAGTTATAGACTAGAAACCAATTTCGAAAGAAAATTCAAACGGCTGTAACTTTTGAACTAGTAGCCCAATCTTGGAACTGTTTGAAATTATGGATTCTACAGGCCACATTCTATAAGAAAATTTTTTTTCCCGGTCGATCTGAGACAATTTTTTTTTCGGGCCTCAAAAAAAGGCAGTGTTTAACCTTCCTTTTTTACCAATAATCGACTACACCAAAATTGCTTGGGAAAACACTTTTTCTTATTAATTTTGGTGCGTAGAATCCAAAACAATTCATACTTTTTCGATCAGACTTCTCAATCAATAGTTATAGACTAGAAACCAATTTCGGAAGAAAATTCAAAGGGCTGTAACTTTTGAATTTTTTTTTTGGAACTGTTTGAAATTATGGATTCTAAAGGCCACATTCTATAAGAAATTTTTTTTTCCGGGTCGATCTGAGACCATTTTTTTTTCGGGCCTCAAAAAAAGGCAGTGTATAACCTTCCTTTTTTACCAAAAATCGACTACAACAAAATTTCTCGGGAAAACACTTTTTCTTATTAATTTGGGTGCGTAGAATCCAAATCAATTCGTACTTTTTCGATCAGACTTCTCAATCAAAAGTTATAGACTAGAAACCAATTTCGAATGAAAATTCAAAGGGCTGTAACTTTTGAACTAGTAGCCCAATCTTGGAACTGTTTGAAATTATGGATTCTACAGGCCACATTCTATAAGAAATTTTTTTTGAAATAATGATAGTGGTGGTTAGAAGTGGACTCTGATTCACGCGTCCTTATCTGAAAAAAAAGAAAAAGAAAGGAGTACCTATATAATTGTTTCTTTTTAGTTTTTTAGTATGGTTTGCGTTACCGGATGGTGTAAGGGGGATTGTCAAGGAGTTCCGAATTCCTGGGGTAGGGCTTCCAGTAGTTAGGCTTAGGTTAGGAGTATGGGAGAGAATTTGAATTTCTTTTTAGGTTTCCGGGAAGCGGGTTATCTGTGGAGGATTTATTGCAAGGGATCTTTAGGATTTCTTTGGTGGATGGGGTGTCGCCGTGAACCCTGCTGTGCGCAAACCTTGTTTGTAGGGATGTGAGTATGTGTGTGTTTGCATGATGGGTGCTTAGATCGCAGGGGTAGAATGGGTCGAGGGGGTTTGGTAAATGGATCGGATATAGTTGACTGGTAGCTTTTACTCTGGCAGTTCGATTGGAGAATGGGCTCTGAACCCAGTTGCGAAAAAAAGGGGGTAGGCACAATGGGCCTTTGGTGTGGCTAAGTGCTGCCCGGTCAGGTTTCCTGCGAATAGAAGGGGTCGGTCGGTAAGAGGATGTCCAAGGTGTTGAAAGTAGTACATGGGTTGGATGCAGCAGTTGTAAATACTGGATAACAATGTTATTGCGGAGGTCTGTTGATGTTGTCCGGCCCAGGTGCTGTGTTTGCGCCCACTTTTTTTAGTGTCTACTTTGAGAGGGGGGGGGGGGGGATTGGATGCAGAAGGGGATCGATGATAAAAGAAATTTGTGTTCTGGGACGTCTTCACCTCTTGATCTCGAAAATAAACTAGCAGGTGTTCAACATACTTTAAGCCAATAAAAAAAAAAACCACCAGCTTAATCTCGAGATCATAGTTGGGAAGGTCGGGTGATTGTCATGGTTCTTGTAGGTGGCTGCCAAATAAATCTGCCTTGCCTTTGTCCATGTTGCCTCCTGGGTATGTTAGGTGCATTTGTTTCCTATTGCTGATCATGTTGAACTGGCGCCAGTATCGACCTCCGTCTCTCTGCAGTGTTTCAAGGGAGGGGTGTAGCGGAATGTTTTCCGTAAAGTGTTGCACAAAAGGTTTCCAGTTGGTTCTGCAGAAGTCCTTTTTGTAGATTACAGTGGGCGGGGTGAGGTTTATACGGACTAGCAATGGGAGATGATCGGAGGGGATTGTGGTGCCTAGGAAGCAGTTGATGTTGATGCAGCGGGAGAGGGGTTTGGTAAAAATGATATGGTCAACAATAGAAGTACTGTGGTTCGGGTATAGTATTGTTAACACGACGGAAGAGTGGGGTAGTTTCCCTTCTAGATCGATAAGGGATACCAGTTATCTATCTCGAAGGTTAGCCCTAGAAAATAGACTGTGCCACTCGTATAATATGCTTAGAGGTAAAATAGTTTGATTAGATTTTTTCAGCATTTTATACTTGTCTGAAAACCATTAAGTTAATCGGACTAAAATTCTCATAGCAGTTTTGCGTTATCAGGGGAAGATATTGATGGGTCTGGTTAAACCTATGTATATGGCAAAATCCAGGTTTTCAACTAGTCAGAATGTTTGTTAAATAATTGGCATTGCACCCGATGATCAAATGCACATGACCAGAAATAGAAGTCACATTACTGGGGAGATGTTTTTTGTACAGGAGTGTTAGAGGAACACGGAATAAAACAATAATAGTCAGAAAATGTCTATTGAAGTATGTACATTATACTAATAAATTCTTTTTATCAAAACAATAATTAGTCGTTCCTCAATTTAAATGGTTAATTTATCTTTAAGCTTCAGGTCACCGAACTGATAGAAATGTATATTTTCACATGAAAATATACTTCAATTACAAAACAGTAACTTAAATAAAATTATACAATTAATAATACTCGTCACTTGATTCCCCACTATTTCCATAAAGAGTTACAGTTTGGCCACTTCACAGTTTTAAAGGTCCTTTTTTTTTAAATCAGTAGCATTACTGCTCAAATTATTATTTTTTGCTAAAATTTTCACACAATTTTATACGTTCGGTAAAAAATAGCCATTTGCCTAACACTAAGCATAGATCCTAAGAAAGGAATGTTCTTTTGTACCCGTTTGCAAGTCACTTTTTTACAATGCAAGTTCAAATTCAAAAAATAGGCTTACAGTATGATGAACGAAATCAGACTTCACAAATGAAGTAGCCAAAAGTCGTTACGGTCTCATCTATCTCCGAATGCCACACAATTTTTGATTGTAAATGTGGTGGTTACTTCCAGAGAGCACAACACCTACGACAGGTACGCTACTTTTATGGGCTTTTGAATGCATTAGTGGGCCATGCTACTAACAAAGTTAAGAAATTTTAAACGATGTATAGTAATAATCATAACGTGACAATGTGAAAACTTTAGTTATATAAGAATAGGGGTGAAAGATGTTTAACCATTTAAACTGGCCAAATGTCTCCAATCTCAAATTGTTGCAAACCTCAGCAATTGAAATACAGACTACAAAAATGGTTTTTCTAATGAATGCAATGTCAAACCGCTGTAAACAAATAATTGAAAACTGAATGTGTGTAATATCATACACAACCTATTATCACCCTGTTTATATTATTGCAAATTGAAATACATTAACAACTAATGGCACTCAAAACTCAATTCTATAATGTAAACACTTGCATTTCTGTAACAACTTTAAAATACAAATGACCATATAAAAAACTAACCCAACACCTCTTTATGTCGCAAAAATTACAAAGATCACTTTGGTAGAATTTACTGTCGAATAAATACAAAATTACAACATTATTTTGTTAATTTGACGAGGCCATATAGCACTTAAACACTACACCTTTAAAAGTAAAATTTTTAAGTGAAAGGCACTATACATCGGTTTGTAATTATTTATTACATTAGACCTATCAACTATAATTAAAGATTGTCATGTATTTACATTAATAATTAAAGGCACCAAAATGGATGGATTTGTTTAGTAATGAGCGCAACAAGTAAATACAGTATTTTTTAATTACAATGTTAACAAGAAATGTATAAAAAAGCGAATAACTTTAACTGAGCCAGCCAAAATCACGAGCGGGGCAGTGCAAATGTAACAAATTCGAAAGTATCGGCGGAATCGAATTTGTAACGTCATTATCAAAGATACTTGTGCAATATTTTTTAATATCGATGATAATGAGCACACCTAAATTTGTAAATATATAATATTTATATAAACATTCAAATTGAGTGTAAATACCACACAAATAATTAACTAACTTTACTCATATAGCTCTCAATCTTACCTAAGTATATAAATTTAAGTAGTACGCAATATGTAATCTCTTCGTTGCTTATTCAGTACTATAAAAGGCCAATGATAAGCGTTTACTTATTACTAGTGTGAGGCTATTTAAGTTTGATTATAATCATTTGCTTCTGTTACTGTAATAATATTGCTATAATTATAATACCTATCCTACTCTACTTTATAAACTACTTAACATAATAGTACTGTATCAATTAAACCTATCCCCCACACTGTACCTACTATATAATGTTGAATTTTGAAATCGCAACTACAGCAATTTTGAAGGCCCGTTTCACAGTTTTGAAAAAGAAAATAGTTCAATAAATAACATATAATAAATAATTAACACAATTTGCTCAACATTAACTATAAATGTTATACAACAAACAAGCTGCCCGTCGTACTGTACTATCAAAGTTGATGACAATTAAACTCCGCTATTGTTTGACAATAGTAGACAATTATCAATTAGTGAACAGCTTATTTTACCTGCGTCACTGTTAGTCGCATTTCATTATTTATTGCAGGTACATTCACAAACATACAGTGTGTAAGTAGTCTTGGCAGTGCAACAAAGTGATTTTTAAACGTTAAGAAAATGAGAAAACAAAGTTTCAACAATACAGCTTAAGAGATATTATTGCAATTTAAAGCGTACGTTAAGAAATATTGCAAACTTACATTAGTAACTACCTTATCCACTACCTTGTGAATGATTTCCACAATTATAAATCGAAACGATTCCAATAATTGAATACAAATAGATGGCACCTCATCTTTGTTCAGCGATCTCTCTACAGGTTGTATATGACTCTAAAATTACTTTAATCCCTTTCAGTATTCAGTCTTATTTATTCCCACTGATTAAGTAGAGAAGGTTTACTCGCTTAGCCATAAATAAAAATAAATAGGACAATGAGGTACCCCCATTTTGCATTTTATGTAGAATAAACATAGAAAATACTAGTAAATTTTAAGAAATGAGCATACCAGGCACTTAAATGATCCTTCGTTTTTTGCTTACAACCAAATGAGCACATTGTCAGGCTTTGTTGTAGGCGCGTTTATTAGACTTTGGACATCGTCTAACATCACATTTGGAAATTCTTCACCTAATTGTAAAGTAGGCACTAAGTCATCCGTAGAATCAATATTGTCACTTAAAGATGATATATCCGGTGTGTCCATCGTATGACTCTCACTGGCAACGTCCATGTTGTCATCCATGTTAGATAAAAAATCTTCAGGTGTGTGTGGCATCGAATATGTGGTTCCCATACCTTTAAAAAAAATGCTGTCAATGGGTTGTCTTCAAAAACAAAATGCATCAAATTCCTATTTTAACATGACATTATTACAGAACGTTCTGTGTTACCGCGGAGGAATTTAGTGGCAGCTAATTCATGGTTTGATTGAAAGCGGGAACACCTACATGGAAATCAAGGTCTGAACAAAACATTGCATCAGTTTTGAGTCCGTTGCGCTTTGTCATATCTGCCCTACTCAACAACATTGCTAAAAGTGTGAAATCAGCAATCAAACCTGTACGTAGCACTGCTGATGGAGTCTCAATATTAGTTCAGTAGAAAGATGGGTATCGTAAAAAACCAAAATATTAAACAAAAATACTGTGTAGCGCGGGGCGATTGATTGAATTGGTTCACTATAACATACGTATTAACGTAATTATTACAATGCTGTAGTTGAGGTTTTTGGTCTTAGCGGAACAAAGGAACCCTTTTCTTTGATACACGGCAAGAAAAACTTAGAACAAGTATTTACTCTTCTGCTCTATACAGCCAAACTGTAACATACAGGGTGAAGCTCAAGTAGTAATAGCATCAGTATATCTTCCGGGAGATTCTGTCAACTTACCTCCTAGTAATGAGATGGCAGAACTGAGAAAAACAATAAACACCTTATTATAGGGTGTGACTCAAATGCGCACCACACCACTGATATTCCCCTTTATGAACATCCCCTTGGAAAAAAACTTAAGAGAGCACCCTTCCAGGGGACGCCTCTCGGATCCTACAGACTTACAGAACAAAGTAGATCTTCCCGACTCCAGTCATTTGAACAGACCTGTGCTCCGAGGACTGCCAAGATGTCCCTGGTGGTGCAGGCCGCTCGAAAAGCATAAAACTCAGTTGGGCAAACTGTTCAATAAGGCAAAGAAGAGTAAATCTATAGCCGATTGGGAGGCCTATAAAGTAAACCTAAGGCTACATAATAAGGATATTAGGAACCGTCAAGAGATAGGCATGGAAGAGTTTTTGTAGCTCTATAGAATCCACCTTCTCTACATCCTGCCTAAATAAAATTCCAACAAAAGGTTCATATTATAATCCAGCTAGCCTCAGACGAGAGGATGGTTCCTACACGGACAATCTCTCAGAGACAGCTGAGGTACTGAGAGACGCCCACTTTCCTGGAGCCACCATAGCGCCGTATCCCAACTGGTCAGAAGCAACCCCCTTCATAACCACAGAGAATTACTGGGCAGTTAGCAGTGAGATAGTGGATGTGGCGAGGGTGATCTGGACGGTGAAATTGATCTCAGCATACAAATCAACAAGTATTGGGACAGCAAACTGCAATAATGCCATTTATTTTTGCTAATAGAGGTCGAAAGTTCGGAAATCTTAGAAACGGCACGATTTTTGGAAACAAAATGGACAAAAACTGAAGTTGCTGTGAAATGTGAATGTTGTTTAGACGTACGACAAATATCAAGAAATTTCTAGCAGTGTAAAACTGAGTTTACTTTTAAAAAATACATTAAAATTTGACAGTTCACATGTGAAATTGTACCTTGTGTTTGCATATGTTTACAAATTAAAGATTTCAATTGTGAAACTGTGAAATTATAACACCTCATATTTAGGAACAGCATAAAAAGGATAAAAAAAACAGAGAATTTTTGTACGAGAAAATTTGTACCTTAAATATCCAAAATCCAAGGAAAATCCGAGCACGGATAATCCGCTGCCCGGATAACCCGCGCATGGGGTTCTACTGTCTTGTAAGCAAGAAAGAAACAATTATCATTCTCAGTTTTTTGTCTGTGCTGCAGACGCGCTAAAAGTTTCAGTGTATCTGATAGGCAAAAATGTGCTACAGAACCACCAGAATAAATCCTACAGTATAGAATTAAGTACAGGAAGGGACTAGTAAGGATTCTTGATCTTTACAATATTAGCATTTGGCAATTTACCAATATTTTTTTGTTTTTGTTTAATTATTATAGCGAGTTTTGTTAAAACTGAAGATGAACTTAATTGGCAAATGTTGTACTTTTTCCCATATCCAAACTACCTTGTATTATTTTAATTGACATCAAGCACTTTTCGAAAACCGCTATTGCTATTATATAAATTTAAAAATAAATGTACATTAAGTTTTCTGATACCTGTAGATTGTAACGCCTCATATTGATTTCCGGTGTATAAATAAGCAACAATACGATATCCTAGCGACAAAATATAAATGCAATCGGTTGTGTAGTACCTTTGAGGATATGCTTGCACTAGCAACCAGTTAAATACACGAAAAATTGATAACCAACACATAAACAACTAGATACGAAGAATCGCGTACGATTTTCAGTAGGGAAATTTTTTGCCACTCAGCTCCTATTCGGAACCAGACTTTTGATCCGGCTCATATTCAATAGCACTGATCCTTAAACTCGTAGAAATCGATTGGCGAAGGTTTTCCATTGCTGTCTCATTTCGTTTTCAAATTAAGACGGGGAACAGACAAACAGACGGACAAAACCATCACATAAGGGTAATTGTTTTCCTTTCGAAAAATTCCTCTAAAAACCAGTAATATTTAGTTCACTGTTCTGATACCTTTAGGATTTATATCCACACTTGCTACCTTTCAAATGTCACCTGCTAGTACAAAGGATATTGTGGTCCGACAATAAACAGATAACAGTAGGTACAATTCAGTACGTCCTAGGTACAATATTACAAATGCAGTCAGTTGACACCTGTAAGAAAACACTTGTTATATTTATTTTTTTGTGATTTCCTATTTCACCAAAAATAATAAACTTTTGAATTTTAAATGGGACCCCCTGTATATTCTTACACATTTCGATATGTCAACTTCTGACAAATCTTAAAATATGCCATGGCTATGTTAAAACGATCAATTTTTAGTCAAGGAGACTTGAAAGAATCGACCACTCAAATGTTTTTAATGCCAAAGCACGTTATTTATCAACAAAGAGACCTATGGTCTAAATGTTGAGTGTCTATCTTCCGCAACTGTAAGATGTAAAATCCTTTTCCCGTAGAAATATCAGACAGTGTTTTACTAAGGCAGAAACCTTCGCCCAAAGTTACATTGCAATCGGATGAACGGTTTAGCAAGGCATAAGAGACATACGGACAGACAAACATTCATTTTTATTTATAAAGATGAGGTGCCATTGTATTCAAAATGTAAGGATTTACAGAGGGTCACATTTAAAATTCATTTATCATTTCCGGTGAAATCATTTGAATACGTCTTTTAATGCATATTTACCACCCATAAACAGTTGTAAAATTTCATTTTTTGTAAAAAAACTAAAAAAGTCATAGGGGAGGGGAAACACCCAGTATAGCCATGACATAAACAACCACTAAATCAGTTTACTGATTCCTTTACGAGGAGAAGAAAATTGATGTGTGACTATTTACCAAGTTGCATCCCGAATCACGAAACAAATTACGGTGTTAAGTCATTAATTTTTGTGATTTTTTCCCCCCGTTGTCGGCCAAGGTAAGACACTTTAAATATTGACTTGCGTGTATAGTAATTAGAACAAACTACCTGAACCAATCCAGTATATTGATCGCATTATGATTACTCTGGAGCGATGAAAATAAATGAAACTACTCTTAGTCTTGACTATTTATAGACTTCTGCAGGCTGCTCTGTTCGAATTGCGCCCGTTTAATGAGAATTGATATGTGGACAACTCCCCGGGCTCAATGTATCTTGGGCATATTCTTCGCTAGAAGTTCACGACCAACCTCAAGACAAGTGGAGAGAAATGAGCTTTGTTTCGTTAAACATGATCATCCGATTTTGAAGTTGTGAGGTGGCCAGCAAGATTTTCTCTGCAACGGCTTCCGATGACCAATGGTAAGATTTAATATTATGTAATTTGAAACTATGTCCAAGCGTGACATTATCAATTAAAAAGTAGAGGTAAAGTTAATAATAATTACCCAATCCACTGTCTGCAGATTCCTGACGAGAATGGTCGGTAAGGCTCGACAGAAAAGGATCCATCGGCAATTCCGTATTACTCCCACGTAACATTAGCTCTTGTTGTCGTCTAATTTCCTGCTGTCGCTGTTTTAAACGTTCACGTTCTAGTTGCAAAAGCTGTAGACGTAGCTGCTGCTGTTTGGCCGGCGATGATTGCGGTGATAAAGTACTTGTATGCTGCCACGGTTGTTGAAGAATACTGGTGCCCCCTGGCGTTCGTTGTAAATGTTGAGCTAATGAACATTTTTATATCAATAATTGAACATTCCTGAAATTGTTTCGCTAAAATTATTTCAGTTTCAAACAATAACAAACACCACATGGAAAAATTTGATCTTAAAAGTTAAAATACGCATAAATGATTAGTAAGGATTCAGTTATTGGCCAAGATTTGATCAACCCGTTTGCTGGATTTAATGCCACAGGAGGTGGTTCACCAGACAATACGTAAGTTAAAAAAGGAAACACAGTGAATGCAAAATGTCATCTTTGCATGAATGCAAGGTACTTTAACGTTTTCCCACTAAAACTAGTGCGTAAAAGGACAAAAATAACCGTATATTGATCAATAATACAAAAACACTGAGAGTTTATAATGAATCGTGAAAATTCGATTTCTTGGTTCCCTACACAAAGTCAGCATAACCAGACCAATGAACAAAACGCATTCTAATAGGTCCTTTTTGACTAAAATACAAAATTACGGGCATTGCAATACATCTATGTGTATATGTGTTTTTCAAAAGGTTAGTCTTTGACAAATGGTCTGCGTATTATTACCAAAAAACAATGTACGGAAAGGCAATTTACAAAATAAAAAAAAATTTCGAAACTTACGTATCCGAGGATCAAACCATGATGTAGTACGAGATTGATGATTAATGAAATAAATTTCTCCCTCTGGAGTTTGTGCTTGTTCCCATCCCTCAGGTAAAGGTCCCAAATCAACGTCTGTGTTTGCTTTAGCTGAAGTAAGTGAAACCGACTTTTAATACTAATTATTGTAAATTAATTCCAAAGTTAAAGCTATACCAACCTGTGCAAGCTGAACTTTGGGTAGGTGATTGTGATTGGGCCACTTGATGTGCAGGTAACAACTGCTCCGCACTCTGATGCTGTTGGACTGCCGCTTGAGTTACTAGCGTCTTTCTTGGATCTTCCCATGTTGTTGTGCGTGTTAAGTGACTGAAAATAACAGGTGTTAAGTTAGTATGTTACGTGTAAAAATCACGGGCACGGGCGCCGGCCCATGTGGCGCAGTTCAGTTAAAGCTGAATTGTGGTGCTAGGGTCCCTGGTTCGAATCCGGGTTCGGGCATGGATATTTGTAAATGTATAGGGTTGGGTTGGTAGAGCAGCCTTGGCTGAAACCCCGCCCACTCAAGAATAAAGGCAAAATAAAATAAAAAAATATATCTTCCATGCTTGGTCGAGTATAAAACAAAATTACACAACCACTTGTTTTGAGTCGCCTAATGTACCTCCCGCATTATTTAAATAATCGTGAAGGAGGGTCGCTTTTAATTAGTATCAGCACCCGAAATAAGATTTGTACTTTCCGTTTGTTCGCTGATGATGCCAAAATGTACACTTTTTATAAAGTCTTATTGTGATTTTTTTGTTTTTTATGAGATCACTTTAGTAATGGGCTTCGTTACATTTATGAGGCATGTTTTTAAAGTTTTTAAGTAAGGTCCGTTTTGGAATTTCTTGTCTGCAGAGTTACGGATGGTGTCTCACATTTCTACATCTGTTGGTTACTGACAGCCGCCATTAATCATTATAGACCCATTTGATTGTATTATGAGTTCTTTACAATTCTTTAAAATGCCCCCTCCGATAGGTACTCACTCTTATTACTAATAACCCCTCCTGCCACCTTCGTGGCTGTCTTTACCGAACATCCCTCCAAAAGGACAGGTCCAAGACATACTCTGTGAACACATTCATCAGCAGGGGCGGACTGGGTAACTGCGGGCCAGGTGGAATTGCATAGGTCACGGGCCATTAAAGTATTAGTGTAGTAATGATGGTGCCGAGGGGGTTAGCTCTGAGGTGCACCACAAAAACTCCTTTCTCGAAAATAAATTACCATACAGTTTTTTTTTAAATTGCAGCTAATTAACAAAATATACAATCCACACGAGGTGCGTCACCTATCATTGTATTTCAGCACTTTCATGCTACGATAAAAAATGATAAATTCATTGTAAAACACTTCAATTAAAACAGAATTTTTTAACAACCTAACATCAACCCCAATTAGAGAAACGTGTTAATAATTTATTAATAGTGCAAGAAACTAAATACAGCACATACTTATAAATGCCTTTTTTTGAGCCCAGAAAAAAAAATTGTCTCAGATCGACCCGGAAAATAAATTTTCTTATAGAATGTGGCCTGTAGAATCCATAATTTCAAACAGTTCCAAGATTGGGCTACTAGTTCAAAAGTTACAGCCCTTTGAATTTTCTTTCGAAATTGGTTTCTATAGTCTATAACTTTTGATTGAGAAGTCTGATCGAAAAAGTACGAATTGTTTTGGATTCTACGCACCAAAATTAATAAGAAAAAGTGTTTTCCCGAGAAATTTTGGTGTAGTCGAATTTTGGTAAAAAAGGAAGGTTATACACAGGGGCGGACTGGGTACTTAAGGGCCATTAAGCCATTAAAGTATTAGTGTAGTAATGAAGGTGCCGGGGGGGTAGCTCTGAGGTGCACCACAAAAACATTTTAAAGTACTCCTTTCTCGAAAATCAATTACCATACAGTTTTTTTTTAAATTGCAGCTGATAATTAAAAGTAACAAAATATACAATTCACACGAGGTGCGTCGCCTATCATTGTATTTCAGCACTTTCAAAATACTACGACAAAAAATGATAAATTCATTGTAAAACACTTCAATTAAAACAGAATTGTTTAACAACCTAACATCAACCCCAATTAGAGAAACGTGTTAATAATTTATTAATAGTGCAAGAAACTAAATACAGCACATACTTATAAATTTCCAATCATTATGATCTACAGGCCAGTGGCAATCGCCACCCGCCCCCCCCCTGCCAGTCCGCCCCTGTAATCATCGTATTGAATTTTTAGATTTAATCTAGATACTGACAACTCATCCCTTACTCTTCTGTCTATGATTCCATGTCCACACACTCATTGTATGTGACTTTAGTTTAATTACTCTGCAAGTTTTAGTCTTGGAAATCCCCTTTTTGTTACAGGAAGTCATAATAATTGAGCGGATTCTGTTTCTGCGGAGTTTCCAGGGAAGGAGACATGGAAATTAGTGTCAGCGATTAAAAGCTATTAAAACAGTGACAGCCTTAACTGTCAAATACACTGCAACACAAATAGGGCGATTCTACGCAATGGGTGAGTCTTCTTCGCTATGGGTGAACCAGGGGGTGAACAGAAGTCGACTGAATTTTTATGGCGATGTACGCCCTAGGTATAGGTTGTGATACATTAATGTAATCACGAAAAAGAATGCAAAAATTGACATTACACAGGGTGCTCCATTTGAAAAATACCAACTTTGGGCGATCCAAAAATTTTTTTTTACTACCCCATCTTCCGTTTCGTGGTTTTTCTTTTACTTGCATTACCTTTTTCCATATCCATTTTCGTTTTATTTTGTTTGGTACAGTTATTATGCTAATCATGCGATAACAGTGCGAATGTGTACTTATCGTTCGTTCGAGCGTTCGTTCTTCCCTTTTTTCTACTTTCTTCACTTATCTTGACCCTCGCGATCGTCGATTCCATATATCTCTCCATTTAGCGTACTTCAGATATGTACGGCATCTTTTTTTTCTTGCGTTGGGTTCCATTACATAATTAACAATGTTGACATGTTTTGATCTTCCACGCAGTTACCAACAAGCAGGCCAACAAGGCATCAAAATCCAATTATTTTAGCAATTAATTTTTCCCGTTTCCGATTCACAAAATTTCAATATGATCGAAAAAGTAATTATGCAGACGAACTACCACGGATCAGGCAAAGTTATAATGAAAAAGTGAGACCATGCGCTTTGTATCACCTGCACATACTTTTGAATGCTGTAGTCTTGGTAAGAGCTTTTTAAAAATATAACGCATGCTATGAGTTGCTGATGAAGATAAGATACCCTTCCCCCACAGATTCTCGAAGCCTCAAAACCTAATCATTTCTTCTTTAGGGCTAAATTTCATCTCCATAGATCCATGCGTTTTGGAGTTATCGTGAAAACTGACCGATGTTTTAAGTTTCTAGCGGAACTGCACAACACAATAACTACAATAGGAGGACTAATCCGAACTATTTTGCATTTCCGACTGAGCCCCTCACCATGACACCTTTATTGAATAATGTTGTAGTAAATACCACAAACCGGGTGACAGGTACACTTATTCACTAAATTGGAAATTGCGCTAGTATTCACAAGAAACAGTGTGAACACTTTTTGACATTTACATAGGCGGAACTTGGCCCTGTATTGCGTCTAGACAAGTAAATAGGCAGTAGAAGTTAATGTGTCTCAAACTAAAACTACACAGAGTTTTGTAAACAAACATCAATTCAAATGCAATGAAGCGATGTTGTATACACACTTTTTTTTTATATAAAGTTGAACGAATTACTCACGTTAACTGCAAAATGGAAGGCCCAGTTCAGTTATATACAGCAAAAAAAAAGCAAGTAGATACGTTGATCTGCAACATATTAATAGAACAAGTGTGCTAAAGAAAAAATTAACCTTCTACGTTATTACGCTCATAGACAAATAGACCATGGTTAATTCTGGACACTTTTGACAATTATTAATAAACTCAGAAACGGTGGCTGGATCGACATTTATCAAATGGTTAAAACGGTGGTCTTAACTAACAAAGGGATAGCGGAATAATTCATTGACACATAACAAGTAATAATTTTACAATTGATCATTTTTTTTTATTTTATGAATGTATTCAAATATCAGGTTCGATGGCCGACTTAGGCGCCTAGAATTTTAAACTCTAAAAATACTCGTCTCGGCTACTAATTACTTCTCTGTGGAAGCACGGGCCTATCTTGCCAAAATATGCTATCTTCGCCTCAAGGTGCGTAAAGCAGGTGTATGTAGGTACGTAATGAGACGTGCATAATGAAGATCCGCAAGGTCCTATTTTCCAACATGATATTTTTGAACGCGTGTGGAACCGCGGCCTTCATTGAAAAATTAGCAACAAATACACACTGCTCTAAAGTGTCATATAGTAATCGACGGTAACGGTATAGGACTAAATTTATTTTTGACACGCGTTTGAGCGGGAGAGCCATTTTATCTTTTTAAATAGCGACGCACGCCAGGTGACACCCAATTAGAAATCTTCTTTCTAAATTCATTTAACACGACCGTCTGCGTATTTCTATCCTCATTATAAAGGACTATTTCCAGTCCGCAACTCTTCGTACACACCTATGCTATTAATGGAAAACAACTCCTTTTCAAATTTCAAACAGAAATTAAGGACACAAAAAATCACGTACGTGAAGTTGGCTAGTAACCCATCTCTGTCGGCCAACTTCAGACTCATAGAGAATTACAAATATAGCGTAATGCAGAGTTAGATACGTTTGCAGTCGGTGATGCTAAAAATTCGCTCCAGAAAGGATGTGACAAGCAACGCTTCCCCAATATGATTTGAAGTGCGGTGCTGCGGTCGATTCTAAAACATTCAAAAGCAGCGGGCGTTGCGAAAAATGCAATCCGTAGAGGATTACTCTCCTCCCCCAAACCGACAAAAGCTACAAATGTAGTACAGGTAAAAAAAACCTTCACTTGTCCAACGCTAGTTGTCTAAAAAGCTTACACTTACCTATTGAATAGTGAACAAATCTTATTTTCGCGGAAATATTTGCAATGCACGAGCCCAATGCCTCATATCGAACAGAATTGGGGTACTTTGCTACCTTACAGATTACATATTTATATAACCACAATATTTATAGTCTTTACCTTTACAATTAGTTTAAGAAGTCTCCTGTACCCACTGCACCCAATGTAAATTTCCATAAGAGCGCCCGCCATAAACACTCTAGCTGTTTTTCAAAAAACAATTTTTTTAAAGAGCTATTTTATAAATTTAGACCTTTATCTACAAAATGTTCGGACTATTTTTTTTTAAGTTTATAGCAACTGAATACCG